GGTGCGGAGGGCCATCGCCTCCGTGGACGGGCTGAGGGACGTGCCGTACTGGGTATCTGCCCTGTTTCCTGGGGAGGCCGAGACGCTTCCCGACGGCTCGTCGGTGGAGGCGGCTGTGCGGGCGATGCTGGATCCGGGTGTTGGGCCGGTGAGGCCTTGGGGGGTCGGGATCAACTGCACCAAGACTTGGAAGCTGGACTCGCTGCTGCGGAAGTACGAGAGGGAAATCGCCAAGATGGTTGAGGAGGGGACAATCAACGAGTGGCCGGCGCTGGTCCTCTACCCCGACGGCACAAACGGGGAGGTCTACAACACGGAGACTCAGAAGTGGGAGGTTCCCGTTGACGGGTTGGGGGAGAATCAAATTCCATGGGAGAAGCAGCTGGCTGATGTCGTGAGGCAGACTCAGAGGAGAGGATCGTGGCCAGAGATCCTTGTGGGCGGATGTTGCATGGCATCGTATAAGAGTATCGCAAACCTACGTGCGACTTTACTTCCCGAGAGCTCGTAAAAATAATGAGATAATTATAGGATGCTCTAATGGGATTCTCCCACCGTTTTCGTGATCCGTCTCCGTTCTTTTTCTTGGTTGATCAGTGGAAGGTCTACAGTCCCTTCAAACCCCAGACGATAGAATTCAAGATGAGTAGAAACTCCCATCCAGGGTGTTTGCCCACTCAATCCGCATTTACCCTTCCTCATACACAGCTCGGCAGTGCACAGGTCAACGCTCAGCACTGAGGTTTGGCCGTTGTTGCTTGCCAAATCACCTACGCTAGATTCTGCCTCTAAATGATCACTTGGCGAGTTGGAAGATAAGGACTAAGATGGCGGCATTCCTCCACCAAGTGGGTGACAGAAGAAATGAGACATTAAGTTGATAAGCAATTACAAGCGGAACATAATACAGAATGATCAGAGTAATCTAACAATAAAAAATAATATGAGTCGATAATGCAGAGTGCATTGCCTAGGTCTTTATCTATTCTCCGTCTGAATTGATCAAAACCACTCAGCATAGTTCTCCAAAAAGTTCAGCAGGACCAGAGCATGAGCGTCAAATTTCTTCTATCACTTGGCTGTCCACCTGCCATGACAATAACGGCTAGAGAAAGCTACCCCACTATATGGAAGCTCTCCCTCAACCCCTCCTTGCCATACTTATCAAAGATTCAACTACTAGCGCAAAGCAGACTTTGCCCTCTCAACACTCTCATTGGTAGCCACACACAAGAGAGCAGAGCCTCAGCACACCCTCCCAGCATGGCATCCCCCAAGGTAATCATCATCACCGGCGCCAGCAAGGGCATTGGCGCCGCCCTCGTGCTGCGCCTCCTCTCGCAATCCCACAAGCTCGTCCTCACAGCCAGATCGAGGGATGTGCTCGAGGAGGTCAAGTTTGCCCGTCCGGACCAGGTGGAGTTTGTCGCCGGAGACATGACGGAGCCAGGTGTAAGTCTTGATATCAGATAAACGTCCCTGCGCTGGTGGTGGGAGCTGCTGACACGGACTCTGCAACGTCAGATTGCCCAGAAGGTTGTTGATACTGCAGTCAAGGCGTTTGGAAGGGTGGACGGTGTCATTGTGAACCACGGTATCCTGGATCTAGGGAAGCTCAGCGACATGTCACTAGAGACATTCAAAAAGTCATACGACGTCAATGTCTTCAGCGGCTTTGCCATGGTGAGATCTTCTACCTTCACGCAAGATTGACTACAGCAGTGATTCAGGCGATATACTAATTATGGGTGGCAAGGCGAGCGCGGTCATTGGAGAGCTCAAAAAGACTAACGGCTCAATCGTCTGGGTTTCATCTGGAGCAGCTACAAAGGTTTACAACGGCTGGGGAGCCTACGGATCATCCAAGGCGGCTATTAATCATCTCTCGGCACACCTGGCATCAGAAGAGCCCAGCATAACTAGCATCGCCATCGCTCCAGGTCGAGTGAACACCGATATGCAAGCTGTGCTTCGAGCGACCGGCAAGGAGAGCATGGATGGATCGCAGTACGAGAATTTTGTCGAGGCATTTGAAAAGGGGACTCTGCTGGAACCAGAAAAGCCCGGCAACGTCATCGCAAAACTCGCTGTCGAGCCGGCAAAGCATCTGAGCGGCAAGTTCCTGTCGTACGTACTCCATGCAGCAGCGAACTATGCAAACAGTTTACTAACATGAACTTCACAGATGGAACGCGCCGGAGTTGGCAGCGTATCAGGATGACGCTTGAATGTAAATCTGTAAACAGGCAGGTTAGCCTAATTCTCGCCTCCGAAATGCATATAGAAATGAAAGAAGACGGATTTGCAGTCAGTCGAAAGATGAAAAGCTCTTAGTTTACTCCACATAATGTATTCAGGATTAGCATGGAATGTAAGTTGCTTCATCATAGCAAATGAGCACTTGGTGCTCAGTGATAAATATGATAAGGTAATGGGCAAGAAAATTCCATTACATATAACAAGCATAGCCTTACCTTTGGTGAATCAATGAAGCCTTCGGCTTTCCAGCAGTGGAACGAAGTGTTGTGATACTGTGACGAGCTGTCAGCACCATGAGCTGAGACAGGGTAGTTGTATCCGTCGCCCGCGGGAAGCGCTGAGGTGCTCAGGCTATCGAAATAGTCCGTCATGAGATATCGGAATTTGATAGTACCAGATAGCAAAAGACATCATAGCGAAGTAGCGCTCTAGTACGGGGCGACGGTGACTGTCAGGCCGAGGCTTACACTGGGTGAGGCGACACTGCTATGCTATTTCTATGCGCATTGTCAGCCATGATACGCAAAAGGCGAATGATTGATAACAACGAGGTAAGCAGGGAATGGATCAGATACGTCTGTTTGGCATAAGACTTGGTCATTCAGCAAAGAGAGGCTTGTCGAACCTTCTAAGACTGGGGCGACATCGAGTTCATCATTGAAGAAGGGAAGGGGCTGGGTTGGCGTGCTGCAGGCGCGCAAAGAAACTTACCATAGCAGAGCAGTGAGAGAATGCGAATTCAATCCATTGTCCGTCGCCGGGGCGTTTTCAATCCCCGATTCCAAGACAGACAGACGCACGGGTGTGTGTCGAGGCGGACGGACAGACTGTGGATGGGAGGAAGGGAAGAAAGAAAAATTGAGCTGTGGAATATTTTCTCGAGGTAAGTCCGGCTGGAGTGGCCCGTGCACGCGCTGGACCAACGCGGGGTGGGGCCCGGTACGTATTTTGCGTCTCGCACAGCCAAATCCTGGCGTTTCTGCCAAATCACGTTGCTGGATTCCCAAGCGCGCCGCCTCGAAGCCTGAGCATGCCGCAGAGAGCTTTATTTAACCTGAGCTCCGTCCCGCCGTTCTGACGGCATAGCCCCCAATAGATGGTCTTTTTTCTCAAAGCCCAACAGCAAGCCAGCCGATCCGCATCAGCCACCTGCACGGCCCCGTGTCCGTTCACACAGTCAAGCAACCCTCAGCCCGGCTCCCGGTATATATTTTGCGTTTCTATTTGGCCCTGGCCGTTTCCCGCGTGTCCCGACTCTGCGCATTTCCACACCCCAAATCCTCGTCCCTTCCTGATTCATCGTTTCATTCCCGCGCCAAGCTCCCCTCGCTTGCCGCACTAATACAAACACTCCAACATGTCCGATCACGAGTTTGGAGGTGAGCAACTTCTGTTTTCTTCAATCTCATCACATCTCCCGTCGCGTTTGGTTGTTATCACACGATGCAACGGTTTTCATGTTTGCTTAAGCTCACTCTCAATCACTCACTTTCACGTGTGAATATGCTGTTCGTTCCCCTGCCTTCACCCGCTTGCTTTGAGGTTGGCACCCGCGTTCCATTCACTTGCGTCGACGTTTCTTCACACACATCGTCAAGCAGTCTATTACATCCTTGGTTAAAGAGTGTAATAACTGGCTACGACATGCTGTTCATATTTAATCCCTTCTTCCCTATCTACACCTATCCCATGGCCAAGATCAACTCACATTTCTTGCGTCAACTCACCTTGCCATCTCATCACTTCCCTATATTGCGTTGCATTATTTTTCTTTACTTGCACTATTCCCTATATTCAGAATGCCTCGCCGAAGAACCAATCAGGACCGATATTGGCAGAATTATGACCACGGATTCGGTTCATATCACACTCCACTAAGACCATATTTTGAGCTCAACTAACATTTTCCATAGCCAATGACGACCTATCGCTCCCCAAAGGTATGTTCTACTCATTTCCCTGGCCACCACGGGGTCCTCGGTGGGAGAGCGTTGTCGTCGCTAACGCGGTTTTCTGTATACAGCCACCGTGCAGAAGATAGTCTCAGAGATCCTGCCTTCTAGCACCGGAGTAACATTTGCAAAGGAAGCTCGCGACCTGCTCATAGAATGCTGCGTCGAGTTCATTACTTTGATATCCTCCGAGGCCAACGAAATCTCAGAGAAGGAAGCCAAGAAGACGATCGCTTGCGACCACATCACCAAGGCGTTGGAGCAGCTTGGCTTCTCTGATTATGTCCCAGCCGTGCTTGAAGCAGCGGCAGAGCACAAGGAAACACAAAAGGTCAGTACCTTTACCCCACGTCCACCAGCTTACACCATGAGCTCTCATCACTAACACGAAACAGGGTCGTGAAAAGAAACAGGACAAATTTGCCAGCAGTGGCATGTCGATGGAAGAATTAGCCCGCCTTCAAGAGGAGCAATTCGCCCAAGCCCGGGAGCGCCATGGATAACATGGCCTGAGCGGGCAAACACGGCGGAGAGAAGGCGACAATAGTGAAAGACATGTATGAACTGCGAAGGCGTTGGCATCCAAGGCGTTGTTTTGCTTTATTTGATTTGATTTTCAAGGGAGCTACATAAATGCGATCATGAACCGAGACTCCGAGGCAGCTCTAATTGAATTGAACGAGTACATATTTGATTGTTGGCTGCTTCTTCCTTGCCAGCATGACAAGGCTACCGTTTTCACCCCTGAGGACACTTGTACCACATCATACGGACATGCTCGCGATCAAGCAACATGCATTATGTCCGTCAAATGATGCCGAGTTCCACAAGCATGGCTCAGCCACACTAGGCAGCCTCATTGAGAGCTGTCCTTTATAAACCTGTTGCCTGGGCAGACAAAATATGATCTTCACGTAAGTAACAATAAGGAACAATGAGTGTTGCCTACCGACTGATGTTCGGCGATGACTCAATATTTCTCTTTGTTGGCTGGTACTTAGGTATGTTATTCTTGAATCCTCGTCATATTGGTTGGCATTGACGAGCAACTAACAATGGGCTGAGTAAGAAGAATAATGGCGGGGCAGATCGCCTTATCGATACATAAATTTGAAGGCGCCCGCCAACTTACCCCACGACATACAACGAATATCTAGTCCGCAAGCGTCTGAGATTGCATATCGCTGCCACCTCCCTAGATATATTTTCTTTGGTCAGCGCGCATATATCTATCCATTGGCTTACATAGCCAATCACCCAATACCCAGCCGCCAAAATAGGCCGACGACGTCGCGACCGCCATCAGAAGCCCAAGGCTGGACCTCGAGTCCCACGCTGGCACAGGATGGGCCAGGAAGAATCCACGATGGTGGACGAGTCCGTCCAGCCACAGGTCTTGACAGAGAGATCCCTCGAAGCTGTCGCCGACTACATTAAGAGCGGTCAGGCCAAGCGAATCTGTGTCATGACAGGAGCCGGCATCTCCACCACCGCTGGCAGTGAGTCGCATTCCCCTCCCTCGTCGCATTGGAAGCCATCCATACGTAGGAACTAATCATGTCGCTACGTCTACGCAGTCCCCGACTTCCGTTCGCCAGGCACGGGCCTCTACGCAAACCTCAAGCGCCTCAACCTCCCCCACGCCGAGGCCGTCTTCGACATCTCCTACTTCCGAAACAACCCCGACCCCTTCTACGTGCTCGCCCAGGAGCTCTACCCGGGCAAGTTCTACCCCACAATCTCCCACGCCTTCATCGCCCTGCTCGCGCGCAAGGGCCTGCTCGACATGCTCTTCACCCAGAACATCGACTGCCTCGAGCGGCGGGCGGGCGTGCCGGCGGACAGGATCGTCGAGGCCCACGGGAGCTTCGCCACGCAGCGCTGCATCGACTGCAAGGTCGAGTTCCCCGAGGACAAGATGCTCGAGCACATCCAGGCCTCCCGGGTGCCGCGCTGCGAGGACAGGGAGTGCAGGGGGCTCGTGAAGCCAGACATTGTCTTCTTCGGTGAGCCGCTGCCCCGCGACTTCTCGGCCAAGTCGCCGCGCGCCAGCATGGCGGACCTGACCCTCATCCTGGGCACGAGCCTCACCGTGTTCCCGTTCGCCTCCCTGCCTGAGCTGGTCACCCGCGGGAAGCCGCGTGTTCTCTTTAATATGGAGAGGGTGGGCAGCCTTGGGTCGCGGCCTGACGACGTCCTTGCGCTTGGGCAGTGCGATGAGGGGGTCAGGAAGCTAGCCAAGGCTCTCGGGTGGGACGAGGAGCTGGACACGCTTTGGAGGAATGTAGTTGGCGACAAGGAAGCCGATAGGCAGTCTGGAGACGCCACGAAGCAGCACGATGAGTTGGAGGATGAAGTGAACAAGCTTACAGAGGGTGTAGAATCTGCACTGAAGTTGGATGAAGCCTCAGAAAAGAAAGACGAGCCAGCTAGCTCTGCATCTAAACCAGAGTTGGTAAACAAGGGGGGCGAGCAGGACGAAGGCGAGATTCTCAAGATTCCAGAACCCAAGGAGAATCTGCTGAACTCCACTGAGAAGAAGGTGGAGCAGTCTGCATTCAGCGACTCGGAGCCGGAGGAGAAGCAAGACGAGGAACAAAATGATAAGGCGGCTGGACCGTCATTAGCTTCTGCGGAAAAGGAGAGCCGGACCGGTGAGAAAGAAGGTGCTAAGCAACCAGACCCTGAGAAGGCGGCATTGTGAGGTCAGGTCTGTGCCTCTCATACTTTGGATACAACTTCAGCTGTGTTTGTTAATGCCAACTGTGGCTGATATATCATCAATTGCATATAAGTCATGTATGTTTGCCCCTCCAAACATGGATGACCCTTACTCCTTGCTTCACACTATTGGTCTTCTGTGATTCCTCCACGCACTCATGTAAACGCCCAGTTCGTTGGACCGTAAACAGGTAGACGCCGGACGCAACCAAGGCGCCTGATACCAGCATAGATGCCTGACCCTGCTCCTAACCAACCATTCATCCATCCATGAATCACACACATCGGACCGGATTGTCGGATGCCCACACGGCCACGCTAATTCGTAGATTCAGATCCCCGTTGTGCTCCAAAAGAGACTCTAGAGGTTGCCATCCAGCTTATGCATCGCGCCACTTGGACCCTCCACGGCTGCGTCCAGAACGATGACCTGAGGAGTCAGCCTGCAGCAACGAGCGCATATACGGCCCTCGGGTATGCGGGGCATTACTGCCGTGCGTGGGTACGGTTTCAATTAATTACTTGTTTCGGGGGTCAACTATTGACTTTCTTGCAGCTGCAAATCACCTTTTCGCAAACCGTTCAAAAGCTGGTCGGATCAACAGGGGTCAAGCCAAACCGCCAGGTTGCATTCACACACACACTTGCATGCATACCATCCATGGGGAGACCAGTCTCGGGAATCTCAGCACCTAATCATGTTTATTTACGTCATGCTTATTTCCTGTCTGATGTTTGGCTCGCTTGTACTCTGCATGGTTTGTTTTCCTCGAATCCGGCGGGAAAAGGCACCCGCCACCATGAAAGAAAGTTCCAAAGACAAGGGTTGTTCAGCTGAAGTTCCCCGCCCAAACACATACATTATCTTCCGACATTATACAGGAAATCCTCAGGGTAAACAAGAAGAAAGTAGAGATCAAGCGGGGGCTCACGTGCCACTATCCTATCAAACCCAACCGCTGATGCCAACCGGCTCAACCTTCCCACCACTGACGAATATCCAAGGAAAAGAAGGGCGGTGAGGCTTCACTCGCAGATGACAGTATCTCACGTCAGGGTGCCATGAATCTGGCTTACAGCCCACTATCAATCTGCGCGGGGATGTTCGTCTTGGTCCAGTCTCCCCACTGGCGGCACGTCTCCGCCACCACGTTGGGAATCTTCCTCTTCTTCACCTCATCGGGCTTGGTCAGGAACTGGGCAAAGAAGCCAGCAGACACATGCCACGCGATATGGCAGTGGAACGGCCAAACACCTGGCAGGTTCAAAGTTCCCCATAGTCAGCGGCGCTGGTGTCAGACCTTCAAGGAGTGAGGAGGGTGGGGGAGGAGGCAGTTACACACCTGGGTTGTCGGCAGCGTCGAACTGTATCACGAGGTGGCCAAATGCCTGGACCTGGTAGGTGTCGCGCCTCTGGGGGTTCTCAGGGCGTACGATGGTGCCGTCCCATGCGCCCAGTCCCTCATGGAGGATGTACATGTTGTAGCCATGCATATGCATGGGGTGCCTATAGGCGGTCACTCGTATTAGCTGAAAGCCAGGACCTCGTTTTCAGCCTCCATCACTTTTGGGGAAAGAACTTACGCAAGGGGCGTGTTGTTGATAACATTGATCCTCACACTGTTTGCATTCCCCGTGTTAATAACGTTCCACTCCTCGTCAAAGGTGTAGTTTCCGAGAATGGACATCAGCAGCGTTGGGCTGTTGTAGTTACCCCTGTAAGCAATGCCATCGAACTCCCAGAGCGTGATGTCGCTTGCGTTCTTGGTCAGCTCCACAGTCATATCCCTTGAAATATCGGCCTTGGGCAGGGCCAGCTTCATTTTAGGTTTGACGAGGGCAAGATCGTCGTTGGCGCATGTCCCCGGATCGGGTCTGTCCCATGCCTGCGACTTGGGCTTCTTCCTGGTATCCGCATTGTCGTAAAAGATTGCCGCAAGGGCATTAGGTGCATTGTTGAGGCCGCAGATGGTGGAGACATTGGAGCGCATCCAGTATGAATCCAGCTTGCCGTCCGCCTTGACCAGCACGTCGGCGCGTTGTCCAATGCCAAGGGTGACCACATCGGTTTCGTACGGCTCAACCGGCACAAAGTCATTTGCAATGACCTTCATCTTGTGGCCGTCGATGGAGAAACGCTGCATGCCCTCTGCTCCCGAGTTGATCAGGCGAAGCCGGTGGGTCTTGTTGCGCCGGAACTTGAACTTGGAGATTCCTGCATTGCTCCTGCATGGGGTTTTGTCCCCTGGAGTAACTGTCGAGCAATCAAAGTTCATCTTGCCGTTGATGAGATTATTATCAGCGTATGGGGGGGTTGAATTAGGGGCCATGACTTCTTCTACCAGATCAAAGTATTCCTTGTGGTACCAATCTGAGAGCATGACAGGTCCAAGATCAATATCATATTTTTCATGATTAGGACCGTGGATCACCATTGGCCCAGTAAGGCCGCCAGCATACTGAGAAGAGTAGTGAGAGTGGTACCACGTTGTGCCATAGAGATCAGCCTTGAACTGGTAGGTAAAGCTCTTTCCAGGGGGAATTGGGCATTGAGTGACGGCCGGAGCGCCATCTTCCCAGGGCGAGTCCTTCATCAGAAATCCATGCCAGTGTAAGGCAAAGCCTTCATCTGGCGAGAATATCTTGTTGCGCACAGTAACTTCAATAGTGTCTCCCCAGTTGGCCTCAATCAAGGGGCCGGGAAAGGCACCATTGATGAGAAGGACGTCACGCTTATAGCCATCGGGGGCGATGAAACCACGGCTAATGGTGAAATCATAGCGGCGAATAACACCCGTGTTTGGGGACGTTGTGTAGTAGTTGGTGCTTGTGTCCAACGTACTCCACGGGAACCCATTGGGAAGAGGGTTATTGGTCAGCCATTCGGGCAATTCAGGCGCATCGAGTGTGCCAAGCAAGGATTCCCTTCCATTGAATTAGCATGTGTGAAACACGAAGAAATTCTTTGATTTCTCACCCGTTGGTGTCAACCTGGGCTGTACTCAGTCCCAGATCTCCGGCATCGAATGGGTCTGCCCGAAGAGCAAGGGAGCCTGGCCGGCTTGCAAAGTTGCCCATGTTGAGTTGACGAGAGCTAAGATTAACAAAGGATATCAAAAAGGCAGGTTTCTGCGGATGATGAAATTCTTCCAAGTCACACTGGTTCAAGCAGCGAAAAGGGGGTATTTATAACATTGTCGAGCCCTCTCTCCATACGCTCTGCAAGGAGAATCTCGCCCTCAGAAGTCAGCTCGGCCTTCCCAACATGCCAAGAATGCAGATATCAGCTTCATTGAATGTGCCTCAGCTCAATTCATCAGCCGTTTCCGCCGTATTGCATTGCTCCCCTTCACGCGAGTGGTCTGCTGGATCGTGAAGTGGTGGGCAACATAAGCCACATTGGAACGTTGTCCAGGGCGCAAGCCTGCATTTTCCGTTGGAATCTCCAGAAACGGGAATACATTACCTCGTGAGTTGTGCCGGTGCAGCTGCTGGATTCCGCGGAATGTGATATGTCCCCTGAACTCATCAGCGCCGGACAGTTCTTCATGCCGCCTGTATGTTGTTGGTCGAGTCCACCTGACACATCTCAGCAGGCAAGAGATAAGTCAGAATACGTATCATCTCCCGTGAGATGAGCTCCAAAGCACTGTTTAGAAAGGGTACTTTCCAACAATTGAGTAATGGTTGTAGAGTGTTCTTTAGGCATATTTCTCGGATCACTTTGTAAAGCTTTAGCGAGATTCTCAGTTCGCGATCGTAGAGTATGTTACAATGATCTGAACCTGTAGGCCCCAGATGGCCTCGAGTCCGGCTTGATCTCAGCTGTAAGTCGTGGACCGGGGTGGTCGCATTTGCAACCACAGATGCGAGCTCAATCTCAGAATGCTTTTCTTAACAGTAGGCGCATGAGGCTGTAAAACTTGGCCAGCGAATGAGAGAGCCGCCGACCCAGTTCTTGTGGCGGCATGGGGACTGCACTCCAGACGCTATCCGCATATACGAGCCGCCTCTCTCGCCGAGCGGGATATTGGACACTCAGCCCGACAACTCCGCGTCAACATTGCTTGAAAGATACAAACTGATGGGGGTCACACACCCACAAGTCAAGGATACCAAGCTTCGGTGCCTGGGCGTGCGCCTCCCCCGGCTGGGCATTTGCCAAATGTGCTCTCTTTCCACATGGCTCCTGTCAGATCTCAGATCGAGTTACAGGCGTCTACGTAGTATCACCTATCCCACCAGGCACAATAAACTCAAATAATGATCCATTCGGAGGGTTTGTGCCCAATCGCCAAAAGCGAATAAGGTCCCATACGCATAACATACTCCATCTTTCGTTCGCTTTGGGAACCCCTTCGTGTTGGCAGTCGTCGAAGTGGAGGTCACGCGCGCCACACATCGTCAGTATTGGCCGCCTGTCTCAAGGCATCTCACGCAAAGAGCTTCGTAAGCATTGATTAAGATGCATCAACCCAAAAGCGGGGGATACGGACGTCAGCCGTCCTCCAGATGTGGATCAGCTAGACAGTTTATCGCAGCCTTTTCTGCAGCAGTTCTCTCAAACGCACACGGGAATCTCGGTCAACCTGGTTTACTCATCAACCCACAAGAGGCCGAGGGCTCCATCAGAACAGCCAAGAACCTCATGAAGGGCGGGTGCGGGTGGATAGGCCTGCCTGCTTCGTACTTTGCACCAGCACTCAGACCCTGCTGAAGTTTGCGTTGTGAATCTCCCGTAAGCACCGCTGACTGCGCTCGCAAGCATAACATGAATACCAAAGTCTCAAAGCTCAAGGTTTGTTTGATCAGTCTTGTTTTGATTATATTCTGTGCCCCTAATCTTCCCATTTGGTACGTAAAGCTGTGTATGCTGCAGGATTGCCAAGACTTTACTTCCTTGACAAGACAAGTGTCGGAGGAGTGGAGGCAGGAAAAGAATTGAGCTGAAGATGCAGGTGACCATACAATGCGCCGATATAATACAGACCGAACTCGGTCGGGAATGTACACAACCAATATTATGGCGTCATAGCTCCATTGTCGTCCCTAGATATCTCTCTTCCATGCAGGGTGCGCTCGCAAGATAATTGGACGTCGTTGCGCTTGCATATACAGTTCATTAAACTTTGGGTCCGCATCGGTTCGAATCACAGAGCCAACGCCCATGAAGAAACTACCCAGCAACAGAGTCAGCGCGCTGGGTTCAACTATCCGGATGGTACGTCCAGGGATTCATACCCAAAGGTGGCCCCTGAAGCGGCCATATACTGTCCCAGGGTGCGCATGATTCCGTTGGTACCAGCGCCGTAGCGGAAGACGTTCACGGTTCCTATGAAATATGAGTTCGGAGTGTCCTTGTTGTCTCGAGGCGGGGTGCCGAACCGTAGATTAATCCCATGATGGTACCGACAGCTGCAGTATTGTCAGTGGTGCTGTTCGTATTGCGAATATCGGGTCAGGGTCAGGCCATACTTCCACCCATCATGGCACCCATCTTGACTATACACACATTGTAAGCTCAGGAAGCTATCGTCCGCCAGGGAGTGTTTTGCATACACTTGTCGAACACGGAAGGGCCATGCTGGCCGTGGGGGATAGCTGTGACAGGAGGCATCTTTGCGGTCTAAAGACGAAAATTTGCTGCTACCGTATGCAATGGCTGGCCTGGCCAAAGAGTCAATTGACGTTGCGCAGGCGTTGGAAGTTGAAAATAACTGGACCTGCCGTCTCGTCAAAGTCTAGCTTGGATTCGGCTAACCCAGACTCTCCTCAGCCCATCTTCCCCAATGCTAACTGCCCGCCATGCACGTCGGTTTCGCTCCGGCAGCCGGCAAAACTATAATGCGGACGTCGGGCCTAAAGGCACACAGTGCCCGTTTCGAGTCGTTCAGGCTCTCGCACTGCTATAAACCATCACGTGAACTGTCCTCAGGAGCGGGACGATGCGTAGCGTGGTTTGATGGATAACCCTATCATGCTATCCCTTATGGAGTAGCCTGTTTGCTTTCCATGAAGAAAGGATTCCATCAGCGATTTTGCCAGTTCAGGATACCCTAGAAGGGTGATTGCTGGCTCCTGCTCAAGTCCGCAAGGCGGCGGCAGCTCCACTGTGCTCCTACCCCCAGCCAACTCAGCGCTTAGCGAGACGGGAGAGAGGTGACGGCCTAGGGATCACTCCCATTTCTTGCACGTCGATCAATCTCTCTGTCAACAGCATCCAGCATCAAACACCGCCAACACAAAGTACAGCGGCGTGCAGCATCGAGTTGATAGGTACGTGCCCCATCGGCGGCCCTTCCCAGAGCCTAAGCAGAGTTTCAGATTCAGTTTGCACGCGACCTGGGTCGACTCAGCCGCGCCTCAATTGGGCGGGTCGGAACCACTGTAGTAGCAGCCAGGGATCCGGAAGCTGACAGATTTTCTCATCAGTAAAGGCACAGAGCATCGGTTCCTGCAGTCACGATTTTCGCACGCCCATCGATCCGAACGTCTCATCGCAGCATTTCTGATTCGAACTTTCCATCTCCTCGACCCTTGCGGACGCCGGTGGCGTGGTTCTGGTGCTGGCTGCGCTTGACTGCCATTCCTTTCCACGACGACCACGACGCTTAGTTTATCCGTAGCGCACCCGCCCATCGACCCACGCCCAACACCGGCCTCCCTCATGACTGCCGTTGCCAACCCTCCGGCTTTTCCTCAGTTATCACGGCCAGCATGGGGTTCTATTGACGGGCACAGTTCAACCAACCCTGACGAAGGCAGAGGCATGTTTGCGCCGCGTAAAACCCTTTCGCGAACCAATTCCTCCTCCTCGGTCTCCTCCACCTCGTCCAACTCGTCGACTTCTACCGCCCTCACCACTAGCTCACAATCAAATGGCACTGCTGCATCAAGCAACTCTGATATAAGCCAATGGTCAGCCGGCGCCGCCACCCGCAAGAGACCACCGCCGAAAAATCTGGCTTGGGCTGCAGGCAAGGGCGACGCACAGCCTGAATTTTCAAGATTCGCTGCCGGGCGTCCCAACGGCATGCCTGTCGCGCATGGTCCGAATCAGGGGCAGCTTATGAACCAGCAGGGCATGATGGGTCGCCCAGGCGAGCAACTGCCGCCTGGGCAACCCGTGCTCTTCCTCCTATCACTCAACGGCACGTTTGAGAGAAAAACAATCGCTGTGCCTTTTGCCCCCGATAGTCTGCGCATCGGGCGTCAAACGAACCAGAAAACCATTCCCACCGCAACCAACGGCTTTTTCGACAGTAAAGTGCTATCGAGACAGCATGCTGAGATATTCGCGGAGCGAAATGGCAAGATCTACATTCGAGATGTCAAGTCATCAAACGGCACGTTTGTCAACGGCTCGCGGTTGTCACAAGAGAACCGGGAGTCTGACCCCCACGAGTTGCAAACTGGTGATCACCTCGAACTTGGTATCGATATTGTGAGCGAGGATCAAAAGACGATCGTGCATCACAAAGTTGCTGCCAAGGTTGAACATGCCGGCTTTATGAGCCCTTCAAGCAATGTGTTAGACATGAGCTTTGGGGATCTGGACCCAGCGAACAGCAACATGATGTCTAATGGGGCCATGGCAATGCGTGGGCGAGCCGGTAGCAACGCCAGCAATGGCCGCATGGTGCCGGCCGGTGCTCCGATGAACGGACAAGGTGCTCAACAACGCCCTTTTTTCCTTTCACCCATTGCAACTGATCAAATACTTAAGCGGCTCATGGTAAGTCTGGCTTGCTACTCACTCTTTCTTTAACAAATTGATACATGTATCCGCTAACTCATGGACAGAACGAGATGCGAAGCGCTCGTCTCCAGGCCCAAGACTTGGGTCGAACGAATCAGTTTGTCTCAACCTTATTGTCAAAGAACGACGTCAAAGATTTGGAGAAGTCCGAGATCCAAGAGCAATCGTTGCCGCAGCACGTAGTAAATGGCAACGGCATTCCGTATCGACCTGATGGCAAAGCCCGCTTTTCAGAGCCTCCGGCTCCTCCCCCTCAACAACCGTTACCCGAGAAACCAGATGTACCTTCTCTGAAGCGCGGATCAATCGAACGTCCCAAATCAGTACCACAAAATGCATCTCCAATACGCCAAGACAATTCCAGCCAAATCCTGCAACTGACAGAGGCCTTGAAAAATGCCAAGCGAGATATTGATACCCAAACCGCTCGCATGCGAGAGCTTGAGCAAATGCTGCAAGAAGAGCGGGTCGCTCGCGAAGAGGCGGAGGAGCTCGCGAAGCGATTAGAAGAGTCTGCCAGCAATCAGGTGAATGGTGTTGCCATTGCCCCTTCAGTGGAGCCCGCCCTCGAGACGAATGACGAATCTGAGCAACCCTCTAAGAACATCGAGCAACATGAGGATGAGAGTGGCGAGGATCGCGACGCAGCGGCAGCAGAAGACAATGCGGCCAAGGAAATTGCTATTTCTCTCCAGTCGCGAATTGATGCCATGGATGTTCAGATGCTCGAACTCAAGGAGCAGTTGGAGCATTGGAAGCAACGATGCGAAGTTGCGGAATCAGAACGAGACGCAGATCGTAAGACACTGGCCGAGATGGTCGTTCAACTTCGTGCAGAGGAGGCTAGGCATGTGGCGAATCAAAAAGAAAAGAGATCGAGATCCCGAAGACGGGCTATTAATAATGAGAACGAGGCCGCCACTGCCAGTGCTGACCCATCAGCTGCTGGTGATGACTCCAGCATTGTTCAAGCAGACGGTTCCGGGTCAAACATTGACACAAGCGATGAGCCAACGTTGTCGCGAGCGAACACGATAACAGCCCTTCATCCTCATGATGTATCCCGCGGAACACAGTCACTACAAGTTGGGCTGCCCTATGCTTCCGCTGTGGGCGTGGTGCTTCTAGGCATGGGGCTCATGGCGTTCCTAAACGGGTGGCAGGCGCCTTCTCCTCGGATAGAGCAGTAATTGATTCAAGCTTGGACACAACATCATCTACAGGCTGGGCCTTTATTTACTCGTGTCTCCAGACATAAGACTCACTTGGATTGGCGCTCATCACTCGGTATATATACATATTACTCTTATTTCTCACAGCAGACATCGTTGCAATTCATCAGGGACGACGAGATGACATGGTTTCATGAAGTGCATACCCTCTTCAAAGGGTGAACGGGTTTTCCTTTTGTACGGTTCTCATTTTATTTTTCGGTCTTGTTCAACATGTACCAAACTTCCTGTCTACTGGTCAGCTCTCGATGAATAACGCTCCGAGGTGCGGCTGATTCTTCTACCCTCATTTCAGCAATTTCTTTTATTATTATTACTATTCTTCTTCTTCTTCCCATGTGTTCTTTTCTTCTTTTTCTTTTCGGTAGAGATTTCATGATATTCGGCTCTTAGGGTGGGCCAAAGCATTGAGCTCCAGATTGCCAAGCGAATCTGGAGCGTGTTGGTATAACATAGCAACGAGGGCGAATGTGGGAGCAGTGGGCTATGCCACAATATGATGAGATGGAAATGCGATGTGCTGTTTCCTTATTTTGGGTACAACTCAGCGAGGCATTACAAATGTTTAAATTTAGATTATTCGAACAATAGGGCTCCAAGTACCGTTCCCATGTCCCTTACTTGTGTATGTTTGTCCGTCAGGACGGATGACAAGTAAGTACCCACCTTGTCCTTGTCTGTTGCTCTTTTGCGTGTACCTATTTCTGACTCCGAGAATGCCTAGCATTAAAGGAACATCTGGTGTTGCAGAACACCTGTCACGGGAGGAAGGAGGAATGCCGACTATCGTGGCCGATCGGTAGAGTCTAAGCCTCGTAGGCCCTCACACCGAAACCCAGAGACAAAGAGTACCAGGACCGGACAATCTACACCCAACCATTTAGTGAACTGCCACCAACTTGGCAATCACGGAAGGATTACATGCATATATCGGTGTGAAGACTGACCGCTACGCATCCAACCATAGGATAACATCGAAAGACTGCTCCATTGCCGCTGATGCCAGCCACGCCGACCCAGCTGTAGGGCTAAGGCTGTGCTGATGCAATGGCGGCCCACCTGCATATCGTCAAACCTCTGTCAGCGTCGTCGAATCATGTGTGATTACTCAGCGAAGCGCAACAAGCGCGCGACTCTTGTCCGTCATTCACGACCTCATTCAGACAGCCGCCGGGAACAATGGGAATGGGCGCGGCCATTGTATGCGGGCGATTATGCGGCCTGCAAATGCCTTGGGCCGAAAATCATTCGAACCCGATATTCCTACGGTACTTATTTTTGGAGAGACGGGATTTATTTTTACAACTTGGTTTTCGAAAGATTTCAGCTTTTGTTGGCCTGGCGATCCTGGCCACAAAGTGATTACCTACGTCGCGCGGGAGCATTGGGGGCCGCCCCCCATCCCGTGTGATATCGCCAAATTGGGAATTGGGTAGACCGCAAAGGAACTCTTCAGCGCAGGGGAGAATATCAATCTGATACCACCCGATTGGTACTTTGAAAACCTACGGTGATGCCGGATACTACTATGAGAGAACCATGCGCCAATCGATACGATTGCAACACACTTGCCTGGTCTGTCCACTCTTGTTCCACCAGCTGGGTAGGAGACGCGAACGTGCACGCTCCTGGTGGCACGAATGTGCACTCACGTGGGTAAGGGTGCATTCATGATGCGCGGGAGGGATATCTATGATACGAAATGATTCCCACGGCAAGCAATCCACGTCATACGTCCCAAATATAGCCTTCGCACGACGAGCTCCAGTGGGTGTTCTGTCTATGCCTTTAGAGTCACACAGTGATAGCCGTTCCATCATACAGGGCTAGTGCCAGCCTTCTTCCCAGGACCGGGCTGCTGCCTGACTGCGATCCAGGATTGCCTTGCGATCGCGGACTACTGGGTTTCGAGGCAGGCGAAGGCGTCCAATTGACGTCGCATTTACCCGCCCGATGCAATTGAACAGGTTGCGGCAGGCTGGCAACATGGAGAGCTAGTGTTTTGTTGGTTCCAGGTGCTGCTGAAAAGTTCACGATGCGACTGTGATAACGATGTTCGAAGTCCTCCCGACGGCAAGCCCAGCATGAAGCTGCATGAGCAAGTGGTGCCCTGGTTATGGTGGGGCTCACACCGGCAGACCAGGGGGACCACGGCTGGGGCCAGGTCAAAAGAAGGGCAGGCAGGGGCAGGTGTCAAAAAAGACGTGACAAGGTACTTTAGTCGCCAGCCGGTCTCGGTGAGCACCAAGGTACCTTTTCAAGCCGACAAGGCGACAAGGCGGGCGTTTTTCGAATGCGGGGTTGTGATGTGGCGCTGGGGCCAGGACGGCGGCCCTGGTCGAGCTGGAATGTGGACATGCAGCCACAAGCCAGCCAATCGTGGCAACCGTGGCTGATTACTTGGCACGGGAGCCTGACAGCCTGGCCGCCAAACGGGTCTTTGGAGTTCTCGCAGACTACCAACACGGCCGACTCTCAACGGCTGCTGTTCTCTGCTATGTATGAAATAGACAACCACTGGCCTTTTTGGCTAAGCCACAGGAGGCTATGTACGGGTTTTGGTTATGGCATCCCATCGTGCTGGCCCCAACCTGGCGCGATTGCCTGGAATTGCCTGGCAAGGCCAGGCTTCTAAAAGGAGACGACATCCTCAGGTTCTAGAATGATTTGCCACGCGCCTGAGCCCGCCCGATCTCCTCAGCTACGAGAATGGAAGTAGATGCCTCATCATCATCAAGTGCAAGAACCATTTGCACTATTCACTTCACAGACCACCTCGCCACGCGGCTTGGAGAGCCACGCCTGCTCGCGGACGCCTTCACCCTAGACCCGTCCTCCACCACCAATGACTCAGACCTATACTGGTCCGCCTCGCCAGTAGCACTATCACCCCGCCTACCTGCTCTGCCTAACCCCTCGCCCTTCCTCCGCATAACCACTTATAACAAGCCCAAAGACCCCTCTTGCGGTTTCCTATTCGGTAGCAATCCAACAGACTGTGATATCGTTCTTAATCAAACTTCTCCAAAGCAATTTGCCATTAAAGTCGATTTTAAAACAGGAGAAATCCAACTCAAGAACCATAGTCGTACCGGGACCTTAATACGATATCCTGAATCAGCATCCAATAATCCCAGAGTCTCGACGCAAAGGAGTCTTCAGACAGCACAAACCGTTGACGTCGTTCTCTCTCCGACTAGCTTCATCCGCATTTGCTCTCACGGACAAATTTCCAATGGCCACCTTCTATCTCCGGTCTCGCCTCAATACTCAAGTCAAAACTCACCTGAGTTTGTACCTTTCACAAACATCGACATGAGCTTGGAAAACCATGAATCGACACTCTTTTATTTCCCCCTCCAGCCCATTGGTGGGGGGGCCCAGCATGCAATGTCGCCCGTCATTGACAGCAATGACATGAGCTTGGACTTTGCCCAAAACCCTGAGATGGGATTGGGCTTCTCCCAGAGCTCAAGCGCGTACTCTTCTGGGCCCTTCCAGCCTATGGCCGGTCTTTGGGCCAACGACATCGACCCCAACATGGCTCCGTTCATAAACGAGAATGTGGTGGACTCGAGCCCACTGTCCCAAGCTTCAATTGAGCCCCTTCAGCTACAGCACACATCCCCTAGTGTGGTAAATAGGGTCGACCCCAGCGCATCTCCGTTCATAAATGATGATGTGGTCACCTCAAGCCCGCTGTCCCATACTTCTACAGAGCCCCCTCAGCTTCAAATTACATCTCCGAGGGTGGTGCAGGGTGATAATAACATCCACATGGAGGTCAATGGGAAGCAAGTCGTGTTTAGAACTGCTCAAAAACAGTGGGACTTAGAGTCCATTCTTCGCGCCTGCAGCCAGTCTCAGGACCAGCATCGGGCATTCAAGAAGAAGCTCTCCAGGCTTGGACGCGTGACAAGGGAGGGTCATCGAAAATACATCTCACTCCGGGATGGGGTCCTGCTGATCCGCGCCGTGGGCCTTGAGGCCGAGCTGGCAGACATGATCGCCATGCTCCCCGAGTCGGTGCCGCCGGACGAGGAGAACTTCCTTCTGAGGTACCAACGAGGCCCGCAGAAGAACCACCTCGTCTACAACAACCATGAGATCGCGTACAGGCCGGAGGCCGGTCTTATCAAGGCAACTGACCTAGTCAAAATTGCCAACGTGTCCCGGAGAACTCTATTTGCGTATTTCACCCGCTTTCCGAAAATGAAGAAGGAGGTTGTCAAGGGTGGTGCGCACAGCGGATCCTATATCCTGCTTCAGGATGTTCCCACTCTTTGCCGCGCTTTCAATATCGACCTCGAAGTCTACTATCGTCTTCGGGAGAAGTTCCCATCCTCGGATCGTGGCCCATTGACCGAGCTCAATGTGAACAGCGGCGAGAACCTTGCGAGCAATCCCGAGGTCTCGATGACTGGTGAGCCGCCCCCTACCAATGTCTCCAGCGCCACCAATCCCTCGTCCCCCTTTTGCGAGGATTACTTCGGCCCTGATGCCGAGTTCACATTTCACGGCGATGAGAACACAAAACCCGCTAGCGACTCTTCGTCGCGAGTGGCATCGCGTTCAGACATCCCGCGAAATCGCATCAGCCCAATCGATGCCAACATCGTCAGCCAGGCGGGCCACGGGGGCAATGCGAACCACGTGAGCCATACCAGCTTCGGGAGCCTTGCGGGCTACGAGAGCAGTGGCCCCCAAACGAGCCACAGTAGCCATACGAGCTCCGGCAGCCACGAGTTCCCCTCGTCATTTTACAGGACCCGTGGCTCACTTGTCCTCGACTTGAATCTCGAGGATTACACCCTTTCGCGATATTATGACGACTTTACGAGGTGACGTGAGGATGATCAGTTTTTCCTCCTTGACTGCTTTTGTGTTTTTTCTGCGTTTTGTGTGTCTTAGCAATGTTTAGCCTGTTTTGCGTTCTTGTTTTTCTGCTTTTGGTTTTGATAGAGTTCCTTTTTTGTTTGTTTGTCTTTTTAGGGTTTACGTGAGTTGCCCTCGTTCAGCGAAGTAGATTTGTTTTTTATCATCCACATGATACTGGGCCACGGTTAACGATTTTCTATTTTTTTTTTTTTCCTCGTCATTTCTTATTATCACACTAGATTGAAGACAGATGTGTAATGACCGAATGAAAGCTTCTTATGATATCCCTCCAAAAAATGAATTAAGTCCAGGTAACCTTGCCATCTCCAGGTCTGCGTATGCTCTTGGTCTGATCTAGGGTAACCTGAGCGTAGAGGCGAAGAATAAATGGTAAGAGCAGATTCCAGTTCAGACATTTGTAACTGACGCTTTTGAGGTGGAACTTCTGCGAACATGTATTTTATATTTTTAAATCCTACTTAAGATTGCTAGTGGCATTCTTGTATATATCCCCAACTGAAGGACAACGAAAGCATGGTGGGTCCCGAGTCACATCACGAAGCAATGCTGACACATCCAATTTTTTTGACAGGCGCTCTCCCGAAACCCACCACGAGATCATCTCCATCCCGAAGCTTGCCGTCATCCACCTTGGTCAGACCACTCTTCACACCCACGATATCCTCCAAGAACGACCCTCACGGAACCTCTACAACAATCAATTGACATTGCAACAAACTACAGAAAACAATGGGGGCCTTCCAGAACAAAAAGTTCCGCTCGTCGGCGAGCATGAACGGCATCGCCATGAAGTACCGATCCCTCATGAACCGGCACCCCTTCCTCACCTTCGGCCTGCCCTTCATGACCGTCATCGTCGCCGGCTCCTTCGTCCTCACGCCCGCCACCGCCATCCGCTACGAGCGCTACGACCGGAAGGTCCGCCAGATGACCAAGGACGAGGAGCTCAACGTCCGGCGGGCGCCGCGCAAGGTCGACATGCGCGAGGAGTACTATGTAGGTCTTACCTGAGCCTAGCGTTTGATTTTTTTTTTCTTTTCTTCCCTTTCCATGGGGTTCTTCCTTTTCCCATGGGATTAGAGGCTCCAATTGGCGAAAATACGGAAATTTTGGAGGGGAAGAAAAGAAGGAACAGAAAGATGCAATATTGAGAATGTCTTAACTGATCGCCGATTCGATTAGAAACTCGCCGGGCGGGACCTCGAGAACTGGGAACAGAAGAGGGTGGAACGGCTGAAAGGCGAGAGCGATGGCATTCTCCGGTGATCCAAAAAAAAAGACAAAAAAAAGGGAAAATTCGACAAGTCGATACCAGCCGTCCGGGTCATCCTGGGTCCTGGGTTTCAATTGTCCCATGTTTTTTTTTCTTTTTCCCTACGCTATTTGTAGCGCAGGGCAGGGGGAGGGGTAGGAAATAGAGACGCGGCTGAGCTCAAGCCTCGATCTCGATCGGTAATTGTTGTATACTATCGAGAGATTCTGGCGAGCAAGGCTGAGACTGGGAGAGTCTTGATCAACCTATTTGGCACTTCAGTATACCGAAGTTTCGCGGGAAGGGGCAAATAGGGGGAGAACACGGCACAGCGCTGCTAGACACTGATAGTCACACATTATTGCATCACGACTCGGATGCTCATCGCGATGAGCATCTCTTGTCAGGGGAGGGGAAGTAGGGGGTGGCGAGGAGTGTCGCGGCTCGGTCGCGAATAACCACCCCCTCTTGTACTATTACTTTCGAAACTACGATACCCACGTTTTTACGCTGATGGGAGGGAGTTGAATCCCGACAATGGGGGAGGCAATGGGGAGAAAGAAGGAAGCAAGCAAGGTTTGATCCTTTTCCTGGGGGCGAGTGCTTATACAGGGATCCAGCATGTACGATTTGCTCACGCGCACACAAAAGAGAAAAGCATTGACAAGAAGTACATAAGCTTGGAGAAAAGCAGAAGCAGGCCCATCCGATCGTCCCGCGATCCCAGGATTCCCAGCTCGTAACCCCTAATCGGGCATCAATCCTTGGGAGCCGATGACGAGGGTGACTCCAGGAAGGTGGGATCATGATGAGCTGCTCTGTTGTAGTGAAGCGCCCGTTCATTGAAAGACGGGTGTCTCAGGAACCGGCCGTGATACGCGGTTGTTTGTGATATGGGCGATGATCAGTCAGGGTTGCCTGTCGTTCTGCTGAAAGGGCGGGTGGGTCACGGATGTCTAAGTCGTGTGTAGGCATTAGCGATACCAGTAGGGCTCAGTTACGTGTAAAGTGAAAATGTAGATCACCCAAAAAAAAATTGTCTTCGCTTTGCACGCGCCTGGTGCGTTGGTCGAGATAAATCCGAAACGTGATCGACCCCGGCACGGATGAGCGGGCTAACGTCATAGAATTCCACGTATGTAAATCCGATGCGCACATCCCAGGGTGGATGATATCAATCGTGGGCGATCGCCCTCAATAAGGGTCCAGAGGGAGCAGAGCGCCTGGTTGAGCTGCGTTTCAGAATTGAGCGCATCCTTTCCCGAAGGCTCCGACGATTGACACTGTATGATGAAAGTGATGCTGGTGGCGATGACGAATCATGGCGTACCGCCGTCCACTTGGCGATCTGTGTACTGCAGAACGGTTTGTAGATCCTGCGGACGTGGATCCGTTCGATTTGTCACCGTTAGTATGCCTGCATTAGTGTACAGTGTGTGTGATATGTCAGATGTACAGCTTGGGAATAAAAACAGGTTTCCTTGCCTCTTTCGCGCTTACTTTACCGCCTCAACACCTCTATTCTGATACACCGGAGTGGTCAAAGCAAAAAGAGAAGGAGGATCAAAACAAAATGCACTAATATGATGGGACGAGGCTGGATACAAGGAACAAGCAAGCTTGGTAAGCGAATCAGACAGCGTAATTGCTGATCACCGCCCAGCATCTGTTTCAGTAACGACTCAATTGATTGACATCAAAGGGAAAAGGCGTGCGGGAGGTGCGGATACAAAACTTTTCTTGACAAGGATACCAGGTCCTCGAACGTCTTTACCGCAAATTCCGTGATGGCCTCAAAAGCTGGTAGGGGGGAGGGTCTCGGGGGTTTGCGGGATTACGGCGGACGAAGCAAGCTGGCGGTCGGCCGCAAGGACGATTTTCACTGCTGCTGAGCCGGACTTTGCTCGCTAGCGTGCGCATTTGATGCATGTCTTAACGATAAGGGTTGGTGGAGAGGGGCGCTGAGCGTGAATGAAGTGGGCGTCGATCCCATGACCAGACTTAGCAGGTAAGTACCAGAGAGATGATTCGCATGGCGCGGGGGACCAATGGGAGCAGGTAACAGGTCAATTCAATGAACGCAGTGCAAGGGAGGGATGGAGGGTCTTGCGAGGGTCGTACTGGAGGTGGGGGTTCCAGCAAACCATCGCCAAGTCCTCAGCCGAAGAGTGCGATACAGGTCAGCAAGGCAAAACACAGCGAGACCTCCTGCTTCAAGCAGACGATGCGCTCGTAGTGGTGTGCATGTCTGCTTCGTACAGTGAACACGGCTGGCGCTACAGTTTGATCGGCGACTGCGTGTGGCGGGCCTGGATTGTGGAGGACTGCCTCCTGATTCTTGTCTCGGTACCTTTTTTACTTTTTTAGCTTCTTGTTTCTGTCGTGAGGCTTTCGGCCGAATGAATCAGTTGCTCGTTGTTCTCAGGTGCCTTGTGCCTGGCAGACCGCCCAAAGGGGGAAACCAGTGCGGAAGGGCCTAGAGTCAAGTGCGTCGTAGAACAGGTACCGATGGGAATAGGCCCGGACTTGACGGTCAGAGGGAGCTAAAAAGGAGCGGTAGCCGAGGGGGGTAGGGCCGGCGAGGCCATCTCATTCGTGCATCGCATATCGCCGACCTGGGCGCCCCATCGTGAATCGTTGAACTTTAACAAAGAGGGGACACCACGAAGAGGAGAATGAGTGGCGGTGAGAAACGCGTGTATTAAGACGATGAAGATGGAGACAGCTGTTAGATGGAGGGAAGCGGGTCGCCAAGTTAATTTAGCTGATGGGGATTGACAAAAAATACGGGACAGGATTTGAAGCGGTCGCTCACCTATCTCAGGCTATCAGGTGAAGCGGAGCATGATCTCGCCTTCTACGGCTGGATATGGCAAATATTGCAGGTAACGAGCTATAACATATGGAAATTTGCATATAGACAGGCATAGGCGAGGCTCGACCTCAATGCAATGTAATGTGAGATTTGCTGTTCCTGCTCGTCTCGATAAGCGAGGCAGAGGATCCAGCTCCATGTTCGTTATTTTAGCTGCCCAGTGAACGAGCTAGGATGGAATCGATGAGATGAGATCTGGACATGTCAATCCACTCGCGCGTGGCCAAGAAAAAGGAAAGTTTGCAGCTTGCATGGATGGCCGGAATTTGCCTTCTAGCAGGCGTTTCGTGTACATAATTACTCGGCTGAATTATAACCTACATTTTGTAGGAAAAAGCAAAAAGGCATGATCTTCGCCAATGCGTCCAGGGTAACATCACGTCCTGGCCAATGACCCATCGTCAGCTGAGGTGTTCACGGTGGATTGGTGAGAGGCGTAGCTAGCGTCAACCCGAAGCCTTGGAAAAGCACGTCTGCGGCCTCGGATTGGCCAGAGAGCCATTGATACCGATCTCGAGGTCCAGTGTGATTGGAAATAGCGGGACATGGGTTTGGAGCAGTTGTGGCTAGCTGCCTCCATCCACACACACACATGCATGCATAGCTGGGGAGAACGTACTTGCGTTACGTGGACCGCAAGTACGCACGGAGCTGCCCGATCAATGCCATTGCCCAAATGTAGAATTCGATGCAACAAAAAGCGTATAATCCTCCACCTGGATTTCCAATTGCGATGCGTGGCTGGCTGGCTTCCACCGATGGCGGAACTTGCCAGGATCCCTTGAGTTGAGCTTCATGTTGTACATAGTAATGAATTAGGCAATGCGAGATCCTAACAGTAACAATGACTTTCCTTTGCTGATCTTGTCTTTGTCCTCCCCAGACAAAGAAAGAGGTGAGGGGAAGCAGTGCTCCTGGATGGCCCTCTGATTCGCCATGGTGTGGTTGTCCGCCCTACTTTAGTTCAGAATTGGGGAAGAGGTCAGCAATTGCCTTTCACGTCGGCGACGATCTGTCTATCATCACATACTTATTACATCGGTGGCTGGAATGGCGATGGCCTCAAAACTAGCGTGAACTGTAAGCTTCAGTGTATCTCTGCCCAGGAGCATGGGGAGCGATCGGAGTCTCTTGATGGTAACTTTGCTAGCTGGGGATATGCTTCACTAGGGCCCGTCCTGGTCGCAACTGTCCGTCAACCACGACCCGAAACGAAGTAGGGATCTAAATAGAGGGGTGGCAATCGACACTTTCGACGGTCATCTGATGGAGGATAGCTGCTTGACCTGCAGCTGGACCCCAGAACTGCCATGACCCATCTGCTGACCTGTGTGTAATTTCGCCGTTTGCCATTATAAATCGACTAGCAGCTAAGGTGGTGACCAAGATGTGCGGGGTGGGAGCTTACAAGGCCCTCGGAGAGGAAGCTAAGGACCAAGGTTTGGAGGCCCAGTATTGACTTTGACCCCTGCCGAGTCGGCGACCTAGTGAATCTGCCATTTGCCTGCGCAGCTGACCGACTCGACTTGGCGATGAACCCCCGGAGGACCAGTTCCAGCCTTGTGGCCGGCCCGGACCTGGATAGAAAACACCACTTCACAGTCCGGGATTCTCTTTTGTGTGGCTGGTGACTCTGGCCCGACCCAAGCCTGGGGTTGAGCCTGGTAGCCCTGCCCATTGTCAGCAAACGCACATGCTGGCTGGGGTTGCCCCTTGGCTCAGCCTCATGGCTATTTCGATATTTCTTTGTTTGCTGCCCGGCCTGACCTGGTGTTCCTTGCCTTGCGACGCGATACAATGTAACACAGCGAGATGAGATGAAATGAGATGAGCTGCGCTTGTAATTATCCAATTTGTAATGGGAGGATCGCCAATGCCAAAAGGAAAACATTATTGATTTGAGCTGCCCCAGACCCTCGCTGGATCGATCGCAGCCTACTGCAGCTACGTGCAGTAGCATCAATCGAGGCCCTGCAGCTAGGTGAAAACTGCTGTGCCTTTTCCTCAGAATGGGCCCTGGGCATGGCTGCATTTCACGCAGGCAATGCGCATGTGAGCTGCAGCCGTCTCGCAATCTACTTTCGGATGGCCCTCGACAGCAGTAATCCATGCCGACGACCGGGGTATCAACTGTCCGCCTGGCAACTATCCGCCAAGCGGACGACTTTCGTCGCGCAATTGTGTGTGTGTTGTGTGTCTCTCTCCGCCTCGCGCATGTATCTCTGTGAAGTCGGCGGTGGGATGGAGGATGCCGCGACTATTGTGAGACAAGGGAGGGCCGCTATGTATGTGTGTCTGGGCCTGTTTTACCACCAATGGGCTCCTACACTCACTAGCCTCGCAGCTGCCCATACCAGAGGACCAGACCGCACCAGACGACAGATGTGGTGTGAAACCCTCTGGCTGTAGTGCTGTCGGAACCGAGTCTGGTGTGTGGGCTGCTCGAGGCATCGCAGGCCAGTCGCCAGGTACCGTGCCTGGCCCTCCTGCCCCTCACCACCACCAGGTGAATCAATTGATTCAGGAACGGCGGGCGAGAACTCAGAATTGCTCGACCCCTTGGCCCTTGCTTCATTTCTTCCCGCATGCGTGCTTTTTTGTTCTCGGGCCCGATCGACTCGTGACTCCTTCGAGACAAGATGAGACGAATGGATCAGACGGGAGTCGAGGCACCAGAATACACTGTAGCAGTACCCCTTCCCGAGCATGAGCGAGGTGAGATTGAGTATTGACGCGAGACGTCATCGGCCGCCGGGCTCGCTGGAATGCCATGTGGGCGGCCGGTCAGGTCAAGCGAAAGAGCGGGTTCAATGCAATCTATTTTCCTCTCTCTATCGCTGCTGCATTTGCGCCGCACTGCGCGCCTGGGTTTGGGTGCAGGGATCTCTGCGTTGCCATGCAAACCGAAGCCCCAAGCAGCTGGACAATAGTAGACATCTCGCTCACTCACACACGACGAGCTTCCTGCTTCCCGAGTTACTCACACTTTAGTCGTGGCCAGATCGGGGAAAATGGACAGATGGACAGGCATTGGGACTCGTGTCCAGCAGTCACTTAACTTGGCTGATCAGACGGTGTGCCACACCCAAGAGACTGGGTGCACGCCCAGGACCGCACCCTGGCCCCAGTGCCAGTGACTGTCCAAAGGACTCATCACCTGGCTCCACACAGCCGCAAACAAGGTTTCCAGGCCAGGTACGATGATGATGAGCGTCGTGGAGGGGAGCTAGCAGGTGGAGAGGGGGCGTGGGCTCATCCAGACAGGTGGTGGGTGCCTGGGCCCCAGAGCACCACAGCGGCTGAAAAAAAAAAGACAGGTACCGCACGGCACCACATATTTGCTTTTTTTCTTTCGTTTCTGCGCTCTGCTTGCGTCTCTGGGCGTGAGCTTTCTGGTGGGTCTGATCGGTACTCACGGCGGAGTGGAGACACGCCCGCCCATGTCAAGGCAGTCATCGATGGGCAAGGTCAGGTACCTACACGCACTTGCGACAATGCGCTGCTAAGGCTGTGCCCGAGTCCTGGGTCCATGTACTCCGGGTACGTGATGGGCCCGGAGTATATAGAAACACGAGGCTCCCGCACATCCCATCCTCATCAGTCCGATCTGCTCTGTACCATTGCAACACTCCTCCAGTCCCCTCCTCACCAGGGACCAAGAAGCTTGCTTCGAAACGGGATCGTCACTTGCCACTCCTACATTAACAACTGATCCCCATCCTGCCTTCTCTCCCTCTCTCTCCTCCATCCCACCCACACTTACACCACTTCCTCCAACACCAGAGTAGGACAGTGGAACTACCAACTATACCGGAGAGACAACACAATATACAGACCAGTACCACCGACACAACCACTACCGCCACAATGCATGTCTTTGGACACAGCTTCAGCCAGAAGCGCAAATGCTCCAAGCGTCCTCGCGACCTTCACATCCGCAAGGTTTCCTTCTCTGGCAGCTCAGTATCAGGCAGCTCATTGGACTCGAGCTCAACCGCCTCCGCCTGCACCACCATTGCTCCTTCACAATATCGCGACTCGACGGCATCTCCTCACCACCCTCCGCCTCGCCTGTACGAACGACCATTCATCGCCATCCCTGACCGCAGACACACAGCCCAGCCGACGACCTTTTACGACAGTGATGTGATTGATGATGTGGATGACGATATGGACGACGAGATTCTGGGCGACGTGACCGAGATCGACGAGGACCAATTTCACCTGGAGATGCCTCCCCACACCTGCTCCCTTGACGTCAACGACGACGATGAGGATGACTACTTCTACATGGCTGTCACCAAGCGGCCACAAATCAACCGCTCGCGATGGTCCGAGTCCACCATCCAGACCATCGCCACGGATATCTCAAGACGCTCCAGCATGGCCAGCGTTGCCAGCAGCATCCACTCGACCATTGATGAGAGCGAGGTCCCTCCCGTTCTCATCGAGCTACCATCAAGCTTCACCAACCTCCAGCAGCCCCGTGCTCACTCCGTCCCTGGAGCCACTAAGCGACCCGGCATGGTACACATGGACGGGGTCGAGAGCTTCATCAAGAGGGGCGGGTGGAAGCGACGAGGCATCGTCTTCCACGGCGAGGAGATCTACTCCGACTGTGATGGCTTCTCACTCATTTAAGAGGCCTCTGCAGCTCACTATCCTTTCTACCTTTCCTACCTTCTCTTCTCATCACTCCTTTCTTTTTTACATTATTAATTTTTGTATACACACGATGTCATGAAAACCCTTCTTTTCTTCTCTTGTTGTTTTTTCTTACATATACTTTTTTTTCTTAATCTGCTGTCCTTAGCACCTTTTCCTCATTTTGATCATTATTAGCGATTGGGATTTTACAGCGACACAAGGGAAATGCGGGCTTGATGGGAAATGTTGATTCTATCGGACATATGAAATCATTGGGACACTGCCACAAATACTGTGGATTTTTCTTTTTTTATCTTGTCATGGATTAGGCTGGCTAGCCCACAGGGATATCAAAATGTGGCGTTTGATTGACATTTTTTGGGAAACAACACATATAGAAGGGCTATCCAGCGTCGGGATCTTTTTTTCCTATTGTCGAGATACCATATCGTTTATTCAGATTTCTTCAGAGTTACTTGGATTTTACCAAGATAACTTACAATACAAACACTCCAATACGAGATGTATAAAAAAAAAAAAAAACCATGTCACCATCGCTCTCGCTTTCGTGTGGCGCCATACCCTTCCAGTGCAAAGTGATCAGCAGTTGTGACTCGCTCGTGATCTCGCCCTCGGGCCTTGGCCCCAATCACCGCGGTCCCCGCTCCCCTGCTCGTACCTGGGCCTTGGCAGGTGTCATCAGTCGTCACCAGGAACCGTTTCTGCGGCCTTGCAGCCCCTTGTCTCTGCCCGCCTTCTTGGCAAAAGCCGCGTGTTGTGTGATATGGAAAATGTGCTACTTGATTTTTTCTTCTGCCAAGGGACGAGTTCTCTCCTAAAGCCCGATTGTCGTGTACATACTTTGGGGGCGCTGCATCACGGGCGGGCTTGGCATGAGAAATACTACACTGCGGCCGCCCGTGCCTGGGAGAGGGTGTTATCCCGGGTGGGACCCCGGCTTTTGAGTGACGTTGATTCAGACGAGACGAAGAAGCACGGCTCGTCGCAGAACAAGAAATGGAAGCACGGTACTTTCAATGCTTGGTTCTAATTAACAGCCCTTCCCCCCCGCGCTTTACACCTATCAAAAACACGACAGCCGGTAGCCGGTAGGTAGATGTCCTCTATTGGCGTCATCTCATTAGTCCTGGCTCTTATTTCAGGACGCTGTCTCGTTTTCCCTCGTGTCATTGCTTATTTGCTACGCCGTTGCAACCTAATTGCCGTCTGCCTGCATGATGCAAGGTAACTCATAGCAACGCCATGACCTCGCGGCGCATGAACCGCTGCCCCGGGTCGTTGATTCCCCGTGTGGCTGGCACTCGCTGTGCTCGCCGTTTGGTAAGCATCGTAAGCAAACACTTGAATGAAGCCTCTATTTGCGTATTGGTGCGACTTGGGTTAATTACCCTTTTCGAGGGTGCCTGAGCGCTGATTAGGCCACACCTCCCCTTGCCCCCCCCGGGTGTGACCTGTCATCTGCACAGCCTTGCTTAATCTCTAGATCTGGTACGTGTAGATGCAGTCGACAAGGCAGCAGAGTACGGCTCCTGATTGAGCCGTGACTCAGAAGAGCAAAACCCGCCTGGGGCCCGACCCCTACGGCGCAGGAATTGGCGTTGATTACAAGAATATAATTTTACTCCATACTTCCTAGCCTTATGAACACGTCGGGATCAAGGCCAGGGCAGGGCAAGGCAGGGCAGACGGGTGGTCTAGGCTTCGATGCTTAGTCCAGAACGCACGCACACTCGCACACACGCCCCTAAAATACACAGAAGGAAAAAGAAAGGGACGGACGGACGGACCGGGGGGTTTGTAATTGTAAAGTTGATAGTCATCCGTAATCACACTCATCATATTTTTTTTTTGGTGCTTTGTAAACAAATCCTTCTCCACGTGGCTGTAATTACACCCTGGATCCCGGAAGTGGAATATTGCGCTTCGGGCTCTTGACGTGGTCGAAAGCCTGGGTGTTTGAAGGACTGAAAGTCCGGGCGAGGTCTGCCCAACCCACTGATGCCCGGCACAAGGGCAAGCCGTGTACACTTCCCAGCAACATACGTAATTCCGCAAGGGAGAGGCCGTCCCAAGGGTCCAGTTTGGATGGACAACTCATGCCAAATGACTTCACGCCCGTTCACGCATCCACTTCCGCCTGTCACACTGTGTCACGATGGTTACATCTGTGCAGACCGTCCGGAATGGAGACGGGGTTGATGATTATTTAGGGATCCGCGACGGGCGCCTCTTGTTTCGGGTCGTGAAGCATGCTATTGATGAAGCGAGGCCAGTGTGGAGCGACGGAATCTCGCTCTCGCCTTTGGTCTTGGAAACATGTCTCGTGCGTTTGGCTCTTTTCGTTCCAGGCCTTCCGTGAGCGACGACCCAACTCCGCCGCTACTGATAAGCAGGACCCCTGATTTTACCCCGAAGCCCGAGAGGGCGGATGCCGAGAAAGTGGCGATGGCCTCGTCGGAATGATGGGATAGATTTGACGACCCGACGATCCCGTTCCATTGGCTGCCTCAAGACGAGACAGTGACATCCTGAATTTACGGATGGAGGATCTCGATATATCGAACGCCTTCAACTTTTTTTTTTTGCTTCTTTGCGTGGCCGGATTTACATCTGATTTACACCCCTTGTACTTGACCTGGGACTCTCCTTACTCACCCCTTCGGTGGTCATTTCTCGCATACAGTCGATAGTCGCTCTGAGCCGCGCATGAACCTTCTGGGCCGCCTTGATTTCACGGAATTAGAAGCAGGTTCCTGGTTTTCAAGCAGCCTCACCTTTGTGAAAGGCGGCAGAGAAATAATTTTTCTGTGAAGACTTTTATTCTCTCATGATCTACACCGGAGAGAGGAAACTAATTCCTCTGGGGCTGGGCCTTCTGAATGCATGACATGGCACTCCCATGCTTATCCTGGAGATGCCCATGCGTTTTTGCGCTTAATTTGTGGTATTATCACTGGCCACGCTGGCAAAGGTATGTATGTAATATCATGGGGAAATAACACAGATACACGCCCCTCCAAGTCTGGTAAGTCTGGCGAGAGGTGGAGTAGGGGAAAAAATAGAAATCACAGCGTTGTGGGTTATTTGGCGTGTGAAATTTTTATGAGGATGCTTCCCCATACCGAAAAAATTGTGTTGAGAAGGGTTAATTGCGATGGGACCCTGGCCGTTTGGCGCCGCCTGTTGTTGGGCGTGGGGCTGAATCTCGCCCTGGATCCCTCTTTGGCGGAAATACAGTATCAATACCTACTACTGAGGCTGAAGTCGAGGGTTGCAATCTGCCTGGGCACCATCATGAAATGGGCCAAGCTGAGCTTGTACGGCAGGCCCAAGGATGGGGTCCAGAGCAGTGGCCCAGGGTCAACTTCAGGGTCCTGCCAAGCCTCTTTACAATGGGCCATCAAGGGTCCAGTCGGGACCAGTTTTTCCTTCCCTCAGCCTTCTCTCGACTTTGCCGAGGACCAGACCACTACCGAACGCTAGCAAGATGTCAATGAATCGAACTATTCTATCATTTGGATGGCACCTGCGCTCCCTTTAGTCTCCACGCCGTTGCAACGACATTTGCCTCTTGTGTCTTTGCTAGTTCTCGCTCGGTGCATGTTCGCGGCTACTTCCGGCCAGCAGCTTTCCATCTTGGGAGAGCCTCCGACTGTAGCTGGTACTGCACTGGGCTATTAGAGCCTGTCTCAATGTGGAACGATGAGCAGGCTGGTTGGGAGCGTCGGGGTGGTTATTGCACCTCCAAAGTCCCGATGGCTCCAGAACACGAGCGCCATGGCTGCCTGCCTCACCAGGTAACACCCATCAATTGGCTGGTCGGCGGCCAAAGGAGATTGCAGTATCAAGTGTTGCGATCGATCCAGACAAAGAAAAGAAAACCACTATCCGAACGGGATTCTCCGCGTTGCGCATCGACAGATCATGAGGTCATCTTGGCCCGACAGTCTGGAACCTCAGCACGGCTGGTTTGGTGTTCTTTTCTTTTTTTTGCCTCTGCCCCTAGTCGTGCGCTTTTCTTCTTTTCTGCACTATTAGAGTAGCAGTGGGATACACCCGGAGAAGTCCAAAATTTGTGTCTCACTGGTTTTTCCGCTGGGTGTGGCTACTTTCCGCTCCGTATACTACCTGTATGCAGGGAGAAAGGGCGGCCATCGCGGCTGTCTCCGTCGAATGGCTGGATGGCTGGAGCTCAGCCTGTGCCTCCGCCATGTCTCTGTCTGTGCCCTGGCGCCCCTCTGCTGGCCTCACTCTCTGAGTCTTCAGCTTGCCCACGTGAAGGATGACCTGTCTCAAAATGCACCTTGCTGTATCCTTGGCCTCGTCCTCTGACCAATGGTGAAGCTATCCGGACCGGCTAGCTGAGTCTCACCTCGAGGCGGCCGCCAGCCTGGAATTCCCCAAATGGAAAACCAACAGAGAGTAGGGAACAGGAGAATGGTCACCTGAAGAAGCACGCATGGAGTTTCGTTCCCCCTTACATGTCAGGTTTCGTTTGCACGCCCTCGTGTCCGACGATAGAGACACTATCTCCTCCTAACCCATCCCCAGATTCCTCAAGGTTGCCGCATGGTGTTTTGCTCTCACCAAGAATAGGCAACTCAAGCCCAAGGGAGCAGAGATACGACTGACTGTGTTGGCTCTCTCGTTTGGGATGTGGCTTACCAGCAACGTTCAGCTGCAACTTTTTTTCAGGCCAAGCCACTTTTGTCGAGTTGTCAACTCTCACTTTCCACAGTCCTGGCTACAAGGATTTCTCCCCCGTGTCTCTGCTTGCTCTGCCGCGTCCAGCTTGTAATCGCGATCGTGATCTTGTATGGCCATCGCAGCAAGAGGGGACCATTGTGAGCTGATCGCATCCCAAAGAAGCTATTATCTGCCTGGTGGCTTACAATAGTCAAAGCCCTCCTTGCCGTCTGTACCCCGAGGGAAATCATGATAATCCGCACTGGAGCTCCCAATTTCCATTGTTGTCCCTCCCACTAGCAGCACACAGGCCAAAACATCCCCTTCCTGCTATCCGCAAGGAGGAGCCACAATAACGCGTTTTTGAGCTTTGCTTTACAGGTACGGTGGTAACCTTACACCTAAAGTTGTTTATTGTCCTACGCCCTGGCGGAATACGCGGAAGTACGGTACGAGAACACAAAAAAACACCGGGAAAAAGAAAGGAAGATAAGGTAACCCCCCACGAAGTGTGTCACATAGAGAGACCTATGTGCCCACCAAACCCCCAAAAAATGATGATACCCCTCCTCCATCATGCACGTTTCACTGAGACTGGACAGCACAGCTGTAAAAGGATTCGAATGCGCGGTGAGGCTGGGGAAAGAACAGTGTTGCGGTGAATGGAGCCCGTTAAATCTGACGAGCGCACTGCGTGAGTGAGGCGGCGGTGTGAACTCGCGACGACCGGGCCTTCGGGAGGCGTTTCTTCGCGCATGGGCTGAGGGGTAGGTTGTAAAGCAAGACTATCTATCCAGGTTCTCTCGTGCAAGACACTTGGCATGAGGCAATCACGACCGAACCTGATGCCATCGCTGCCTGACCGACGTCTTTGCCTTGTCTGTTCGAGCTGACATCGGGGTTTCACCTGCAACTGAGAGGCGCTGCGCGCCAACTGGTCGGCTTTGCTGATCGTGATATCGGACGGGCTGATCAGTGTTTTCTCGGGCAGATATTGGTAATATGGTTGCCTAGCGGGTGGGTGCCTGGATAAACCTGGATATTGATGTCAACTTTCAAAAAGGGGCCGCAATATTCAGAGACAATATCTTGAAAGATCAGCCAATGATCAGGATTGGGCATTATTGCTTGATAAAAATAACGTGTAGAAGAAGAACCATTGCAATTTACGATTATTGGTTCGATGCCATAGATCTTCGATGTGTAGGAGGCTTAGTGTCCCTGTTAGTTTCCGTCTTGTCTGAGAAGTTGACTGTCCATTTGTTGGAGGCAGATCACTTTCATTGGCTGGTTGGAGTCAGGAACAGGGTGGATGTACCGGTAAGTTTCATATCGATCCTTCCCTCTTTCCAGTATGATCGCTTTGCGATGACAAAAGGCCGAAGTAAAGGCAACTTGATCAACGCCTGGTAGTGAGTACGGTATATGTAACTTGTGATACACAGAAACAACACCTGGCTACCTTGAGAGAGAGATGTCCGCGCTGGCTGTCCTTCCTGTTCTCTCAGCCTTCTTGTTCCTCCGTAAAAGTAGAGTCTTTGAGGGAATGTACCGGACTTGAACCACTGCATTCTTTTCTTAGAAAGGGAAAACAGTATCGATCTTGGTATTCCCTTGCCCATTTGGAGATGCAAGCTGTTCAGGCAAATTTGTATTTATGTCCTTGGCCAGCTCTTATTGAATGTGAATGAGGGAGACAGCAGATATGGCCTTTAAAATTTATCTTATGGTTAGTACAAGCACAGCATTGGAGGCAATGTAAAGTAGTAAGATATGTCCCGGTGTAATTTGTTGATTGAATGTTCATCGTATATATGTGTCATTAATCAGCCCATTTGCAATCCAAGAAAACGCCTGCCCATGCCCAAATCCAAAATTCCCGATAATCATACCACATCATGTGTGTCCAACAATAAGAAAGCAATGACAGGAATAAAACAAGCTTAATACATCCGGCGCTGGTAGTACACAGACTCTTCGGCATCCGACAGCTTCCTCAACTCCTCCCTGATGAGCCGGCGTCTTTCCGCACGGGTGATGGGCACCCTGCTCTTCACCAGCGGATCGGGATGTTCAGCAGCCCATGACTTCTTGGCCACGTCCGCCTGGAGCTGCTCCACGATGGCGAGTTTCTCGCGGGAGACGACCTTGTCGGTGTGTCGCACCTCAAGCCGCGGCTCCTCGGCTCGCGATACCGTGGGCGCTACCTCGATATGCTGGACTGGTCTCTTGTTCGCCTCCCGCTCGGCCTCGCTTTCTATCTCCACAACTGTGCCATCGGCTAGGCGCTGGGTGTGCTTTTTGAATTGATCTGGAAGGTGCATTTGAGGCTTGTGTCTTGGTTGTCGAGGGCGGATGGCGGTACGAAGATCCCGTAAGGTGCGCTGTTGGATCACATAGCCGCTGAGAAATAGAGCGCAAGTACAAGAAATAACTAAATGGAAATCCAGGGTCAGTTATATACAGCCTCAAAGCTTGGAATTTGGTCCATTCCAGCGCAATCAGGCTGAAAGAAGCTTACCAACAAAACTGGTGAGGAGCACCGAGACTTGAGAAGATGTGAGAAGAATTCGGCGCATTGTGATCTGTGAAATTTAAGACAAAAATTCAAGGTTGCGGATGAAAATTGGTAAAGCTGTTGCAAGATTTCAATAAAGAAAAATAGATGCTTTTTGATGAAACGAATTATACTCTCTCATTGCATCCTTTAACTCTCGAAACGCATAAACTTGTCGTCATTTGATGGGGTGATCAGGTTGGCAGAGCAACCGCCGATAAGACCTCGCGGTTTCTTATCGGAACTTTTTCTCCTGCGAAGCTTCGCGGTAGCACCCCACATGCTGGCAACCTTGCCGGAGTTCAACGCAACATCTCATGTGCGATTGATTATCTTTACTGCCCTTGAGAATTTGAAGAATATACCACTGCGCCACAATGGGCAAGCCAGATACTGTGCAGGCGGATGCCCGCCGCTTTCTCGACGAGCGTGGCACCAGCGCTTCTCTTGCGCCCAACGGACTAAACCCGGCCATGATTATGGAAAAGGCTGTCAAGGACCGTATTGTGGACTCGTATTTCTACAAAGAGCAGTGTTTCGCCGTCAACGAGGCTGATATTATCGACCGTGTTGTCGAGCACGTCTCATATGTTGGCGGCACCGGTGGTGCAACTCAGAAACCCAGCCCCTTCCTCTGCCTGGCGTTCAAGCTGCTCGAGCTTGCGCCCAACGATGAGATTCTGGGAGAGTACCTCTCAAGGGGCGGGGAGCATTTCAAATACCTGCGCGCTCTGGCGTGTTTCTACCTGAGGCTGACCAGGCCTGCCAAGGAGGTTTACGAAACGCTGGAGCCGTTTCTGGAGGATAGGCGGAAGCTGAGGAGGAAGGGCAGGGCTGGTACCAGTCTGACCTACATGGACGAGTTCGTGGATGATCTGCTCACCAAGGATCGTGTTTGCGCGACGAGTTTATGGAAGATGCCGAAGAGAGAGACGCTGGAAGATCTGGAAATTCTGGAACCGCGGGTCAGTCCTCTGGGTGACCTCGATGATATTCTCGAGACAGACGATGAAGAGCAGAATAATGACGCAGAGAGAGATGAGGAGGGAGAGATCTCTGAGTCTGGGGAAATGGATGTGGATGAAAAGGAGCGACCGAGGACAAGGAGTCGGTCGCCTTGAATACCCTTCCTCAGCGACAAGACGGACGAGCAAAGCCGATGATACCCTCACATTCTCAAAGCCGAACACAGCTGTCACCCCGCCAGCAACATGACATCTCACCCATCTCACCCAAGGATGAAAGAGCCTTCGAGTCTCAAAATGTCTTTATCTAGACCACGGATGCTTATCAAACGGCTGAGTGCCTTGGCTAGCCACAAGGGACAAACACTATGGAGGCCAAACGAAGAACATGGCTGCACTTATCATAACACTCCGATGCATACTGGCCAGGCTTAGCAGAGGAGGCATTGGATCTCGGCGGGGTACTTTGGCAACATTAATGTGGTCACGAACATTGGCGTCTGGACTATGTGGAGATGCCTGGATCATCGTTTGGCTTGGAACACAGTTATACATTAATGATATCTACACTAAGGGGCAACAAGCGCCTCCAACTTCTCTGCCATAGCTAGCAGTCTCTTGTCGTCCCAATATTGCCCAATGAGCTGTAACCCCGACGGCAAATCCTTGCCGCTCGTCTTGGATGGGACGCTCACTGCGGGCAGACCAGCCAAACTCGCCGGTACTGTGAAAACATCGTTCATATATGTGTCAACACTGCTTTGATTCTTCACCTCGCTCAACTTTGGAGGAAAGGTAGGTGCCGTAGGACACAGGATGAAGTCAACCTGGACGGGGCCCTGCTTGTCTTCTAGATCCGTCGTCTCCGCCATATCGCTCAGATCAAACTGCACGGGCTCGTGCAGTGGGTTTTCCAGCTTGAAGACGCGGTCGAAATCGCGTTGAATGAGACGGCGAACTTTCTGTGCCTGAATGAAATAGTTATCAATCGCCTCGGAGCTGAGGCTGTAAGTTCCGAGGAGGATACGACGCTTGACCTCCTCGCCAAAGCCGCCCCCCCGGGTTTCGGTATAGAGAGTTTCTCCAACGGCGTCTGGACCTTCGTTGCGTACGCCATAACGCACGCCGTCGTATTTGGCGAGGTTTGAAGATGCCTCGGCCGGGGCCAGGACATAGTAAGCGCAGAGCGCCTCTTTGGTGGAAGGCAGCGATACGGGGACAACCCTCACACCTTGTTCTTCAAGAAGAGAAATTGCAACCTCCCAAGACTCTCGAATAATGGGATCTAGTTCGGCAATGTTGTACTCTTGAGGGATGCCCACGGTGATACGAGGAAAATCAGGCAGGCTTGCGGGCATTGCTTGCTCGCACCGCTTTCTCGTAGAAGGTGATAATGAAGTCGGGTCGTTGAGGTCATGCTCTTTGCTCAACCCCGTATCGAATATGAGCGACCGCATAGGTTGGACCTTCTTAGCAAGTAGCCCGACAGTGTCCAGGGAGTTCGCATATGGGACGACTCCGAACCGAGACAGCATGCCGTAGCTAGGCTTGTATCCCACAATGCCCGTATAAGCCGCTGGAAGCCTGATTGACCCTCCGGTATCCGTTCCAAGGGCGAGATCTGCATCACCTAGACGAACAGCCACGGCGCTGCCTCCAGAACTCCCTCCGGCGGAAAGATCGTTCGACAGAGGATTGCGCACAGGTCCGTGGGCGGAATTGACCGAGTGTGATCCCATACCGAACTCATCCATATTCGTCTTGCCAACGACCGAAGCTCCTCTAGCCCGGAGCTGTTTCACGATGGTGGCTTCGAACGGCGAGGGGTGTGCGGAGAGAATTCGAGAGGCGCATTGTGTCGGGAGCCCAGCCGTCGCAATGTTGTCTTTTACCGCGAGCGTGAATGGTTTCTCATGATCTACAAGCGGTGGCGAGATCGGCTGAGCTGTGTAGGATATTAGTCAATTGTTTGTGGCTATCGTGACAATCCATTCGTACCTGTGTCGACGAAGTGGTTATAGCCGCTTTGACAACGCCATTGCTGCTGAAATGGCGCAGTGAGGGCGGGCCCTCTCCATGGAGATCTCCCTAACCGTCGAGGTCTAATTGATAAGGCCGGGCGACGCAAAACTGCCGGGCTCATGCTTGGTTAAATACCATCGAAGGTTGGGGGAGCTTGTGAGTGGTGGTGGTGCTCTGACTGTGGGCTAACTTTGGGTGAGATCTGACGGCAAAATTCCGCCCCGCGGAACAGAATAATTTAATTGCACGTACCACTTTCAACCAACATCTCCTCCTCCAACTTGTACAGCCATCCACTCATCGTCACACTCTCCGACCGCACATCCTAATTTCAGTCTGCGATATCAGGCATGGCATCCAAACGCGATCTTTCTGATCTAGATGAGGGCGAAGTCACGGAGCCAGAGATCAAGCGCAAAAGGAAGAACTACCACTCTGGCGGTACGCGACAACATCAGAACTCCAGCATCGACTCAACCTGGGGCCAGAAATACGTCTTCTCGGGCTATGGCGATGCGACGACAATCCCTCCAGGAGAGGAGTCCGACTTTGAGGATGATGCGGAAGCTATGGCATATTTGATGTCTGTAAGGTGAGCAGCTTCCCTACCGTTACCATTTCAGCCTTCATCTTACTGAACGATTATTTCCTTGCACGCAGAAATGTAGAGTTACTGATTTGGTGAGTATCGAATTATAGGCAAGAAGCATCCGATATACCCCATCTGCTTGTTGCGCCCAAAGTTCAGATCGGACCACAGCTACCGCCTGAGCTGAAGCAAGACGGTAGCGACGACAACGCCGAGGGTGACCACGACGGCGACTACGAGTACGATGGCGATGGCGATGTTGACCGAACCACGTATACAGATGGAACAGGTGATGCCAGAGGATATTACGAGGATGGGGCCTACATCTCCCTGCCTGGGCCTGGAGAAGGAGAGGAGGAGGAGGAAGAGTACGACGAGCCGGGCGAGCTAACGGAGAAGGCGATCCACGAAGCCTACTTTGCGGCTCTTTTGGAGAAATATTCCAATCTCCGGGATCTTCTCAACTCGACCCGACCTCCCGACGCCTACTCTCGATTACCTCCATCAACCGCGACCGAGGCTGCGCCCTTTGGTCGCAATTCATTCACAATGTCCAAGTGGTCTGGCCTCATACGCAAGACGGACCCTCTTCCCCTCCAGGTTGCACTCATATCCAAGGATTCTGTTCTGCGCATCCTAAGAGTCATCCTCAGCGGCAAGTTTCTTCGCCAAGGACAGCCCATATCTGAGCGCACAAGTCGCTGGCTATGGGCGCTCCTGGCTCGTCTGCCGGAGCGAGGAGAGATGACCCACGTCGAGATCGGCTGGGTCCGCGACTTGGGCAGAAGAGCGGTGTTGCTGGGAAGGAGCCTTGCCGAGATGGCGGCTCTGAGAGAAGAGCTGGAAGATGGCGGGTTGGGCGTGCATGAGTACGTGGACGGAAGCAGCAGCGACGAAGAAGATATGGTTGAGGATCCGGAGGCCAATGATGGTGTAGACAGCCCAATTGATAGAGACGGCACCCCTGATTTCCCACCCGACGATCCAAAAAAGGCTAACAGCACTTCCGAAGCTGTCCCTGCTGCTGCTGTTGCTGCTGACCAGCCGGGGGAGAGAAAGCTGACTGATGGCCAAGAGGATGAGCTGGAAGAAGGTGAGATCTCAGAGGAGGAAGACAATAACGGCAAAGGCAACGGTGATGACGACGAGGATGAGGATGTTGCGATGGAGATTGCATCCAACTCATCCGTTGGGGAGAATGAGGCATCAGCAACAAACCCCGACGACCTAGAAGCTGCAAAGGCTCGGCTCCTAGCACAGGTCGACGAGGCCGAGGCTGAGAATGATCAGCTTTCTGCCGATGAGGCCGCCAGGTACCGTGCTCGTATGAATATGCGCGCGACGGTCAACATGATACTCACGATCGCGGGCGAGTTTTACGGCCAACGAGATCTACTTGAGTTTCGAGAGCCTTTTGTAGGTATGTAAAGGTCTTTGCAATTTGGCGGGTTGCTATCTAGATTCAGGTTGGTATTTGTACATGATTACAGCGTTTGGGTTTTGATTGCACAGAGTGTTAACGCGGTTCTCTGTGAGGTGTGTAGATCAGCCGCCACTAAGTACCTATAATTATTAAGATCCAGAGAGATTCGCTGCATGAATTTCCATAGGAGTCAGCCCATTGCATTCTGTTAGTCACCAGTGAACTACAAAAGCTAATGAGCCTGTAATATATTATATTGCATTGCATCTCGCGCGAAAGGTGAAACGAACAAAAACAAAAAAGTAGCCAGCTAGTATAGTGAAAAAAAAAATCTCAAATTCAAAATGGTATCCTCCCCGTCTTTATGTTTGTCTTGTGACATGCCAGTGTTGTTAAACTCCAAAAACGCCAATAGAACCAAGATCACCTCCAGTCAAAACTTCTCAATAGTCATCATACAACATGCAGCCCATCTCGCGTAAATAGAAATGAAAGCTTGAGTTTAGTTTGCTGTATCCATCTCCTCGCCGCTTCCAAAGACGAGGAAGTCGGCGTCCTCAAAATCATTGCCGGTAGCCATGTTCTCTTGTCCATAATATCCACCACTAGAAGACTTCTTGGAGAAGCGAGATCGTGGGGCAGACTTGATGCGCTCGTTCACAAGACTGACAGGGGTCAAGCTTCGAGTTTGGGGATCCTCATCCTCGTCGTCATCCAGGAAACGCTTGCGAGACGTCGAGGAAGAATCAATACTTTCCGCACTCTCTTGAGACATGGTGAGCCCCGGCATATCATCCAGGCCAGGGGTGTCATCTTCGTCGCTGTAATCATCCCTATCGACAGCAGGTTGAGTATCCAAGCCTCCGACTTTGTTGATGCCGCAGAATGGCAGGAGCTCCCTGGACACGACCCTGGCCGAGGTGGGTGAGGTCTTAGGGGCAACGTGTGTGCGGTCGTCAGTCCAGAGCTTGAATGCACTGGTACCCTTGGTCTTGTACCCCTCCGGGACGGATTTGCGCACACGCATGCCCACACTAATGAGGTTTGACTGGACGTTGGCTGGGAGCGCAGGGGCCCGAGTGGATGGGACGGGTTGTCCGGGTGACTGTGCGTTGAAGAAGGACGTAATTTGGCGCTGCGATGGGTCGGCAGCCGCACCAGCAAATGGACGCTTGACTCGTGGGTTGGACATCTCGTCGGGATTGATTAATTGAGTGTTGTAAAGAAGATGATGGAATGCGTGGACAGGAGCCTTTGATTGTCCGGCGGTGGTAGCAATGATAGATATAATGAGGGTGTATGTGTTAGATTTGTGGTTGTTGGGCTGTGGCGCTCTGTTCTGCTTTGAGGTTGCTGGCTTGATGCTAGTAATAAGCCGGCCAATGCTGGTCCGAGCGGAGGGGCAAAACAGGGATTCAAGGAGAGAAGTGAGACAAAAGAGAGATTGCGTAGATGAGTGGAGAGTGTCTAGGTTGGACTGGAAGAGTTGACGAGAAAAGAAGAGGGGAGAGGCGATATTGCGTCAGAGGTGGAAGAAGAGAATTGGTTGTGCAGGATGGCAGGGAGGCTGGGGGTCAGTCTCGGAAAGCTGCAAGCGGAGATTGGCCAGCGGCCCTGCACAAGCACCGCACCTGCATTACATCTGTGGGGTAGGGGACCAAGGTTAGAGGCGCGTCAGGGTCGTGTTTTTTCGCGTTAAGTGGTACATGGGTACATGAGGGTTAGAACAAGCTGCTGACTTATCAGATATGCACGGACCTCCAGGGAAGTTGTGATGAGCTCCAGGTTAGCTGAGAGCTCCTTGAGTCCTGGTATCGGTGTCGTTTTGAGCCATTCGTGCCAAGCAGATGATACCTCAAGGATGTTTGCATTTCACTAAAGGCTGATTCAAAATATATGGAGAGATATATGCCTATACATTGACGATTTTTATTAGCCTGCCGATTACTATTGAAACAGCTGGTTTCGGGCGACCTCAGGCGAGGCTCATATGATACGGAACATTCTGTCTATGAGCGAGATCGTAGGGGTAGCAATAGTCACATTAGTTGGATGATTATTAAGAGTGCCGTGCCTCAGAACGAGCGATTTGGTTCTTTAACTTGATATAACCTTGTAGTTTGGTTGCGGCTAGTATGGTTATGAGTCTACTCCGTGGTGTCTTGTGTCTATGCCTTCGATATCCAGCATGCTGCGCGCAGCCCTCCAGTTGACCGGAATGGAGCTTTGCATTACCTTATGCTGAAAAGGGGGAATCTGTAGTAGGACTCTTCCTCTTCCTTAGAATCATGGTGAATCATGATGAATCATCCGCATGCTTGATAAGGTGTGGTGTCAGCCTAGGCCGAATGACTCATGACGATGGACCTCGCAGTCGTTCAGGCATTACAGTTCACAGCAGTGGCAAACAGACATCACAAGGTTCATGCAGGATGTGGAAACCATTTGAATTTCGCAAAGCACAGTGTCCTCCTACAGCTATTCACTGCACTTGGGTATGAAGCGATCATCAACCAGCGGTTCCACGTCCTCACGTCTAGCCCAACGTAGACGCTCCATGAAATGCTTTCTCCAGCCATCCACCCCATGCAGTGCTTTTTAATGTTCCAGCCTAAGAGACGACTCTCTGGTACAAGACGTGACGTAAAAACGAGGAAAGCTCAAGTGCCATGCAAGATATCCGGAGACCCCCAAACGCCCCTGTTTTGGGTGTTCCATCTTCTATCTGCAAACGAGGTTTGATTATTGTTGCCGCATCGAAAGTTGTCCGTGTGCCACGTCGATGATTTTTTTTTTTTTGTTTTGCAGATCCGAGATGACCACCGTTAGATGAACCGTAAGAGTCGTGAATACCCAAAGAAAGAAACTACCAGATGTGGTAATTTACTTTCTGCGGAAAGAGCAACCCTCGGTTAATCGTGCCTTACCACCGGTAGGCTGGCACAGAACGGTCGTGCAGCCCTGGCAGATGACGACGGTCTGGGCGTGGGAGAAGACGGTGGTGATGGTGAAGCATCCGGGGCACTTCACGTCCATGAAGAAAGATCGGGGGGCGGGCACGAGGGTCTGTGACCGTGGTTGTTAGACACTGAAATTTCTAAATCGCAGAGCCATTGGAGGCAGGCTTCTCGATGTAATCGTACCTTGAGCTTGTGCTTCTTAGCCTCGGCGGCCGGGGAAGGGTTGAGAAGATCAACGGCTAACACCTAAATGACAAGAAGGATCAGTACTTGGATTTCTGACACAATGATGATGATCGGCGGCGTAAAAAGGAGAGCAATATGGGTTATCGAGAGCCGTGAGGTGAAGGAGGCCGCGGGGAGTTGTGGCAATGGGTGTCGTGCGACTCGTCGATAAAATTCCATCTGGTTGAAATTTCGACATCCAAAATTCCTCCATCCAACCCGTGCTCGAACGATTCCACTCTAGTCGTGTGTTTTGCTTGAAATGCAGGAAATTCGTCGCTTACCATCTTGACTGATTTTTTTGGTGAAGAATTGAAATGGAGGACTTGCGAGTGTCGGGCTAATTGACGGTATCTGGCGACGGATTCGAGGCTCGCAGAAGCGTGAGAGGAGGTAAGCGAAGAAAAAGTTCGGTGGGCTTGAGGGGGAGGTCCTCCTTTGCCTCCGGTCCAAAATTCCCACCAAAGAGGAATGGCGTCCTAGGGTTGTTCTGCCCGGGCGCACGTGAGTCGGCGGTTGCCCGAGCCCCATTGGCCCACGCTGGGTCTGCCCATTGACCTGCCGATCCTGATGGAACATCGATGAAATTATGCAACCAACACTGGTAGTCTTGTGCACATTTATGCTAGTCTGGAAACACCACCTTTAGACCCTTGTAGCCCCATTGACGTACGCGGGTGACAGAATGTTGGTGCCTTGGAGTACTTACGCAGCTTGATCAAGTCCATCATTTTCTGGCATTGCTGCTTGCATCCACCTAATTACCCTTTTCTTCAACCGCTTCACATATAGTGACCATAAACTACAATGGCTGCCCCTGCAGATCAGCGTATTGCTGTCCCTATCGATGACCCTAATGCAGACACCGAGTGGTAAGCTCCAAGACCCCTCCAAAAATGCTTAGGGCGGGGTTCTAACAAAATCTACAGGAACGACATTTTACGAAAACATGGAGTCATCCCCGAAAAGCCGCCTAGCCCGACACCTATGATCGAGGAGGCCATTCTCGAGGGAAGGAGATTAGCACACGAAAACAGACTCGAGGGGAAAGACTTGGACGAGCTTGACGAGCTGGAGGATCTCGAAGACGATGCCTTCCTCGAAGAGTACAGGCAAAAGCGCCTGGCCGAGCTGAGCAAGATTCAGAAAAAGGCCGTCCACGGCAGCGTATATCCAATTACCAAACCAGAATACCAACGAGAAGTAACAGAAGCTTCCGAGAAGGGTCCCGTTTTTGTGAACCTTACCTCCTCAACGGGAACCAATATCGAGTCCAAGGTTCTCTCCGACTTATGGCGTCAGGCAGCGCAGGAATATGGTGACATCAAGTTCTGTGAAATTCGAGCCAACCAGGCAATCGAGAACTATCCTGACCGGAACTGTCCTACAATCCTCGTGTACAACAAGGGGGATATCGTCAAGCAACTGGTCACTCTTGTCACCATCGGTGGTGTTCGAACTACCATGCAACGAATTGACGACATCCTCGTTGAGGTTGGTGCCGTCGCCGACTCAGACCTGCGCGTTGTCAAGCGAAGGCGCGCAGCTGAAGATGCCGAGGAAGAGCGCCTCATGGCAGGCAAGACAATCAAGACAGGTGTTGCTGGGAGATCGAGGGGCGATAGTGATGATGATTGGGATTGATCTATTAGAATTGGTGTACAAAGCGTGGCCGTGAGGTCAAATCTAAACAACAACAATGTGCATATAAGTCCGGTTTACCCAAAGCACCAACGGAAGTCTGGTTGTGGAATGGTCCGAGCGGATATCCGGAACAAGAACAACATCGTTTGCCGACGCTAGGACCCTGTGTCGAGTCTCGACCATTCATTATCTGATCCTCGACCGCTGACATGTGGCGAATGCGAGGGCAGATCGTCGGGGGCTGGCACCAAACTGGGGGGTCTCATGACGTGGGGCGGGAGGGGCCCTAGCGCTGGTCCATATTTACGTGCCTAGTCGCGTGCGTTCGAAGAAACGCGTTTTCCTCTTGATCCCATTGCGCCTAGCAGACAAAGGTTTATTTATTATCACGTTTGCTAGACATTGTCCTCGAGAAATCAGCATCAATTTTGGCTTTTGTCTCTCTAAAGAAGCTTGCGCAGCTTATTTCAAGCCCAATGGACCAGGAGGACGTCTCGCTTCCCCCGCTTATAAGCGGCGTGTCGCACAATCCGCGAAAGCGCCCGCGCCAGCCACGGTTGTCGTCGTCACTTTCCGTGAATTCCAGCGACCCGGCCGTCTTTTCCAGCGATGATGATCCCGCACTGGATAACTACGTAGAAGGCCGCCAGAAGAAGAAGTATATTGGCTCCTGGTTTAAGCACGATCCAGCATCATCCTCTGACTCCACGTTTGGCGAACCCACCGTTCTCTTGGGACCCAAACCAAAGCGAACTTTCAGGCGAGACTTCGACAGTGGTGTCTTTCTCGGCAGCGATGGCACCGACAGCGAGGGAATTCCGGAAGTTCTGGACATTCCGGCAAAGCCGAAGCTTCCTCTAGTTGCTGCCCCTAAGATCTCCCCTACAGAACAGAAGCTGAGGGACAGGATTGAGCGCTGTCTTGAGACTGGGGATGAGGCCATCGACTTCTGGCAGATGGATCTGTGTGAATTATCCAACGATACCATCGCTCCTCTTTCTCAATTTGCACACATCCCCAAGATTACAAAGGATGTCGCTTTTGAGCAAAAAGAACCCGAGCTCAAGCTGTATCTGGCCCAGAACAGATTGATGCGCCTACCTGGCGCTCTGTTCGATGTGACCTACCTCACCACACTCAGCCTTCGCAACAACAAATTGACCGAAGTCCCTCCAGCCATTGGGAAAATGCGCAACCTCCAGCAGCTCAACTTATCACAGAATCGAATCCGGAGTTTCCCAGTTGAGCTCCTTGACCTCTTCAACGCCAACAGCCGCCTGGAGGGCTTGTCCTTATTTCCCAACCCTCTTCTACCAGCAGAACAGTCGTTTGAGAGCCTCCTAGACGACGTTGGTGCAGAGCCATTTGAAGTATGGGACGGTGCTCCCTGGAAGACTACCGAGAATCTACCTCGATTTCTTACACGTCGCCTGGGTCGCTCACCTGTTCAGACTTCAGAGAGTACGGGCAAAATTACGTCTGCCTTCACTATGAAATCAGCCATGGATGCCGGCCCCGTCCACGTGGAACATTTCTTTAACTCCAAACACGAGTCGCACGCATCTCCAAACCCCTCGGATGAGCCCAGTGTCGCAGTCCAGCAACAGACGGCATCCAGCACCAGAGTACCAAGTCTGGTAGAGACCGTGATGAGAAGTGCCCATAGGAGTCCTCATCTCGGCGAGATGGCTTCGTATATTCCTGATGAGCTGTCTCACCTCCGTACACTGTGCGATCGAGCTGCACTACAGAAGGACCAGGGAGGACTGGTGTGCTCACAATGCCGAAGGACCATTGTGACTCCGGCGCTTGAATGGATCGAATGGCGAGAAATACGATCCTTCTCAGAGAGCACGAGGTTTGGTAGAGCTGGCAAATATCGTTTGGTCCCCATCAGCGTGCGCCGAGATGAGATCAACGTACCATTCATACACCGAGCATGCTCATTGAGGTGCGGTCCACAGGAACAACATGCAGGTTGGGAATTTCCCGAGGGAACTCGGGGCAGAACCATTGGGAATATCTTTTATACGGGTCCCCTCCCGAGTGAGGAGGGTACACCATCCGATTCATAAGGCAGCGTTTTTTCACTTTTGCTATTTCATCAACGTGACAGGATTCTTGTTATTTTGGCGCAGCGGACCATTCGGTCAACAGGACATTATTGAGCTGGAGTGTATATATTTCTACCCGAGCAATCGAATATATTTGAACGGCCTTCTAATTCTTAAGGAGGTCTCAACTGGCATACAGCACGTCAAACATAGGTCTCGCATTTCTAAAGTGCCACCATGCATTATTAAGTTACGCTGTGGACTCGTAACCCCGCGTCTGTGTTGCGCTGTAGAGCTTCGAGGAAGCGGTACGTCAGACGCCATCCAACCGTTACGTGCCACCTGACCCGAACCAGGCTTATGACCAACCTTAGTGGCAAGGATAAGCTCAGCCATGTCCCCATTATCACTTATAAAAAAGTCTAGCTCTCTGGCATTGCCAAGTAAACTGAGTCAGTGGACAGGTCATCCTCTGATCTAGACTTTGAAGGCGAAAATAATAGATATCCCACCACTTCAATTGCTTGACTCGGGCAGCACAAGACCTCCATCGCAGGTGCATCCATGGAATAAACTGTGTGCAAGAGTCGTAGTCAGTAGTAGCACTAATCTCGTGAGGCCACAAGCAAAGAAGACATGGGCCTAATTCATGCACAGATCCAGATGGAATGCATATCAGCAGGGAAGTGGGGGGCGATTCAGCGCATCGTGAACCTGGTGCCCGCCTGTAGCGCCTTTTGCGCGCTGTTAGATTAGGGGACCAGGCCTCTTATCACCTGGCGAACCGAACCAAGCCCAAAGTCGTCATCTGCCCCATCCATATGCCAAATGCCTGCCTTTCCCATCCCTCCGGCCTGGTTATTAGCTCTCTTTGAACGTTTGGTCCATCTCCCCCTCCCAGCACGCCTTTTCGCGGCATAGCATTGGCCTGTGGCGTCGAGAGTTTTGGTATTTGGTTTTAGAGATGAAAACCTAAGTTCCAACTTTATACGCTGCCCTGCCCTTAAAGGACATTCCGACTTCACATTGCTTTGCGTCCCCTTGCTCGAGGACAAAGGGAGAATCCGCCGTCGAAAATGGCCTCTCCCACCACATCGCGGCCTGTGTCGCCAACGCCATCGCAGCTCCCACCAGTCCCTGCCTCTCCGGTCTATTCGATGGCCTCAACCGCCAATCCCCTGTCTCAGTTCAGCCTCCCGCTGCCGCCGCCCCCACGACCTCCCCACGCCGTACTCACCAAGGCCGACCTCGAGCGCTCCCAGGAAGCCTACTCCGACCTCGTCTCCTCCGCCAAAGCCTACCGGCTCGCCCTCGCTTCACTGTCCACGGCGGCATCCACCTTCGGCTGCGCACTGGAGGCATGCGCCCGCCTCAAGGAGTCCCGCGCCGAGCCGGTCGCCCCCATGGGCCCCAGCAACATGTCGGCCAGCTTCACGACTAAGGGCGCCTGCACGGCCGACACGCTCATGTCCGCCTCGGGGGTGCAGCACCTAATCGCCAACCACCAGCAGATCCTGTCCGAGACGGTGTACCGGTCCTTTGAGGTGCCGCTGCTGCACGAGCTGGACAAGTGGCAGACGCTCATCGACGACGAGGAGGAGGCGTACCAGCAGCGGATGAAGACGCAGAGCAGGGAGATTAAGCGTCTCGAGAAGGAAGGGATGAAGCTGCACCGGCAGCGCAAGCGGGATGTGGGCCGCTTCCGGGCGCACCTCGTCGAGCTCACCAATAAGCTGGACGGGCTCACGACGCTCCACGCGGACCACTCGCGCACGCTGCTGAGGGACAGCCAGGACACGAGCGGCCGGATCGTCGACGCCAGCTGCAGCCTCGTGAGGGCCGAGGTGGACATATTCGAGAGCCTGGCGAGAAAAGGGTGGACGGGGGGAGGGCTGGAGGATCTCCTCGAGAAGGGGCAGGACCTGTTCGCGACGGAGGACCTCGGCGGCCACCACGCCGGGGTGGTCGGGGAGACGACCAAGCTCTTCTCCATCCTGCCGCCTAAGAGCATCCTCGCGGACTCTGCATCAGATGCCTCTAGGCCGGGCCACGCAAGGAGCGATAGCCTGGGCATGGACTCTGGCCAGTACCAGTCTCTCGCCGCTGTTGCGGAGGCTCGCGGCGGCGGCGACGCTGACAGTATTATGTCTGCAGAGTTCACTAAGCCTCGCAATGCCAGGCCGTTCTCGCCACAGCCCATTCGGCGAAGGGCGACAGATGTGAAGGTTGACAGCCTTGGGGCCTTTTCCGGGGAGTCTTCGTCTATTAATGGAGACGAAGATGTCCTTCGGGCAGATCATAAGGTGCCTGCGATCGATCAAGACATCAAGGAAGAGGAAAATGAGGAGGAGGAGGAGGAGGAGGGCCAAGAGGCCATTTGGGATGAGAGACAGGAGCTCCTGAGCAACTCCGGAAGACAAACACCGGAGCAAACACGAGGACGAAAATCACCAGAGTTCATCACCGATGAAAGTTCGCCAGATCCATAACGAGCGAACCATTACACACACACAAGTCAAAGCAGAATGCTGTCATTATCTTGATTGTTGGAGTTCATGGCGTTGATAACTTCAGGAGCGAAGTTTGGTAGTTATAGACAGATCTGTATTATTTTGCTGTAGTATATATATATGCTTACAGCGGGTATCCATCAATATCCGCTGTGTCTATCAGACTGGCCAAAATATCCTATTCATTTTACCACCAATTTAAACGGAGTGCAAAAAAGAAGAAGAAAACGCCAGAACCCCAATCCTGCTATGCGGCTAGAGCAAGCCTTCCACTACTTTCACATTGCTCATACAACTCTCTTGTATCATATACATCCACGCCCCTCCTTAGGTTTATTCGTCCTTGTCGATGCTGGAAATGTCCCCTCGGAAGAGACCGAAAGTGGAATCGAGCCACCAGATAATCTTCCAGTACAGGCTTGCTCGATTCCAATCAAAGTCGCCCGTTTCGGTTCGAGGGACTTCGTTGCCAATGATGCTGCCGCTAAACCAGTTGATAAAGGGGATTGCGCTCACAACGCGCTGGGCCATTGACTTCTGGGGCTTGAGAGCCTGCTCGGCAGGGAGGAGGACTGCGCGGCGGGCTGTAGGGATGCTGCGGCAGAAGACGCTGTCTTCCACAATCAACGGTTCAATGCTCGAGGATGTGGCTCCAGAGTCTCCAATTGCAGCTGGGGTGGACTCGATGACTGTGCCGCTCGAGAGCGTACCGGTCTCGAGGGTTTGGCTTGAGTCCAGGGACTGGGGTGGGGAGTTGTTCAGATCAACAAGACGGCTGTTGAAGGACGTGGGGAAGCTGGTCACGCTCTTTCTCCTAGGCTGACCAAAGGCCGAGGGCATGCTCTTTGATCGTTCATGCTCTCCTCCGAACAAACTATCGAGGTCTGGAATCGGTTCGTCTTTGGGAGGTGGCATCCCCTTGTATGGCTCGGCGTAAACAAGGTGACCCAAGATGCGCTGTGGGCTCGCGTAGATGGCAGCATCCGCAGCCTGGGCGCTCTCAAATGTAACTTTGATCCAATGCTCACCTCCATCGACACGGTTGACCTTCATCCGCTCCTTTGCATTCAGAGTTCGCTGTCTCCTGAATGCAGGGTCCCGGAGCTGAGACTTGTAGCGTCGCTGTGATGGGGGTGGCTCACGAGGGTAGTCCTCCAGGATGATACCAGCAAGCGACTCGAAATGCGAGATAGCAGCGTATTGTTGTGTAGAGGATCGGTAGCCGCGAAGCATAATCTCGACGGGCTGGGAGGCTTTCGTCTGGAGCTGCTGTTGCTGTTGCTGCTGCTGCTGTTGCGATGCCTGGGACCCTTGCGAGTCATCCTGCTGTTGCTGGGCGCTATCCCTCTGCTGCGTCGCCGAGGCGTTGGCTTGGTGGCCTGCCACCCAGTCACCGAAGAGCTTATCGGCAGCAACTAGAGTTTTGTTCTCGCGGCCGCGTTGCGCTGGTGTGCCGGTGCGTGATCGGGAGCGACGTGTCGATTTTCCGAAGGAGCCAGACTCGCCAATATTTCGCCGCGATCGGGTGGTTCCTGTGTGCGCGTCCGGTCTGAAGATCCCATTAGCTTGGCTCCCCAAAAGGGGGATGACGGATGATGAAAAAGTTCATACTGGTTGAAAATCATGGCATAGGGACGCTTGACGCCATCATCACCAACATAGCATTCGTCATCGGGAACATTATGAAGAATAAGAGGCGCCATGGTGAAAAGATGGAAACCGCAAACGAGTTTCGCGTTGTACGTTGTGGTGGTGAGAAATTGGAACGGCGAGCTGTCGCGACAAACGCTGCTGGATGGGCACACCTAACACAGAGCTTTCTCTGTAGATATTTCTTGTTTGATGTTTAGCCCAGGAAAGCTCCAGGGCAACGCAGGAAGCAAGTTTCTCCGATACCCGGTAGAAGCTACCTACCTACCCTGTAGCCTTCACCTACTCCGCTCTATGTTTGAAGAAGTTGGGTCAAATGATTTAATAGACTGAAGATCTAAAAGAAAAGAGAAGGAAATTATGTGTATTCATAAATCAATTTGTTTCTCTTACATCCATATATTTAAGGTCAATGCGTATGTGTCACAAAGAGAGAGGATGTGCTCTTAACATTTACACGACAATGCCAACTTGACCCATTGTCAGTGAGCGGTGTCACTAACTACATTGGGTTTCATTGACACAAATATGAATAGCATTATAAGTTTTTTATAATTGAACAAATTGAAATTATCATCTAATTCGAAGTCTCGTATATATAAACCCAAAATTATTATGGTCTGCACGAATATGTTCACACATTTCCTTCCTTTTTAATAACCTTGATGATTGAAACTGATCGAAAGCGAAGCCTATGAAATGATTTGGCGATGGTTTTTGTTCAGAAATTTTTCCATGTAATTAGAAAGATATCGTTGGGCTAGTAACATAAGTTCATCTGAAAGCTTCTGGACCTAAAAAAGAACAGTTGTCTTTGCCAATAGCACCTGCTGCGCTATCTCATGTGATTGTAAACTTTATGTGCTCCAAGGATTTGTTTACAGTCATTATACAGAAGTATATTTACCCAGAGACATTAAAAGCATTCCATGAGATAACAATTGTGCACTTCCTCTTTGCGTTGAACTCATAAGAGACAAAGCTCAAGTATCCTGACCTAAAGACAGTTGTGGCCACCGATTTGGTGCATCGCGGGTGAGACGAGTTAGCCGATTTGTGTATTAGATTTCCATAGAGGGAACGGACAGCAGCACTGAGGCCTAAATACTATGGAAGAATCACTGGTTTATTCTACTGAGGGGGGGCTTGAAAAAGTCATAGTAGGAGCATATGCTGTCTGGGCTCCGCCTTAAAGATCTAAGTAGTTCAAAATGTGGATATAACAACAGAGAGAGCATACCTGTTTTAGAATGATATTTAGTCATATATCAACTGTTTAGAGAGATAAATACAAAGTTCCCCTTTGTTGGGAAATATCCTCGACAGCTGATTGTTATCCTCCGTAGAAAGATAATGATTAATGAAATAAAGGCCGGCTAACAGTGTAGATTGGGTGATGTCGATAGAAATATATGCTACAAATAAATATGGGGAAGGTTTTCGATTCATTCTAGCTGTCTTTTCACACATTATGCTAGAGGATACTAAAAACCATCCCTTGATATGGAAATCGAGAGGCTGTTCCGGAGAAGATACTGAACTTCCTAGTACCATTAGTTGGTCTCTAGAAATGATATTGGAGAAAGGACTACGAGGGGAAAAAAATTAATTCATCTGTTGCGTTGGGGACATTCACACCCCTCTTTGCATAATACATTTACCGCACTACTCTAATAGAAGGAGGATGATAATTCGTACGTCTAGGGCGTAAAGACCACCTTCTGAACCTTGAGCTGATCGAATAGCTGGTAACCCTCAACCGCACTGGAAAGCGGCATAATATTTTCGAACATGAAGCTAAGACAAAAAAATCAGCTTGATGAAAAGTAGGAGAATCAAGGTTCTGACCTGAGAAGATCTTGCTTTTTCTCAAGCAATTCGAGAGCTTCGGGAAAGACACTTCGCACCGGGCAGCGACCCATTTGAAGGCGAATATTTTTTCTGACATGTGGTTAATTCCCAATATTACTCGTGAAGAATTTTCGTAGCCAGCATATACATACCCATAGGCTTCATTGCCTGTCCAGGGAACCTGAATGCTATCAGCATGTGACAAGCCGTCTTTGCAGAATGACCATACCTCTGCATTATGAACGCCGATACTGCTAATAGTACCGAATGGGCGGACTGAATCAAACGCAGTCCTCAAGGCAGGTGAGAGCCCGACGACTTCAACGGCCATGTCGGCACCTCTGCCGTCTGTAACCTCCTTGATGCGCGCCTCCATTGCTTCCTTGTCCTTTGCCGAGTTGAACGGTTCAGCCCCAAGCTTCTTGGCCTGCTCCAGACGGCTATCTACCATATCTATGGCAAAAAGATGTTTCGGTTGTAGATGAGCTGCGGCGACAATGGCACATAGGCCAACAGGACCGCACCCAATAATGACAATGGTGGCATCGCGTACATCAATGGACGGCGACATTTGAACCGCACTCTTGACACCAAAGTAACCGGTTGGGAATATGTCAGCCATGAGGACGAGCGCCTGGTCTGAGATAGTAGGTGGCGCTTTGGCGACGGTGCCATCCGCAAGCGGAACTCGTACAAACTCGGCCTGGCCGCCGTCCAGGACCTTGCTCCCAAAGAGCTGGCATTTGACACAGCGCGAGCTACTGCCATGGGTACAGTAAAAGCATTCACCACTGGAAGAAGAAAATCAAACAATTAGTTGACACGGCTAATAATAGGGTATCGAGTCATTCACGAAGTAAAAGATGGACTCACCATGAAGTAGTAAACGCTGACACGACCTTGTCACCAGCCTGTACTGATTTCACTGTAGGCCCTGCAGCTACAACGGTTCCAGTGAACTCATGACCCATGATAAACCCGGTAGCACTGGGCTGGTGCCCTCGGTACACATGGAGCTCGCTAACAAGGAGACTGGTTAGTCTCTATCACACGTGTAAATCTTTCGAGCTGAAACATACGAGCCGCATAGTGCCGAAGCACTTACTTTGACAATGATGTCGTTGTCGTCAAGCACTATCATGAGTAGCTCCAGTTAGACAAGGAGCCGGCGCGAGCGGGATGGTAGATTCAGTGGATAGACCCCGCAGTAGCTTAACTGTACGTACATTGAGGAATCGGTCGATCTTGGATCGAGACCTTGTATGGGCCGTCAAAGACGACGGCTTTCATCACTGTTTGGGACGACATGGCGTAGGGTGGCTGGTGACGGGGCAGGCAAATGGGCAGAACATGTACAGGGCAGATTCAAAGAGGGGAGCTAGCAGTGGTTGGTTTACTCTTAGCCCACCGATTAATTGCAGGTCATGAGCTCTACATAGCCGAGGCATCTCCTCATGGCGGGGTCATCCAGTCAAGTGGCCGAACCTAAAACTACACAGCATGCATATGTTTCAAGTATTGTAGAGATGATCAGCCATGGTAATTAGTGGTGGCATGCAAAATGCGCAGCGTAACGTTGTTAGTTAGCATCAACCTATGTAATCCTGGCAGCCAGCCTTGGACCGGTGTGGGTAGCTGGAGGTACCTGGAAGCTAGAAAATCATGGAGACAAAAACGGCTTACCACATCTGCGTTGAGATATGGGCTGATCTAAACTGACTTGGCTTGCTTTGGGGGCGGTTGGGTCATTCGTGAACCTAGACCCATTGTCTAGGGCTGAGGAATCAACAAAGCACCGCAGCCAAGGAGGGTGGCAGTGGCCTGGCAGCCTCAGGGAAACCCCTGGCCGAAATTGAAGAAATTTTCTTCACTTTAAGCAGATCAAGCGCTGTGCGTATTCGGACTATGGCGTAAGTGACAGCTCACATTAAAGAGAACGGTATCCTTGGCGCGGGGCGGAGTGTGTGGGTGATGTCCCTTAATTTAAACTACGGGCATTTAGTATCGGGAAAAGTAAGCAAGATCGTGGTTGCAATTATTCACTGAAACTAGCTCCGCCATGAGGCCACCTCGTATCATGTAGTGTAACCGTGAACTTGAGTTGGGCTGGCACTGCGCAACTGACGGGTATGTTGGTTTGAAATTCACCTCCGATACCGCAGCCAGAAGGGAAATTCACGAGAATGAGGGTTAAGTTATGACCGGTGATGATCAGTGCCAGCAAAAATGGCGATAGGACATCCTAGTCACTGTGGATTTATTGGCTTGAGATTGGGTTAACACTGCAGGTTATTGGCTATCTTCAATGGTACCTTACAATGATACGTTTTACATTACGGAAACACCGAAAGATGTTCCCAAACCCTCCACACTTTTGAAGAAAGGCAGCAGGGTAGAGAAAATGACAGCACATGAGGATTCCTGGTCTGCGTTGGCTGTTTGTCAGAGTTGCAGCTCGCATTATGCAAGGATTTTTTTACTACCAGGGATGCCTCGTCAACTACCGAATATCTTTGTCCCCCATGTGAATGTTGCTTCCCAGCAGGCGATCAGCGCATCCCTGCTCTTTGCTCGGCGCCCTCAATGGGTGCCACCCATCCAACCCGTTGCCCAACGAAGAGCTCAGCGGTTGGCTTAGCATCGTCAAGCACGCTGCGTTGTTCGCCATCAAGGACGCCCAACTTGACAATAACTGCGCCCCCGAAAGCAGAGGGGTCGTCGTAGCACTCCCGAAAGAGCGTCGTGCCGCAATCGCCGCAGAAGTGAGATGTCAGGATGCGTCCTGAGTCTGCCGGCTTCTGGTATTTGCGTACATCGCCTGCGGTCACAAAGAATCGGTCGGTAGGGATGAGGAGATCAACCCCGTACGTCGACCCGCTAATTTTGCGGCAGTCCGTGCAATGGCATATGATCTGGGCCCGTCGTAGGTACGTTCCTGCGTTAGCTTTTTGCCTTTTTGACTGGTATGATTATGGTATGGGGACCGCTACCTGATGAAGGCAGCGGAGAAAGGCGAAATTACCTTGGCATTGGGCTCCCCATAGTAGGCAATGCGGATCTTTCCGCAGAGGCAGCCACCTCGAGGCATAATTCCAAGAGTTTCTGGGGACGGGGTATGATGAAATGCTGCTATCTTAGGAGGGGTGAGGTGGTTGAGCATACGTTCGTGTGTGTGAAGAGTGAAAAATTTGCAAGTCATGCTTCACAGAGCACGTTTCCCCGCACCATCTTGGCCGGCAGGACCTGGGAAGTGATTTTCTTCCGGTGATGATGCTGTATCACCGTGGCTTGCATAAGTCTGGCCAAGGGCAAGTTGTGGTTGGATGCTACTAACGCCTGGAACAGTACCTAGCATGAACCCTGCAGCAGTGCAGAATCTCACTTGAAAGTGGAATGGACAGGGATTTGAACAGTAACTTGACAGTAACTCAGCCGTAACTCAAGAGTTGGTTGTGAATGTACAAATCTGACGAACGAGCGGGCTCAGAGCTGCCTAATCGCCTAATTGTCATATTTGGGCTGGGTCGATCGCTCGCCTCACTTACTTCCGGGCGAGCGGCGGTTCAGCAGCCTATCGGACTCTATCTGTGCCTCCCCCGCAGCTCAAATATCACTCTCATCATTCAGGGGAGACGTAGTTCAAGAGAGGGGGCTTACACATGATGCCAACCGGGGCGCCAGAAGGGCCGTTACCCCCGCTGCCACGTGGAATATGGTTCTAAGATACATTCAAAACCCTGCAAGCGAGGCACACCTCTTCACGGACTCAACGCCCTGGTTGCTCGGCTGCCTCTCACCCCATGGTTACTTATCCATGTCGCCTGTCCCCCTACCTAGCTTATGTATTTACGTACATTGACAGGTGGACTACGTAGTAGGTACATTAAGCTGATCGACAGCTAGGGTTCGCCTCGTGGAGATTGCTTTGACCCACGTCTTTAGCCAACCATCCCCTGTCCAGCTGATTCTGGAGAAAGATGGACTAAGTCTAGACTTCGACTATCTGAAGAGGCCAGGTTTACTCCGGTACTGTAGATGTACCAATGCAAGAGATTGACATAATGCCAGGGCTAATCCTTCTGTTTCACAGCTGTGGTAATCCATCATGGTGATGCATCAGTGCAGGGGTGACATAAAATCAATCATGGTGCTGAGACTAATGATATTAAATTCTGTTAAATTTCAAACAACATCAAAGTGGAATACAATCTCGAATTTGCTGTTGATTCACTATTCTGTTTATTAAACTTAGACAAACTACACTCCGGAGCGTGATGTGTTCATGTGCTTCATCTCATATTGGTAGGTTGCTGGGACTGTGTCGAAAACCCGTCATTGATAGCATCCCCAGAAGGCTGCATTTCTCAAAAATGACCAGAGTAGAATAGCGTCGGCGAGGGCGGCTACTGTTGGATATTTCGAGCTGACGTGCATGGAAAACCCTTTATGCCCTACCGCAGCCTAAGAGAGTGCCTCTTCGTGATGTAGAAAATAAGCAACCACAATTGTGTAAGCACAGACCAACGTTTCAGAGCGTGGATGGCATGTGACGATGAACGGACGAACCGTCCTATAAAAACGCAAAGAATTATGCATGGCATGATATAAGCCAGGGTTAATATATGGTGTGATATAGGAGGCTATAATGGGTAGTCTGGCTAGGGCCACCCCCTCTGCGAAAAGGATGAAGAAATTTTTTTTTCAGAGCCGAGATGGGAGAAATAGGAAATCTTGCAGTATGATATCTTAAGATGAGAGAAATAGTTTGGGCCAGCGATGACAGCTAATACTTTTCAGGGAGGGAACGTTGGGAGGCGGGCAGTGAGCCAGTGTTAACGAAGTAAGAATAAATGAACTGATATAAATCTAACTGCGAATAGACGAACATGATATTCTGGGGAAAGTAGAATAAGAAAAAGGCATAACATTACAATAACATGGTGAAAAGACAAGTTTATCCCATAGTCCTACAACACTTCTACTCAACTCGAATCTGACCGTAAAATACGACCTTTGAATCCAACAACCACAGTTTGGCCGGAAAGAAATACAATGTAGAAGAAAAGAGAAATGGAGATAAGGTAGAAAGATCATGTCAGAGGGACCATTGTTGGTCTTTTTTTCCGGAAAGAACGTATAGTTTTACTGTCTGCTTCTGCGTGAATGGCTGTTCCGTGGAATCTCCTCATAGTGCTCATTTTGTCGAGAGGAGCCAAACATATTATCAAAGTCGCCGAGAAATTCACGAGCCCGATCTTGATATGCTGGCTGGCGACGGCTCATGCGGTGGCTTGCTGAAGTATCAAAGTTGCCAATAGGGTTAATATCGAGTCTAGATCTCTCGCGATCAGGCAGAAGGCGAGGGTCGTGATCAATGAGGGCGGGTCTAGGGCGGGAGTGTCCGGGAGAGTAACTACTCGAAGCACTGCGTATGAGTCAGAATATATCCCAATGGGAGATGGGGCTGGGTAGATTTACCTTCCCTGACGTCCAGCAATTGAATCGACATCGTCATAATATGGAGGGGTCTCCTCTCTGTGCCGCCTTGCTTGCTGGCCGTTGCTACGCTGCCCAAACGAGGAATCGTGAGCAACACTCGTCAGGCGTTGGTGCTGAGGCTGTCTTGAACTTCGAGTAGAATGATCGTTGTAAGGATAGATAGAGGACTGGTTGGTATATCTGCTATCGAGATGGTTGAATTGGTGGTCGTGCATGGTGCGGTCCTGATAGCTAGTGCGGGATGGATAGAAGCCGTCCTCCTCATGAAAGGTGGCGGCTCCAACGTCGTTACTGTCTAGGTAACGATCAAGAGTAAAGTTCGAACTTCCATCCCTTGTTCGATGATGTCGGCGTTCGGTAGCATCGCCATTGCGATGGCTTCTTCTTGACGACCTGCGATGTTGATCTGACATGGTCACCGATTGATGTTGAGGAGGAATTTCGAACGACGAGAGAGCAAGTAGGTTTCTTTTTAGATGTTGAGGAGTTCTGAGAAAAGATGCAGCTGAATGAATTCAGCTAGACTGAATTGATGGAGAGGGGATGTGTTATAATGAGCAGAGAAGAGGGCATATGTTGGCGAAGAGTGAAGGAGGGAGGCGAAGGAAATGAATCTAGGGAAAAGAGTGGGAGGACTGCTTTTTAAAACCAAAATCAGTGATAACACTGAAGTGGCACACACAAAGGTGAGGAAGCAAGTGGAAATATATTAGCACATAAGAGGGGCCACAAATGTGGTGGTGATCGTGGGCGTGGCCCGTGAGTCACTGGGGTGTGTTAGCTTGTGGCCTTAAAGTATGCCTAATAATTCGAAGGTAAATATGTATGAGTGTTAAAGTATTACTTACGCATCTAGTGAATGTACATCTTAAAAGACGCCATGCTATAGTAGGCTGATGAACGTTTCACTCATCACGGGCCGAAAGTAATCGGGGGGTGGGGGAAACGTCTGGTGTAAGGCGGCTGTGTACGATGGCGCCGTGATGAGGAGGCCTAATTGTACGGGTAGAAGGACGCAGAGACATTACTTGGGCTCTCTGGACTGCATTTCCTTTACGGAACTCGAGAAAGTCGAAGGGGGCTTGGCTTGGGGAGCCACAGAGCAGACGGCCGAAGCGGTGTCATCTTGGCTGGTAAAACGAAGGCCTCTCGACAGACAAGGGAAGGTAGTGTAGGGGGGCCTGGATATATGATTCGGCGGATGTTCGACATCAGACTGCCGTTGACAGGACAGCGAAAGGGGTTTGACAGCCAGCAAAGCATCAAAGCGGCGGTGAGTGAAAGCATGATCCGATGACTTGCTTGTAAGGCGGCCGTCTAGACGTATTGGGATTGGTTTGAAGATCTGATGGGCAGCATGATTGGCATAATGTAATGAGGGAAGTGTGGCTTGGAGCTGATCAGGCTGGCGAGCAAGGGAGCAGGCAACGAGCGCTGAAGATAGGGCATCAACGGCGCGGAAGGTGGTGGAAAAAGAAGGCAAAGATTTGATGGAGAAGACAGATATGAGATGGATAGAGGGAAAAGGAAAATAAAAGAGAGAAATCAAGTGCGCAAGGCTGGGCTGAGAGGCGGGGGACTGTGTTCACGCGGAGCCGCCACGCCGCAGAAACACTCTGCAGAAGGATCAAGCATTTCAATGTTATTAATCAACTGCATCAGTGGATTCTCACATATCACATTATCTAGAATTCTGGTTCTCCCCATTTCTGCGACGTCTCAATAGCTCCGCTCCTTTTTTGGTCTCATGGCTGCGGCTGTCCCTGCATACGTTATGGGCCAACTGATCAATTTACATCCTCTATCCATTAGCGCCGCCTAACAACCCAGACGGAGCTTTTTGTATTTATCAGATCCCTTCCCCCATTTGAGATTTGATTGGAATCTGCGGGACATGGGACGAAAAAAACCTCCATCAGACGTGCTACCATGTAATCCAAGGGCTGAGCTAGTTGCTGTACAACAGAAGAGGCACCCGATTTTTTATGTGGCCCTCAAGAGAGTCTACGGGATGGAATATTGGTCAAATGATACACAGCAAGCGCCCGCGGGCGACGGATTAGGTGATGGGTGGGTGGACGGATGGTAGGGGATGGGTACTGTGAGTGTGAGACAACAGGACCAGGGGGAGCGGTTGCAACCGTTACTCTCTGCCTAATTCGATCGTTGACATCAAGGTTTTTCTCGTTGGGAGCAGAAGAGATTGGAGATTGGGCTCAAGTCTTGGGTAAATTTCCCGTATGACAACCAGCCTTTTGCATGTATCATATATTCGAGATTCGAGGGTGGTTCGCGGACCACCTTGGACAGACAGGAACTGTCACGGACCAGGCATTATCTCTCTTGGGTAGTGTGGTTTCTAGAGAGGGCATTCTTGGATCTTCGCTGCGCTGTAAGCTTCATTGAGCAGTCTTGTCCACAAAGCCAAGGTGACAAAAGAAACTGTCTCTACGCGCCATGATGGAGACAGCAGGCTCGGGAAAATCAATCTACGCCAGCTGGGCAGGGGGTAAGTTAGAGGAGGCCTTTGCGGGAAGGCCATCTACATCAGTGTTGTGGGTGGGCCGTCGCGACATAATCGTATGCACGACGACCAACTGCATAATCAGCTGTATTGCGTACGTCTTGATCCCCTCTCTTCTGCCGCCAGCCCTTCTCCATGCCCCCTGAGCGGAGCCCTGGTCATATGCTCACTTAGTGAGATTATTTGTCTCTCGTTTCCTGCGAGGTGGCGGGTCTGGCCAGAATACTAACAGTCGAGGCTGAAATATGTTCCATTTACGGGTGATGGTCCCCTGCTGCTGCATGAGTGGGCTGGTTCAATGATCAAGTAGAGCAACTTGTGTGCAGGTATATTTACATATGCAGAATATAGGTACTTGTGTCTAACCTCTATGGTTAGGATGCTCCTCCAGCGAAGCCTTACAAGTGATTAATTATACACTAAACCCATCTTTCTGGCGCCGTATCATCGTCATCATTCATTCGTACGGAGGGAATCCTTGGCAGCCTTGTTCGCCTGTCTCACCCCATCCACCCTGAGCGGGTCCTTCCCACCCTCCGTTTGCTCGGCTGAGATCACAGGGACTGAGGCGTAATCGTTTTAACCTAGATCCGAAGAGTGTGAGCGCTTCGTGCCTGGCTGGGGGGTAATAACGTTGTAGTTACAGGTAGGGCAGTATGTTTTGTCGTTTGGCGTGGCGGGGTAGCTGTCCTGGTTGTAGGTCGTGTTCAGCGTCACAGAACCCACGGTGTCGCCAGACTCAAGCTGAATCCACGTGTCGACGGCGAGATCCTGGAGCATTTCTTGAGAGACGAGAACTTGGCGAGCGCCGCGGATCCAATTTCCATACCCTCCGTAGCCACTGTGCTGACCAAAACAGAGGTTAATGCCGTTCCCCTGGACCGTCATTCCTGGGACAAGAGTGTCCCATTTGTAGCACCAAGTCGCTCCGTGGTCGTGGCCAGAGAAGAGAGCCATCAGCCCAGGGGTCTCGCTGATGGCCTTCATGAAAGGTATATCCTGCCCGCCGTAGGAACAACTGCCGTCGTTGCGACCATCGGAACACCAGCCCTGTGCCTGGGGAGCAAGCGGATAATCGTCGTTAATACCGGGCTGGCGGTTGGCATCGACGCCAGGTCCTGCTTGTAGCGCAAGGGAGGCGTAGGACGGTATGTGGGTGAAGGCGAGGGATGGAATCGTCCTACCGTACTTGTGGACGAGTTTGGCATTCGTCTGGCTGAACCAGTCCACGACACTCGTATCAACCCAGTTGGGATGGCCAATGGGCGAGCCGTCTTCATTCCACTCCTGGTAGCGAAAGCCTCCGCGACTATCAAAGAACCAGAGGAGAAGCTCGGGGGCACATCTTTCATAGTAGGTGCAGTTGGCGCCGTAGACAGGTAGGTAGTAATTGGACACGCCAGCATCGGGTGCGAAAACCATCTGGGTTGTGCGTGCGTTTGGCCAGCGTTTCTCACGCTCCAGGATCGTTTTCCCCGTCACATTCACTTGGTAGTCGTGATTACCATAGGTAGATGCCCAGCTAAGGCCACGCTCAACCATGGGCCCGACGATCATGTCGATGTAGTCGGTGCTGTTCTCCAGGTACGTGTTTTCCCCAGTAATGAGATCGCCATTGAGGACGACCAGGTCTGGGGTATCAAAATCTAGGACCTTGTTCAACACTTGGACAGAGTTAATGTCTTGTTGAGGTCCCCACTGATCCCAAGCATCTATAAGATAAGTTAATACGGCGTGGTCAAAAGTTGAAGAGATGGGATAGCGTCTCACTTTCACCGAAGTGCAGGTCCTCAAAGATGGAGAGCTGAAAGGTGCCATCCGACTTGAATCTTAATGGGCCAGTGTTCTGAAAGGGCATCTGGCAGGACAGGCCCACGAACAGCGAGCCGACAAGGGACTGGCGCAGCATGTCGAATGAGCGGCGATACAAGGAGACCGAGACACAGATGAGAAGTAGAACGAATAACGTGAATGTGGTGCCGCGCTTTGGCAAACTTCGTCCTTCGCTCGTCCACCGGCGGCCCAAGGCCTTCCCGTCCATGTCCATGGCGGACGGGGCGTTTAATATATGCTCTCGCGATCTCCTAGATTACATTACACGACGAGGATGCCGGCGCCCACGAGATTGGATGGCGGTGCGGTGGTGGCAGGCCAACCCTCCAAATGACTCCCGCCTGGCGATGGAATGCACCAGTCCAGGGATGGCGCAGCCAGTCAGGCAGTGGCTCAGAGGCACCTGGAGACCATCCTCGGGAATTCAAGCAGCGGCATCCTCTCCCATGGCACCAGTTTCCGGATTAGTTGATGGTTGGATGGATGGAGAGTGGTCAAAAGCTGCAGGTCGTAATTTAACTCGCCTCACACGTGGGAGCAGCTGCAACTGTCACGGGCCCAAAGTCCAGCGTCGCCCCAATTATTTTGTCCGCCTGCGCTGGTCCGATCTGACACCTTCTTAAACCATCTTCGCTTCTTTCATCTTCAATATGAAGTTGACATGTCCTGAACTTGCAACTGAGCATCCAGCTGCCTTTGAATAATTGCACCGTGCCTATTGCAATTGCTTGTATTTGTGGGCCACTTCCCGGCTTCATGCCATCTGCCGAACGAAAGGCAACACCAACAGAACCCCTACCCGCATTTATGCTGTGCTCTGGACTGTTACAGTCGCTCGTATTTCCCTAGGGGGAAGGCAAGAATTGTGCCAAATAGATAAGGGTCTTGGGACTTCCTAGCAGGGTACTGACGGGACCCTCGATTGCCATCCTCGGCCTCAAATCATCGCGAGTTTGAAAGGCGGGTGACTTTTATTTCGCCCGAGGCTATGAACTACTGATATAGTTGACTGGCGCATGAACAAACCATTGAGGCACAGATCCCTGGCCGTCATTAGGGATGCTACTTCGTCCTGTAGCCTGGCCTATGTCTGGGGCAAACTCACTGGTGATCTCATGGGGGTTTCTTGCACTATGGCAGCTAGTAATAAGGAGATAAATATAAGTTTTGACTAGGTTTAAAGGGACAATGCATTTCTAGTGGCCATAGAAACACATCCCAATCGTGAGCCAGCACCAACGAGGACGGTTGGATTAGCATACCGCCCGCTATCTAATGACCTCTAATTTCGCTAGAATTTTTATACAATTTAAGTGCTCAAATCCTTTATTGCATATGTAATTTCCTTGGGAATCCGAGTGATGAGAGAAGTATTTCGCCAAATATCTACTCAAAAAGTAGGACGAAGGCTTGGTCAATATTCGCAATATTTGTTTCATTTAGGAGCGAGTCACTACAAGATAAGTATTATTAATAAAATGAGGGATCTGAATCATCCTACTTTATTACCTTCGTCTGGCCATCCTCAGGTTCCGGTGCTTCGGTAAGGTGGAGTTACTATCGGGACTGAGGAGGAGGCCATGACCTGAAGAGTTTAAACTTGGTAAGGTGCTGATATCGCGGAAAGGTGGGGGTAGAACCCTTGGGATCCAAGATGAGACTTCATTTAGATAAATGTCCCCCAGATTTGGGGAACTATTGAATCTGGGGACCCCGCAAACTGAGTGCTTCCTATAAATATAGACTATCCAGCCTCCAAAGAGGCAGGGCCCTTCACGAACTCACCAACGGCCACAGGTCAAACTTTCCCTCCGGATAATTTTTTTCAAGTCTTATGTGATCAAAATGGCCTGGAAAGAGGCATTTGAGCTTGCTCCTTCCGAAGTTAGAGCCGCGACCCCTCCTGGGACTGTCATTTTGCTTGGTTAGTTGCTCGACTTGGGCCGATTCCATCTTGCTCATAGTCCATTTTGAAGCTAATACAGGAACACACATAGAACACTGTATAGAGGGAACCTCGGGAAATGACCTTGTCAGACAACCTCAACCTTCTTCTGATCCTCGAGATCCGCTCAACTTTTCTTTCTGGAGAAAGTTAGTAGCACTTTTCATGGTCTCGTTCTATGCATTTGTTGCAAACTTCACCAGCTCAGGGATTGCTCCCGCATTGCAGTTATGGAACTTCACTTTTCCTCACGACCCAAGATCTTTTTCCGAGCTATCCACACTGATTGCAGTACGGTGTCCCCAAACTATCACTAGCCTTGCCGACACTGATACATGAGTGTAACAGATAAACATTTTGTTTCTCGGTGCCTCTAATATATGGTGGGTACCATTGTCAAACTGGATGGGGAGACGACCAGTTCTAATATTGGCCTCACTTCTCATGACATGTTGTACCATATGGTGCGGTGTAGCGCCCTCTTTCCATTCTCTTTTTGCCGCGAGACTTCTTCAAGGAGCAGGGGGCGGTGCTGCTGATTCAGTAGCACCAGTCGTGGCCGGTGAAATGTTCTTTGTCCACCAGCGTGGACGAGCAATGGGCGTCTACACCGTGTTTCTCTCCCTAGGCCCATTCGTTGGTGGGCTGGCAGGTGGCTACATCGCCTTTAATAAAGGCTGGGAATACACGTTTTGGGTGGGAACTGCGCTTTCAGCGTTTTCCTTTGTTGGGATGACTATCTTCGTTCCCGAGACTCTATTCGAACGGCCCATTTATCAGACTGACCAATCACCAGAGGATCAGGTTAATGATTCAAAGGCCCAATCTGAAAGAATTGAGGACGTCAACCCAACAGAACAGAAACATCTTACATTTATACAGTCTCTAGGATTCGGACCTGTCCGGGGTAATATCTTGACATTGGCTGTAAGACCTTGGAAATCTTTATACCTTCCTGGAACATTGGTAGTTATGCTTCATTATGCTGGCTTAGTCGGCGGTATAGTGACTATTTCTACCATCGGTGCTCAGCTCGTTGCAGAGCCTCCTTATCTCTGGGGCGCAAATGCAGGATTGATAAACGTGGGTGGCCTGATAGGCACCGCCCTCGGATATATTTACACTCACTTTACTTCTGATAGAATTGTCAGAAGGCAAGTTCGGAAAAACAGCCAGCACGGATTTACTGAGGCAGAGCACCGCTTGCCTACCATGTTCTTCCCTCTCGCAATAACAACCTCTGGCTTCTTTGTGTTCGGGTTTTGTGCACAGAACCCAGGCCCCTACAGATGGGTCGGTCTTGAGGCGGGATTCGCTATGCTTTCCTTCGGATTGATGCAGGTGCCATCAGTGGGCTTCAACTACGTGAGCTGATGCTAAACCCAAGTGCAGATGAGCGAATGTGCTAACCAGTGTTCTTGATAACTAGCTTGTTGACTCTTATCATTCTCTGGCAGCTGACTGCCTAACCATGGTAACAATCCTCCGGGCCGTCATCGCCTTCTCTTGGACCTTTTTTGTTGCTCATTGGGTCGAGGAGCGGGGAGCAGCAGAGCCCTTTGGTATATTCGGAATGTTGATGGGGATCTTTGGACTGCTCACAGTTCCCCTTTGGCTCTTCGGGAAGCGGATGAGAATTGCTACTGCATCTAGTGTGGAACGGTGGTCAGGATGATTTGGCCTCTACGGAATCGATTGGTAGTATGCAAATTACTTCTTGAACTATAACTACCTCTTAATCTAAAGCTCCTAAAGTATAGGAAATAGGCTCTGACTATCAGTTTCAGATTTGCAGTTAATATTCCATTTATTAATTACTTAAATTCTATACCGAGGATGAAAGGCTTATGCAAGCAGGAAACTGAATAATAGGAAAAAGAACTGGGCAAACTTTCCTTGACGCAAACTCTTCCCTAGGCAAAGAATGCAGGCGTAACAAAGCAAGCTCTATTCTAGCAGCCGCATAGATAAAAGAATTGTCATATTTTAGATGAAGTTATAAAGCTAGATGCTCAAGCAGGGTGTAGACGTCGTTGACTATAGTTCTAAGCTCCGTCACCCCGGATTTGTGGCCCCACTAGCCCGGCCCCACGCCGACGACTTGAGCCGATAGATATAGGGTTGAGATGTGTATTCCGGTAATGAAGATGGTGAGAAGAGAAAAGACAAGGAAATGACGCATTTTCCGACTCAATTTCAGGACAGCCGAGCGTCCAATCCGGATAAGGAGGGCCTCCCACACATCTGACCTTTTAAATCTCCCATCCCATGTACTTGAAACTGCTGTGACTATAATCGGAGATCTCATCAGCCATGAGGAGTATATATCTGAGGAGTTCTTTTTCAAGTCATATAATTTCCCCTGGGATGAATATTTGTAGCTAGAATAAATGGTGTGGCAGCACACATAATGCAGAAGATATACTGTTATAGCAATCTGTCCCCGTTTCCTCTGGATATATTAGTCCAAAATACTACCTTTATAAAGCAAGGCATCTAAGAATTGCTCTGTGAATATTTGAATGCTATGATTGTAAATACTCGGGACAAGAAATATTAGTTAATCAGATAAATAGCAATAATTACTTTGAAATTCATGTCGGATTTGCTTGATTTTTGAATCTTTTAGGATCGTCGCGGGGTGATAGGCTCGTTGATTAATTTGTGTCGATTCAAATCGAAAAGAAGATAGAGCGGTCCGTGGACTAGTTTTCTTGTAGGAGGACATGCAATCTGACTCAGGATACAAAGCGTGGTGAATGTTCAACTCGTAACGTGATCTATATGGTGGTTTGGTTTATGGGGGAATTTAGGCTGTCCAGAGGCAATTACGGGGGATTTCTGGGCCGGTATAGGCTTGGTAGTATGTACCAGCAGCCTTTTTTATGTTTATCTTTCCACGGAAATGATCGATAACACCTCGGACGTTGCTAACGCCGCTCACACATGGAAGAGTAGATGAACATTTGGCCGAGCACAAGCATGCTATGAGATGGAGAGATTGATTGTTGTTATGACGACGTGTTATTGGTTTCTAGGGAGTCAGAATAACAGGCTTCATTTCCAGGCATTATGTTACACTCAATAATAAGATAAAACTGAATTGAGACACTGAGGGGACCTCTTTCTAGCGAGCCAACCATACCTGCAGCCTAGCAGCCAGCCCCATCTCGACAGAGCGACAAGAGGACACGATGAACACCACGCTTAGAATGATGGCAGCTGAAAGTGGGAAGAAAGAGTTCAACGCTGCTCGAAATGTTATGCAGGCGGGCCTCACGGTTGTGTTCCGCCCCATCGTGGGGAGACAGGAATGGATACGAGCTGTACGGCCACGCCGGATTACGGCCGACGATCATGTACTCGAATCATCATTGTACATTTATTCATTATTAAGAGGGGGGCAGACTTGTGCAAAAAAAAAAAAAAAAAAAAAGAATACATTATTATCGGGAGGCAAGCCCCAGCGAATCACCTGTCCTCGGCATGGCGCCCGACACCGTATTGATCAACCCGCGCAATCTCAGCTTCAATGCAGACGCCACCAGCGCCTCAGCCTGCTCCCTCACGCCATCTGCATACCTCCCAGAGAATTGGCCGACGAGACTGGCCATGTCCTGCAGCTGCTGCGTCACCTGCGCGAGCTGAGACGCACAGGTCAGGTGGCCGAGGCCGTGCTCCAGTATGTCCAGCAGCGTGCTGCATACCGACGCCGCCAGCATGGCCACCTCATGGCGCTGGGAGCAGGGGCAGATGAGGATCTGGCCGACGACCTTGATGGAGTCGGCGACGGAGATGCCCTGGGCGGTCGTGACTGGCGACGCGGGGGAGAAGGGGCGTGCGGCGGTGAGGCTCTCGAGGACATTGAGGGCGATGGTAGAGCAGTCGACGCAGTCCGAGGCGCAACACACACCTCCCGCAAGGGTTCTGCCGGTAGCGGCGGCCGAGGTACCACACATGGCCGCAGGGTCGGTCCCTGAGGGAGAGGCTGAGCAACACGAGGAGGGACTGGGCGTCATTGCAGAGGTGTGGACTGCGACTGCGGAGGAGGGACACGAGGAGGAGGAGGAGCTGCTGGCAGGCAACGGCCTGGGCATGGATAGTTCCATGACGCCCTCCGGCCACGGTGTGAGCGGCGGCTGCAGGCCTGCCCATCCATCCCCACTGCTGGTGGAAGAGCCCAACGTCAGCGAGGGATAGACGCTTCTGCGACTGGCCGCTGCTGCTGTTGTTGCCGTCCTGCTGTTCTCGTGGGCTCCGTCCGTCCCAACAAGAGCTTGTTGCTGTTGCTGGCTGATCGCCATGGAGACCTGGAGGATCCCATTTGCACCGCCGCCACCCAGCTCTGGGGCGGCGGACATGATGCTGGCTCTGCTTCCAATCTTGGGTGTAAAGGAACTGTTTGATCTATGTGGCCGGCCGGCACGTCGGGCTGGACTGTAGCGACACGACCGTTTCATCTTACAGCATCGGCTGCAGATCGGTTTCTCCTTGGTGCATCTAACCTTGAAGGCCGAACATGCGTCGCAGGAGTCTTTGAGCTTCGTCCCAACAGTGGCAGGTGGCTTGTCCGGGGCCATTGTTGGCGGGGCTCGTCAATCGATTGATTTTATCAATCGGTCGAGACTGGGGAGGAGTGATGATTCAAGTATATATCAAAGAACAACTGGTGAAGGCGAAGGCGAAGGCGAACGAGCAGGTTCAATTCACCTTACCTCAACACATTCTGGATAGACAGAGAAAAACTTTCATCTCAGACAGCACGTTTCCTCACTTATCAATATATATATACCAATGCTACCTGGATGCTGATGCCTCCTTTGGTTGGCTGTCCATACGGCCTGAATGTTGAGCAGGGCAGCCCAAGGCTGAGGAGATACTCTCTTTTCCTTGGTCATGCTCCTCCTGCGCCGATCCAAGCTGAAGAGGTTGGAGGCCATTCATCGGCTGCGTCTCTGTACGTTGTGTAGCACGGCAGCACATGTGCCATTGCCCGAGAGAGGATCCCGGTGTGAAAGCAGGGAACGTTTAGTAGCATGCATATGTGCGCCTTTATAATCTCGTGTTAGCTGGCGTGCTTGGTTACCTTCCATGTACTGGGGAAATGTATGTAATACGTACGGTACATGCACCGGGAAGCTCACATCTTTCCAACGTAGCCGAGGCAATTGGTGATGAAGGCCCCCCTATGCCAGCCAGTCAGTGGTAAATAGATGGCATTTTCCCCTCCTCCAGACAGTCTCCGTCAAGTCTAGGAAGACCTAGTACTGTATCAAAAGGCTACAGGATCAACTGCTGGGCGCCATTCGATCCCATTCCCGTAAACTTTGCTTCCATGCCACGATCCGTGCACACAAGATGCAAAGATGCGACTGGTCATCCTTCTGCAAGGATCATTGCACCTCCAGGAGCTTATTTGACTTTATCCCCTCATCTGTACTTCTCGGCGAGCCCACGCCCGTTACGCCAGAGAAAGCAGCTGCAAGTCCAACCCTGTTGCATCTTGCAGGAGGCTATCCGTTTGATCCTGCTCAGAGGTCAGCGGAGAGAGAGTGGCGAGTGGGGTGCATTTCAGGTCATGCACGAGCGAGTGCACGTTTGAACCTTTTGCACCGTCCGTCATCAGTCCTGGACAGCGATAGGCCCGTGACGGCCGGCCGGTCAGCCTGTGTCCCACAGGTTGAGCAGAACTCTCTCCACTGACGGGCTGGGCGCGTCCCGCTCGTTCTGGACTGCGCGTCAACAGTGTATTTGCTTATTCCCTTGCCCGGACGCCAAGGGCGTTCCCCATGGCGGAGGCTGGGCTGCAAACCAGAGCTGTCACCTGCATAAACTGCATGAACATTACCTGTATCCAGCGCCCCTTCTTGGAAATAGAGTTCACCATCGGCGAGGAATATGTTGAACGTGACTGGATAGGACCAGGGACGAAAACATAGTGATGTCGGTGGCTTCTGTTGCCGACCAATGTATGAGCCTGTGGTGTTTCTTTAAGCCCAGAAGGCCAAGAGAGAACACAGCACCCTCCTGCACCCCTCCACGTACATTTGAGGCAAGCTTGTCAAATGGCAGCGGCCGACTGCTGTGAAGAATGGGTCAGACAAAGGTACCTCGGCTGGGTGCTGCGTTCTGCTCTTGGCGGGAGATCCCTGCCCTCCGGAGAACGACAGGCAGACGAATCGGAAGAATACTCGACGTATAAACGCCAAGAGATTAGCATGCATTGAAGGTGCAAAAAGCCACAAATATTGAGGTCTCACCGTGTGAAATGCTGTATTCAGTTGCCAGAGGTCACCGTGGGAGATCAGCGCTGCCCTGAAACGCTCAGACTAGGGTCGAAGCTGAGCCTGTAATAATCCCTGAAGATGTATTCTTATTTTAATTCCGATTTATGGAAACATTCCAGGCTAAGGAATCACCTGCCTCCGGGAGATCGGCGTCAATATTAACAGGGGTGAGGATTCCGTTACACAAACGGCTCGTCCATCAACAGGCTGCACTTTTGGCCGTAGCTGATGGCACCATTATGCAGCAATTGACACGAGCTCAGATACTTGCTGAAGTCTTCTCGGTATAAAATGAAGAAAATTTGCTCTTTAGCGCTGATCCTAATGTGATTTGGCCCTTGGGTTGCGTGAGGAGCTGATGATCCCCGTATTCCTACTAAATATTCCAAGTTGGATCTTTCTCGATAACACATGTCTGCCTCATCTTCCCCCACTTTCGGAATTGGATTTGGCGGAATATATTCATACGGCCCCTCTCGGAATGCGATTGAGCGGGTTGGAGTGCAGTTGGGTAGCAGTGCTCTCGCAATATTTTCCCAGCCTGCCACCCCTGAAGCCTCAATCACCAATCCTCCGACGCTACCTCCAGAATCTGAAGTCTCCAGTCCTATAGATTTCAATCTCTTAATGGAGGGAATCTCGGCATCTCAAGCCAGCGCCTACTACGGCCAGAGCGTCGCACACTGTGGCCCAAGAGGCGCAGCTGACCCGTGTTTTGAGCGGGAGACGTTCTGCCTCAACACTCCGCATGCCTGCATCACGGTTGCCATAAGGCTCCTCCGGAATATTGGGAACGCGAAGAATGCCACGGGCCCTCATTGCATCCACCATGAAGCCTTCCGTACCAGCTCTCACCTGCCCCTCCCGATCGGCAACATCTTTGCCGCTCAATACGACGCAATCGGCAAGATAATGAGCATTCTGAGATGCCCATGCTCTGCTCTTCCGAGTATCCGGATCCTTCTTGCCACAATCTGCGACAGGATCGTTACCGAAATCTCGATGATCCTAGGATGCGCAAATGTTGACCAAATCAAGCTGCAGCCTGTCCGCGTCGGTGTGTTCTCTTCCGAAGGGCCCCTTTCTCATCGTGTCTGCGCCTCTATTTTTCTTGAGAACCTTCAAGCACTACAGTCCCATATGGACAGGTTATTAGGCCATCCAAAGTCGGAGCAGGTGGTACTATATGAAACTCTACCTGTCGGAATGAATGCCGCTGTTGGGCAGTATGTTGACGCTATTGTGTGTGAGAAGCTTCGGATGGCGATTGAGCAAACAAGGCGATTTTTCTTACTTTGAACTCTTTATGTCGAATTAATTTCTAATAATTGGAATGTTTAATAATCGCAAATAAACCCCTAATGCTTGTCTCCTCCAGTTAATGTTCCCCTTTTCTCGGACCGCTCTGGAACCCATGCAGAATCGAACAAACCCTGCCACGCACTCAACTAGTGAATATAAAACATGCATTCGCAATTAATGTGTGGCGAGAAATTTGCGTGGGTCGGGAACGGCAAGATCAGGTTTTCTATTAGTATTACTCTAATAACCTCTATAGTTGTAAATCTTATACTTCTTGTATTCCTATCTTCTTCCCGTTTCACCTATCCACTATAACCTGCATGGCCTCACGGTCCTTTGAGTAATGGTGAAGAAGTGCACTCTAGCCCTTGCGATCAGCTGGCACGGCATTCGTGTCGATTCTCTCCCCTCCTCCCTTTCCCCATAAGACCAGTTCCAACTCCAGATACTCTAGTGGGTGGAAGTGAGCCTACCGGATCTCAGACATCTGTTTTTTTTTCCCCTCGTGGATCTTAGATGCCAGAATCAAATCCCTAGTTCAACGACTAGATTTTAAATTCGGCCAACTATCAGTTGTTCTTTGAAGTGCCATTGCGCTGGGTTGACCCTCTGTACCACCCTCGCTCTCTGCATGGCCTCCTAACTTCTGTTTAGCCCTGTTGATGGCCATTAAAACGATAATGCTTATTGATATGATCAAGTCTCCGGGACCAAGTTAGAGAATATTTGTTGTAGTCACCGCATCTTCCTATTCTAGTAGACTATCACATGCTTTGCAAGTCCTGCATGGTGAACTTTACTCTTGTGGTTTTGCAGGTGGTCTAGACGGGCAAGTGTTTGAGCCTATTTATCCTACCCTTGACATGAGACATTCTTGAGTTCAAATTTGTATGAATAACTCATAAGACCTTGAGGCTTCAACAAATATGCCTTATAGGTCTGGTCCCTTGTTTCGTATTGCTATAACTTGGCTATACCATAGTCATACGCCCTTTCCGGGTTGTGGATAGTTCACTAATACCTCTTCCATAGCTACTTGACGCGAAATTTAATTTCGATGTATGCACAGAAGCATTCTCATTTCCGATCCACTGACTTTGCTTTGGCTGTCTTTCTTCTCCCTCTCTTGCCAAACGTGCCACTCGAGGAGACCATGGCTCGACTCTATGCCGGTCGGATCTAGCTGACAGATTTCCAGGTGCTATACACGATTTTCTAGAGCTTCTTCGCTCTTTTATTTTCTAGTAGCATAAAATACAACTATTTCACAAGTCGGCCACATTCCGGTAGAAGATCGATGTTGTACTCGTACTTGTTGATCATTCACAGTGCTTGGTATTAATATGGCATTAAGTCAATTCCATTCTGCTAAAGTTGCCGCCTCGTAAACGACATGTAATCAATGTACATCTAAACAGTACCTATCTAACCTGTTCCAGCTATCACTGTCATTCCCGTAATGCCTACCTTCATAGTTTGAAGGTTCTCATCCTACAGAAGCAGGACGAACGGATAGGCACATCGGCGACAGCCAGAGCAGCATCCAACTTCGGCCGAATCTCCCTAGCTTCATCTTCTCGACCAAGTCTTATCAAACACTCGTGGTACCCGTGCAAGGCCCAGACGTTGTTTGGGTGCCTATGCGTTCGCGATAACGTGTCATCGAGTCCCAGATCAGCCCTGTACACTGCGAGGGCATCTTCGATGTGATTCTGTTCCAGAAGCAGAGCACCATATGCGTGCCTAGTCGGCTGCATCCAACCCCACGGCTCGTCGAACGGCAGATCGTCGTACTTTAGGATGGACTCTCGCAGGTGTGCAAAGGCGACCTCATAGTTTGCCCGGCGGTACTCGAGCTCGCCGTCCAAAAGAGATTGCGCGACGCCAAGGATGTCGACGCACTGGTTGTTGAATAGAGTGCGGTTGGGGCTTACGCGGGGAACAGCTTTGGAAAACTCGTTGCGCTGGTTCTCGGCATCTTGGATCATGTTGAGAGCAGCGTACGCCATTCCCTTGGCGTAATGCGTCAAGGCTGTAGTTACGCAGTAAAGCACAGGATCGCTTGGGAATGGGAAATCAATTATGTCCTTCCATCGCCCGAACCTAATATACGCGTGGAGCCGCATTGCCAAAAAGCTCTCAAGCCAATCGGCCATGGGAGGCATCTCAATCTGGAGGAGCTCTTTGGTGATGGTAGCCTCAAGCATAGACACAGTCTCAAAAGCGATGCGGGATTGACCAGAGAACATGGCAGCGTAGAGGCGAAAATGATAGTCGTGGCTTCGGTATAAGGTGTAGAAATTCAAAGGGCCTTCGCGGGACAGGAAAATTTCATCTGCTCGGATAGCGTCGGTATTGGCAATTACCGCTTGAGCATAATCTCCCACGAGGATATCCAAGTGGGACGGCATATGGTTCAGATGGCCGGAGTCAGGGATGAGGCCTCGCAATCTGTTTGCGGGCGGCATGGCAGTTTCGGGTTCCTTGGACATCTCCATGAGATGAATGTAAAGATGAAGCACACCAGGGTGGCGATGCCCAACGTCGAGGGACAATGCATGTTCCAAGACTCGCTTCGTCTCTAATGTGCGAGCCCCTGGGGCAGGTTCTCCAGTGGGAAGATCCCATAGTTGCCAGGGAGTGAGATTCATCATAGCATCTGCGTAGAGCGTTGCGACATCGGGGTCGTCGGGAAAGCTTGCGTAGACAGTTCCCATGGCGTTCGCATATTCTCTACTCCACACAGAGCAATTGATCTTGGTAGGCTGTTTGTCTCCGGGATACCGGAAGCTGAGAGCGTTGATGAGAGCCTGTTCAACAGGACCAGCGCTGGGTGCTCTTGCTCTGGCCATGGCTACCGCGCGGTGTGTTTTCGCTACAGTGTCGAGCCGCTCAGCTTCGGTAAACAACTTCCAGGGCTTGTTGTAATTGGGACCCAGAGCGTAGGCCAGACCCCAATATGCCATGGCACACTCGGGGTCGGCAGTAATGGCTCGCTGGAAGCATTTGGCCGACTCTTCGTGGTTAAAGCCGTAGGACCAGATCAAGCCACGGTCAAACCATGTTTGGGCCTCGGCGCTGGAAGTCGTCACCGGACGATGGAAGCCTCCAAGGTCGTAATAGTCGCCCTCCACCCTGTCCCTTATGGACATCCTGCTCAGCGTGATCAATCCGGGTGTGTTCAGGCGCGAGATAGTCTGTTCACAACAAACATGATGCTCCGGGGATTCTAAACGGAGAGAGCAGCGGGTGGCGCCTCGATGATAAGTCGGGCTGGCAGGTGACCTGGTCTGGTCTTGAGTCGGAAGATCCAGGGTAGGGTGGAGACTTGCAGCCTCTATCAAGCCAGCTACAGGGGCGGGAGAGATCGTTTAGGGGGGTCGGCCATGCTGATTCAGGGGGCTAGGGGGCCGGATCTGCCACGTCCCAGCGCCCCGGAGCCTAAATGTGTAGCGTCCTGCATCGATACCTGGTCGGTCCTGCACAGCTCCACTAAGCAGCCTGCTTCAGTGATGGCTTCAGTTGAAAACTGACTGACCGCCCCAAGACCAATTGACGGTGTGTGCCACAATCTATGTTCATTCAATATTCCCTCTTCTCTCCTTTCTTCGGCCACTGTTTCATCATGCAGGGGAACTTTTTGGGTAGATACTCCTGGGCTAAGATCAACAGAGGATGCGTGTATCGGATGGCGATAAGGAGCTTCAGTCCGACATCGCTCATAACTAGACCAGCACCCCTGCCTCCTGGCACTCGTATTTACCTGGCCGTTGACATGTCATTCACGAGAGCATCAATGCCCAATCCTAGATTGCAAGAGATGATTATCTAGTTCTGTCAATTACCAAGAGGAATAGTGCAATCAGAATAGAGTAAAAGCAGAATGAGATTGGAACCAGAAGTTTCTCTTAAACCACTCTAGATAATATGATTGTATGCCTACCATACAGCATAACGGGATAAGACGCTTTAGTGTGGCTACAGCGCCAAGGGGCAAGATTGCGCAAGACCCAGGGTGCCATGGTATCAAGTTTGAAACGGCCGATCCTGAAGCTTCTGACGAGACTGTGGAAAATGCGCCCAGACTATTACCTTTAATGCTTACAGCAAAAAGGGTCATTCTCGGTTTCCGTTTCATGTCTTAACCCAGTGTCAGCGCGGGTGCAGGTGTAGATAGTTGATTCCAGGAGCAAGCTGCAAGAGACCGCTCGTTAGGTAGAATTAATGACGAGTTCGAATTCGGGGATAATAGCACAGTACATAAGAGGATAAAGCGAGAAGAAGAAACCAGATGCTAATGTAATTCGCATGCATCATTATAATACTGGCTCTGTGGCTTCTCTGTGAAGTGAAGCTATCTTTATTTGCAAGGATTAAGGCTGTACATGTAGCTATTCGAATCTAAGCACTACTAAGCGCCAGAACATGGTTAAGCGGACGTTTTTACTACCACGTAAATCAATCGTCCAGGTTGATCCATAGAGTAAGGAGTTATCTACACAGATTTGCCCACCCAAGGTTCAAAGTACATGTACCGAGGCTTATCAATCAGAATATAAACAAGGGGGTGGCCAAAGGGACCCTCATTTTCAAGAGTCCAGACATCAAAGCCGCACAGTACTTGCTGTAGCCCCATAGCTCTGGGTTGAACCCTGTGAGAATCTTGAATAATTGATGAAACGTTTCCTTTTCAAAGAAACCAGTCTTCGCATCCCACGTGACCCCTCTGAGTTATAAGACCATACTTGGTGACTACTTTGTTACCGCTCAAGGCTAAGATATATATCAAATAAGTTGGGTACGAGTTCTATATTAGTAATCTATTGATATTAAAGCGTTTCGGTAGCTGTAGAAGTGGTAGTTCGAGGATATGGTCGAGGAGCCAATTACAGGAAGGGCAGCTTCCTTTCAATGACGAACAAAACGAATGAAAGCCAGGAAGAGAGACCATATTCATATTAGAACTACGCTTCACGTCCTTTTCTGACCGATTCGAACAGAGACATACATTGCTAATGGCCAGGCTCGCACGAATATTTCCATACTCAGTTAGACGGCCCCTGGCCTTAGTTAGTGATTGACATTTCAATTCAATGTGCAAGCAGAGATTCCTGGAATGTGATGGGCAAGCCTGATGATTGGACGATCGAATAAGACAGGGGTCGCACCTACAAGCTCTGTTCGGGTAATGAAGGTTCACACTGTGAACATGGGGCGCGATATTCACTCCTCAACCAGCATCTCCCGAACCACTATGGACCATCATCTTTTCATTCTCCAGTAATTATAGCCACATTACTGGTCTTGATTTGGGATAGCCTTATATCGCATAGACGTACTCATTGAATATATAACATGCCATGCTTCTCGATAGATGATGTGTGAGATATCTGTATCTAGCATTGTTCTTTTCATGAATCGCATCTCCCAATAAATCCAGCAATGCGTCCTTGCTTTGGAATTTCCACCTGTGTGTTTGCCACACTGGCCTGTGTTACAGTCGCTGAGTGGCTTGAGCCTCGCAACAATACCTGGAACTCCAGCTTTACCTTAACGGATGATCAGATCAAGTCGCTAGGTCTATCCAATGAAGCCGCACATAATCTCGAAGTTGTCGTCCACTTCGAGCAGACCAACTGGGCCACCGGCTCTGTTATGAGCGACCCATTTTACACGGATCTGCCTGCCAATGCTACCACTGCTCCTGCAGGCTCGCTTCTCAAGCTCGAAGCCTTCACTAACACGTCAACATACACCATCGCCCCCTCTCTTGCGCTATCCCGGTTTATTTATCAGTCCAAAACTCTCAACGGGACAATTGTTCCGGTATCGGCCTACATTCTCTGGCCATACCACGCTCTGGGTGGTGTCAAGGCCGCGCCACTTGTGAGCTGGGGCCACGGCACAGCTGGTCTCGTGGCCGAATGTGCTCCTTCCCATATGCGGAACCTTCTATATCAGTTTTCTGGACCTTATTCCTTGGCCTTGGCCGGATATGCTGTTATCGCTACTGACTATGCTGGCCTTGGTGTTCCGTTTTACCCAGATGGCAGCCCCATTCTCCACCAATACGTGGCATCTCCAGCCGGTGGGAATGATATTCTGTACGCCGTCCAGGCGGCCCGTTCTGCTTTCCCTGATAAGCTCACCGAAGAGTTCGTCGTCTATGGACACAGCCAGGGCGGCGGCACCGCCTGGGCCGCCGCGCAGCAACAGGTCGAGCTGCAGATTCCGGGATACCTCGGTACCATCGCCGGCTCCCCCGTCACCAACACCACCATGCTTGTGAAGGCCACCGGGCAGTCTCTCGCCATGATGCAGGCAGCCAACACCATGAAGAGCATCTGGCCCGACATGGAAATTGGCGCAGAGATGCTTACGGCGCGGGGGCAGGCCCTACTCACCCTCGTTGAGGAAATCCAAGGGTGTAGCCTCGCCGTTGAGACGGCCCTCGCCGGAACTCTGGAGGCCGATCCTACCGCAACTCTAATGAAGGATGGATTCATAGATTCATACTGGTCATCCAGTTTTGCTAATCTGACTGCTGTGGGAGGCCAGGATTTTGTCGGCCCAATGCTCGTGTTCCACGGAACCAATGATGCCCTGCTCCCAGAAGCCCTGACAGCTCTGAGCGTCAACCAGACTTGTGCTTCTTTCCCCGAACGCGAGCTTCATTATATCGTTGCTCAGGGAGTTGGTCATGTCGACGCCAGTTATGCTACTCAGCAAATCTGGTTGAAGTGGTTGGAAGAGCGATTCAACAGCAAAAGCAAGAGCGCAAGGTCTGGTACATTTTCATGTACGGTTGAGACTATAGGAGACGATACAGTCAGGCCTCTCGACCAGTACCAGAGTGCGCTCAACTGGCAACTTTTCTACTCACCCGACGGGAAACTATAAATTTCTAAGGATGGAATGTTTCGTGTAAGGCTGTTTAGTATCAAATGCCAGACATAATTTAGATTTCGTTCAATTTATTAAAATGGGGGGTAAGTATCAATTATCAGTAGTACACAAATCAGCTAGACTTATTCCGAGCACTATACTAGAAGGTGAAACTCTCATAGTCTTTCAACATATCCCCCAGTTCGGGATATCGCTGCAGATAAAAATCGTCAATAGCACAATCCACCGCCTGTGGTGTATACATGTCAGAGGGTAGCCATCCCAGGCGTTGCTCAATTTGATCACCACCTTGTTCATCTTCTGCTGTTCCCCTCAAACTGACCGGTCGTATAGCGGGGTTAGACATGCTGTCATAGTCTCCAACGCTTGTAAATAGCGATTCCAAAGACGGAGGCTGAGGGGTTCTGACTATCCGGGGTGTTCTCCCATTAGGTAGACGTGTGGCTTGAGAACCCTCAGGGCTAGTCAAGGCAGGTGGGTGAAGATCTCCCTCTTGGGTTGTTGAATGTTCCAGATCATCCGCTTCTGAAAGATCCCAGCGATTCTGGATAGTTGTGCTATCACTGGGAGAAGCATAGTCCCGAGCCTCAATCTCTTCGAGGACACCTCTAATCCCTTTCAGTTTCTCTTGAAGTCGAAGTGTGATGGGGGATGACACGGACAACTGTGCCACGAGCTCCATGGCTGACCGAATATCTTGCAGGCAGGATCTTCTTGTAGGATTGTGAAAAGATCCACTGCTTCTAGTTCGAGAGCCAATGCTCTCGGCAGAGCATAGCGTCAGTAATAATGATGAGAGTGCTGTTTCGAGGAAGTGATTGAAGGTTCGCTGTTGAGATCGGTATATGTCTGTTTCACGGGCAAGTTTGACCAAAACTCGAACGGTATCTTGGGCAATCTCTCTCATGGTGTTTGCAGTTGTGGTATGGCTGCTGAGGTCTGTTCGCGACGCCCACTTCCGGTAGATTACGGTCCGCATCAGATTGGCCCTCAAATAAACCGTAAGACGTAGCTTGTACTCTCCCCTGTTCTCCCTTTTTGAGTCGAAGCTTTCTTGGATGCCCATAAACCTGATGCATTCCGGTAAGTTTTGTTGCCATTGGGTGACTCTGAAGTTGAGAAAGTCGCAGGTTGAGTCTCCTGTAAGGAGGGGTGACTTTGCCGCACCATGACCGTGGTTGGGTGCTAGCCAGTTACGGACCTCTGAAGCAATACCACAGAATAATATCATCTGTCTCATATATACTGACGATAATGATCCGTCCTGTTTCATATGAATGTGTCTGTGGTAAGCAAAAACTGCTTGTGTGCAGAGGAAAGGCCAGCATTGATACTTACCTCGAATCTAGGTGAACTGTGAATATCAGAATCCTGGATTGCGAATGGAAGGTTGGTTCCAAAACTCCAACGCCTGTCCAATGTGTACGCAGACCAGAAAAGCTTCTCGTTCACTTGAGTGGACTGGCTTGAAGATAGTGAGAATCCACTAGATGATTCGCGATTGGTCGAGTTCAACTCTTGGATCAATCTGAGAACATTACCGATCCCTCGCCATGCGAGAATTTCCCGATCGCTAAGGAAGAAGTAAATACTCTTACAGAATTCTAGAATTAGTACTTGTACTCTCAGGGGTAGGTAATGGGGTTGGTGAACTAACAATTAAAATCAGGAGCGATAAGTCCGATTCGTTGACGCTCTTGAGTTGTGTTTTGATAGCGACGTCTTTGAAAACATCTTCCACAATGGGATTGGCCAACTTGGTGGCATCGTACTCGGCCAGAGTGGCTATTATGGCTAGAATAAGTATGCATATCTGCTCATTGGGTGACTCAGGATGGAACTGGTTGAGGCCATGTGCCGCTGCCATTTCCTCTTCTCCATTTTGCCGCTCATGACGACTCGACGGGGACGATGCCAGGTTGCAAATATCCCGTTTCAACTCATCCAGATCAACGAAAGGGTATTGTAACCCGACTTCTTCATTATACTTTCGGAGAATATTGACCCACGTCCGTGTGTCAAACACGGCCAGGACACCCCCTGGTGAGCCTCTGCGGCGGTGCTCAACGAGCCGCCTCACAGAAGCGGCGCCAACAGTATGTACCTCAATTGTGCAGTCCTGTCTTGAATCGCTCTGCTCTGGGCTCAGGGCAATCAGGCGCTTCTCTGCCAGACGCAAATAGTAGTCTGAACTGCTGGGCTGTGGGGGCTGTGTGAGTGATTTCTCACGGCTACGTCGGCCGCTGGTGGTTATGAGGCATGGGCGGGCGCCAGAGCTTGAGCCAGATCGAAACCGGGAGCTTCGCTCATAGACGCAGTCAACTCCGCCGTCGCTGCAGGATTTGCATGGCTTCTCGCCGCTGCACTTTGTCTTTCGTCGCTGGCAATTGGCGCTACGCGATAAAATCTCATCAGTCCCGCTCGTTCCGCTCTCAGGGGAAACATGATGGATGGACTCACCACGCGACCGTCGTGTATGGAAACCGCCTCTTGCGAATATTGGGCATGACTGCCGGGCCAATTATGAATGTAGTCTGTGTCTGATGCCTGTTTACGTTCCAGCTAAGCAGAAATCACTTGGCCAAGGATGAGTGATCGATCCCCAACCGCCCCGCGTTCGGCCGGTGGAGATGAGAGAGATGGATAGACACAGAACGTCAATGCACGCCCCAGATTTACCGATCTGGGGAAGGCGGGGGTCTACGGAGGCCTCTGGCGAATCAATCATCGCGTAATTACCCTCGATCCCTGCGCTAGGGAGAATCTCGCTTAGATTCGGCTACTGTCCAGCATGTACATGTCTCTATCTGAGGAACTCTCAACTCGGTATACTCAACAGCTAGTTGATTCCGTTGAAGAGCAAGCTTAGCAATGGGTGACTCACTACTGGGCCGCGAGAGACACCAATCGAACAGGATCATACTTGACAGGAATGTTCTCTTTTTGAGTTCTGTTCAACTGCCGACTCAACACCCATTGATGTCATAGCTCCAACGGCCGGAATCAACTGGAATCGGAATCGAGAACGGATTCGCGGATTCGGACACCCCCGCACGCTCCAACTTACCAGGGGTCCCCGCGCACGGAATTGGATGACTGAGGTGGCATTTGACATCCAGTGGTGGCAGATGACTCGGCTCGAACGTAATACGCTCTCGTTCCAGACGGCTGTTCCCTGGGAGAAGAAGAAGTACAATGTAATCCTAATTAGCCAAATATAACTGGTTCCCCTCACCAGGCCTATTTCTCGTTTGGAATTCTACCTTCAAGTTCTCTACCACTCTTTCCCTTCCTGTGTTGCAAATTGCACGAGCACAAAGATTCAAAATGTCGTACCAAGTCATAGGCATTGCCATTGTTGCTGTGCTGTTCCTGCTAATCAGGCTGCTAAACACAACTGATATACCCAAAATCAAGGGTCTCCCCGAGATTCCCGGATTGCCCATACTGGGAAACTTATGGCATCTGGGCACAGACCACGCCCGTGTAGCTCAGAAATGGGCACAAAAATACGGCCCGGTCTTTCAAACACGACTTGGTAACAAGGTACGGTCCATCCATTCAACTACAGTGAGCGGCAATGGCTAACAGATCTTTCGCAGAGGGTCATCTTTGTCAACTCCTATGAATCAGTCAGGCATTTTTGGATCACACATCAGTCTGCCTTGATCTCGCGCCCGACCTTCCATACCTTTCACTCCGTAGTCTCCTCCTCTCAGGGCTTCACCATCGGCACATCTCCCTGGGACGACTCATGCAAGGCTCGTCGCAAAGCGGCAGCTACCGCACTCAATCGGCCCTCTACCCAGTCCTACATGCCCATCCTCGACCTTGAGTCCACAGTGAGTATCAAGGAGCTGGCAGCCGATTGCAAAGGTGGCGCCGTTGACGTCGATCCTTCTCCGTACTTTGCCCGGTTCGCGCTCAACACCTCCTTGACCCTCAACTACGGCATCCGCATCGATGGAAACATCAACAATGAGATGCTTCAGGAGATCACGCAGGTGGAGCGCGGGGTTTCCAATTTCCGGTCGACAAGCAACAACTGGCAAGACTATGTCCCGATCATGAGGCTTTGGAATAAGCAAAACACCGAGGCGGAGTCGTTCCGCTTGAGACGAGATGCCTACCTCACCAAACTACTCAATGAGCTCAAAGGGCAGATTGCTGCAGGCATTGACAAGCCTTGTATTACGGGCAACATTCTCAAAGATCCTGAGGCTAAGCTGAATGAAGGTAATTACCTAGCTGTTTCGAAATCTTATCTACTCTGGTTCTAATGTTACTGACGCTGCTACATAGCCGAAATCAAGTCGATCTGTTTGACCATGGTCTCCGCGGGACTTGACACAGTTCCCGTAAACTTAGTCATGGGTCTCGCTTTTCTCTCTTCCCCTGAAGGTCAGGCGGTTCAAGCAAGGGCTCTAGAGGAAATCGAAAAGGTGTACCCAGACGGTGAAGCATGGGAGAAGTGCCTCGTTGAGGAGAAGGTTCCATACATCACTGCACTCGTCAAGGAGACACTTCGGTTCTGGACAGTCATCCCCATTTGCCTGCCTCGCACCAGCATTAAAGACATTCCGTATGAGGGTGCTGTGATCCCTGCAGGCACAACATTTTTCATGGTAAGTCTGAGCAGCTACCCAGTTTCATAGATCCTTCCGGTAATCCACAGTTGCTAATCTCCTTCTTCCCGTCCCAATAGAACGCATATGCGGCAGATTACGATGAGCAACGTTTCAAGGACCCCTACAAGTTCATCCCAGAACGTTTCCTAAATGACACCGAGAGTGGAACGCCTCACTACGCGTATGGTGCAGGTTCTCGTATGTGTGCAGGATCCCACTTGGCCAACAGGGAACTCTATACGGCATACATACGCCTCATCACTGCCTTCGAAATTCATCCGGCTCGAAACCCCGCAGATCGACCCATCATCGATGCGATTGAGTGCTCCTCCAATCCTACAGCGCTGACTACGGATCCGAAGCTATTCAAGATTGGCCTCAAGATTCGGTCGGAATCGCGACTAAAGGAATGGATCGCGGCTGCTGAAGCAAGGACTAGTGAGTGAGTTGTGATAGTGGTTGTACATTGATCAACTTCAATGCAGAACATAAAATGTCTTAGATCTACGTGAGAGAATACTTGGAACTCGATTCTTTGGTTATCGTGGTCATACGGTTTGAAGCTTGGATTAGGGCAATGGTATTAGTTGGCACATTTTTGCATTATGGTTCTGGCATGAATCAAATACCTGTATAAAGACCTGAAATTGAGATACTTCTACATCTCTCGCATGTATGAGTCGTGTAGATACCCTTACATCGCATAAGACTCTGAACGTTTGCCCACTGAGGTACAAGCAATGCAAGTCGTCTGTGTTCATGTCCCCCCACTCTCTGAAACATGTTAATCAAACAACTCTATTAGACAAGTGCTGTGTTGCCCAGTCAGCAATCCCTTCCGCACCAGGGAGTTGTGCAATCATCGCAGTAATGATGAGGTGGCTTATCAGTCTTCGGTATGTGTGGGCCTGATTTTGGATATATATTTCTTCAAACCTCTGTCTTGGCTAACAATAGTTCTAGGACTGTCATTAAAACTTTCATTTCGCACACTATCATATCTATTCCTCATGTCTAATCAAATTTCCAATTTACGCCCCCTCACAACGTATGTGACCGGACATAGTCCCATGAACGGGGCTGCGATTTTCCAAGAGACGCGTCCTGCAGTATGGACCTCTCCAGATAACGAATCCATGGGCTTCAACGTGGTATACACCACCTCCGAGTTCCCCGTTTCATTCAACAACGACAACGACATTGCCAAGCACGATGCTCTGATGGGAACAGGAAACCTCGGCCTGGTCAATCCCAAGGGAACTGTGTGCCGCATGGTAGATTTCGCACCTGACAACAAGCCTGTGATGCACCGCACGCAAAGCTTGGATTACGGTGTTGTCATCTCTGGCACTCTCGAACTCGAACTCGACGCTGGGGAGAAGAGGCTCCTCTATCCTGGTGATGTAGCTGTGCAGAGAGGTACTATACACTCCTGGTACAACCCCAGCCAGACTGAATGGGCTCGCATGCTCTTTGTCCTGCAGGACTCTGAGCCGGTGATAGTGGATGGCCAGCCGTTAAAGGAGGATTTGGGGGAAGCTTCGGGTTCCATAGCTCCAAGTGGAAACAGCAACTAAAGAAACCAACGATCGTACGAAAAATTGGGAGTGCTCTTCCGATGTTTTACGGATTTACCTAGAGACTTCGCTATCCTCCGCTTTGCTGGGTAACGACAAGATGAATAACAATACAATTGTGAGACCATTGCTGGTTGTGTTATGAAATATTCGTACTTCAAGGATCTCGATTTCGTTGCGAATAGAGACAGTTCTTTGGGTCAGAACATCCGAAGGTAAAGTAGGAACCTTATAGTTGGTTAATTACCTTAGTGTACCTGACTTATTAGACTCCTGTCAGCTGGCCAAGACAAACTATAGAGTAAGTCAAGCTCGGTAGCCTATATCCAATTTTCCCTCCTAGATGCGTTTTCTCATCTTTAAGTCAAATGTTCATGTTAGGATTCTCATATCTTATGAATATCCTACAATGAAATGTCACGAGCAGGCACACAATTCGTTTATTGATAAACCGCAAATGGCAAGACTTGGAAGCTCAATCGTGATTCCAATAATTTACTACAAAACAATACCCCTTTGCCTTCTATATCCAAGATTTGAGATATTGAAAGCACCCTCAAGTTCACCAATACATCACTCCCCACTCCAACCGAAAGGTTTAACCTCGAGTCCTCAATGTCTCCTTGATAGTTTCCACTGCCAAAGAATACGCAACTTCTCTCTGCGCCCAACCATTTGTGCCCTCCTTGCATGCTTTATCCCACCCATGGGGAACTCCTGGAAGACACCGATGAATGACTGTTCTTCTCCCGTCATCGGCAGCATCGATTCTAGCAGCTAACTCATTTCCTTCTGGGGATAGGCTGTCGCCCTCACAAGTTATGATGAGCACAGTATCCGGATAAGAAGACGGATCGGCCAGACCTGGCGAGACACGCGGGTTGGTTCTGGCGGTCTTGTCTGGCGCATAGCAATCGTTGAAAAGCCCGGCAAGCCAATTCGGGATGGGCGTGATCGGGTTCGGTACCGTCTTCTCATCTGGGTTGATGGAAATATCAGTCACGGGATAGAACGCAAGGACGAGAGGCACATTGATCCCCTGGACCTCATGCCGCACCGACGATGCAGCTACGAGCGCAAGATTGCCGCCCGCGCTGAAGCCGGAGACGGCCACTTGATTGGGGTCAGCGCCCAGCAACTCCTTTTGGTCCTCGCTCGCCATCCACCTTAGAGTGTCCTCCACATCGTCGGTAGGGCCCGGATATGGACTTTCTGGAGCCTTGCGGTAATCCACGTCCAGTACGAGAAAGCCAGTTTCGCGAGCAACACGAGAGCAGAATGCGTGGTCGGTGCCAAGTAAGGGGACCATGAAACCACTGCCATGCCAATTGATGAGAACTGGGAGCTTTCCATTGGATGTATGGGGCTGTGGCCCATACGCGCGGCCCTCGATGAACCGGCCAGGATCACGGGTTGGGATGCGGATTTGGCGCCATTTGGTCGAATCTGGTATTCGGGGTGATAGCCTGTCCCGTAGCAATACAAGGGAACGGATGAATGTTACTAGTGCCTTGAGATAGACGTAACGAAAGAATCCAAACGCAGCCATGACAGCGGTTCCCAGGGGGGTTGGTACTGAGTGATGCGAATTCCGTCGCCACTTCGTTAGAATGGCATGATGTACGAGTAACTCCTTTGTCCCAAGGAAATTCACCGCTATCCACTCAGCAATAATTATGTAATCTGGGCCAGGTTCCTACTCGAATACAGCTAGGACTAAACCGGACTTACATGAGCGTTGAAACTTGAGCTTCAGTTCGCTTCCCCAAGTTGCCGAATAACTCCTTTTACTATCTAACAATCTTCCCCTTTTATTCATATGTGCTATCACTACTTTATCATAATAGTCTCTAAGACTTTGTAGCCTGGAAAAATATTTTTTCAAGGTTTTCAAAGCCAATTGAATATTCCCGAGGGCAGGTTGAAGATACACCCTGATCAAAACATGTAATTAGCCGGTCGACAAGGTAGCAGTAATTACAGCGTATGGTTAGAGCCCTAGAATAGGGGAAATTCGAAATGAAATTTTGGGTTTTCTAATAGCAGGTAGATTACCCTTCGTTATTTATTATATTTGAGTATAACACTCATCCAAATATACTCTAGTTATGAGTGATCATTAAAATTCATGGGAGGGTCTTTGTTTTTCTACATTAAACATATAATCGAGGAGAATTCGGTATGTGTGAGGAGGCTTCTGATCTTGAAGCCAGGGCTACCTTGAAACCTGATCTATAGGCAACTTAATCCTTTACAATTAACAGTGTCCAGTACGGTCAGAGCTAAGTTTGCCGATAGGGAGGATAGGATACAGGCGCAGCTTAACACCATTATTCCCAAGTACATAACAAAAACACATTTCTTCACCACAGGTTTATCTTATCAGAATACCTCGTGGCAAGTGCCTCAGAAAAATACCCCACGATATCATCTTATGTCAATCCAAATATCATCCCTCTTGATCAAACGGTTCTTCAAATGAACTAAGGGTAGATTAGTAGCTGAGTCGGTGACGACCAGTGAATACCCGCTGTTGTATGTACTTTTTGACTGAAATGCTTCGTGTTGTGCTATTTTGTGTTATAGTGGAGACTAGGGCATATAGCTCTCACGATACCTTCAACAACCACATACGACCAGACCCATTCGAGAACACGCGATCCCGTCCGCTCTCGCCTAGTTAAACGGATGAGGGGCGGATTAGTAGTTGGGTCGGTGACGACCAGCGAATACCTGCTGTTGTATGTTTTTTTTTGCCCTTTGTGCGTCTGATCTTTTGCCGTTGGAACTTGGAGGTAAATGAACTCAATAGGCAGTTTCTTGGTCCAATATGAGCCATTATAAACTACGTTGGTAGTATATATCATGTCACTTCGTAACTATGAAAATTTCAGACAGTTCTTGTCAAACAACGTTAACTAGAGATTCTTGAAGTCACCCTTCCTCCGCAACAGCCCGTCAACGCTCGGCTCAGCCTCCCCATGATATCCTCTTGGCCTCGATCCTGTTACTTCACACTGGCGCCAGCCTCCTGGGGATTGAAATCTGGCCCGGTACCCTGCAAGTGGCTAAGAGGATCTCTTTGAACAGCCCCGATTTTCGGCTCCTGTTTAGCAGTTCCATTATCGCAGCATGGAACTAGAACACTCATATTGTTCCTCACAGAAGGAACGTCAAGTGCTGGGTTGGAAGAAAAGAAATCTGCCGGTCGAAGATGCATTTGGTGGATTTCAACAGGCCTGTGTACACATCAGTCAACTTGTATCTCAACAACGGCCACACTCTCATCTCGTCAAACTTACATGACAGGCCAGTCTTCAACACGAGGGTTGTGCGTAAATCCGAACACGCTCCATACAACCGGGCCGGCCTTCTGAGCCGCTTCTCCTTGGGCCTCTTCATCATCAGGCTCAAGGCTCGTGACCCAGTCTCCTCGCGCCACCATGTCTCCAACACCACCTTTCTCCTCCCTGCTCTGGTTAGTGAACTCGCCGGCAGCCCAAAATTCGCCATCTCTATATCCCGTCACCCAGAAATCGTGCTTGGCAAAGGGTGCCCTCTTTGCCAAGATGCTCTCCTCGTCCGCGAGCATCAGCTGTGTAGCTGGCGAAACGACTTTATAGCCCACATTCCTCCCGGAAAGCACATTCTTCTTCGTACTATTCTCTAACTTCACTATCCTGTTTAGTCGCGGCTCCGAGTCAATCCACTGCGCCCTCTCCACCACTCGCCGCTGCACCTCGTAGTAGTTCCCATGCGGGTTCGTCCGGGGTTCCATCTTGCGCCCATGGGTCTCTTCAACGACGACTTGGGTATCCCCGGCCCGATACGAATCCACCGCCGGGTCAATCCGCACGGCGAAGATGTGCTGGTGGTTCTGCGCCAGGATGCCGGACGCGACGACGTTGCCGTACTTGCTCGATTTACCCTCGTCGATGGGGACCACGCTCATGATGCCGGTGGCCCTCGTCTCAATGGTGATGCCACCTGCGAGGTCAAGCTTAAAGGCAAATATGTACTCGTAGTTGGCCAGGGTGACAACGAACTGCACAACGAGCTCACGCAGCCGGGCAACCACGGCCCGGTTCGTCCTGTAGTTGGTGTGCTTCCAGAGGATGCCATTATCCTGCTCATGGAGACAGACAACGGACTTGGCGGGCGTCGGCGACCCATCCGCTGCTGCGAGGAAAGAGTCAAGATAGTGAATTGCGCCTAGACAATCGCACCCCAGCTCAAGAATGTTCGCGGCTCGTCCTGCACCGCCGTCGCCAAAATCAAATGCTTGCTTGCGATGGTACGGAGGCCGGGGGTCGCCATACGGGACGGTGAGCTCGCTGTAACTCAGACGGTAAAGTATGGGACGGTTGTCATAGCAGACGTCGTGCAGGACGGCGCCCTCACGGGGGGTGAAACTGAGTCGGAATCGCCACTTCTGCCACTCCACGAGACCGTCAGGGTGCACTGAGAAGGAGGCGCCTTCGGGTTGAGAAATGTGGATGGGCTTCAGGTTCTGGCGCAGTGGGCGATCAAGGAGTTCTGGCACGTAGTCGGCCGACCTGTTCCTCTCAAGCAGCATTCTGGGTGCTTCCGACCGAGGGTGTGGCTCGAGGCCGTCCTCGGCTCCGCCAGTGGCTAGGCGGTCTACTCTAACCAGCTTCTTTGTGACCCAATCTAACACGGGAATGATGGGGATTGGATATGCGTAGTGGTTGGCGTCCGGGTTATTATGCGAGGAATCCCTGGCAAAGACAAGGCCCTGCATATATCTTGGGCTGTCTGACTCGTCTGGACCTCCGTATGGCCAAGGATCGATGGTAATGGTAAACCCCTCTGGAAGAGTGAACTCGGCCATGGCCTCCTTGAACATATCTGAGTGGACGCAGACATCCTGGAAGAGCATAAACTCGGGTCTATTTGAGAGGCAGTCAGCTTGGCTTCCCAAATGACGGCATCATTCCGACGCAGGAGGCGGATGTCTAGTTACTGGGTAAATGACGGCTTAAACAATTTTCCAGCCGAGTCGGAAGAGACAAGTTGTTCCGTCTCGAGGTTAACAACGGAGCGAATATGCTCATGCTCGGTTGATCTGATGATGTCGTACTCGACCTGAGCAAGCCTCGGGGGACGCTCAGTGTCCTTGGTCAGGGTAGCGGTGTGTTCAGCCTCAAGGAAGGGAACCAAGCTGGCCTTGTCTGGTTCTTTCGCAAAGATAGACCGAAAGAACAGAGACGTGTCTGGCCCATGAATGCCCACGATGATGTCACGAGCACATTGGAATTCAGCCTCGGAGAGTTGTGAGAGTGGATGGGGGCGATTAGGATTGGTGGGACTCATTGCACAGGACTGTCTACTTGATGAAGTCTAGACGCATAGAACGATTTTGTTTGTATTAGAGGTGGTGTCGAAGCAAAGGGTTCACTTCTTATTGTATGGCGGGGAAGGGCAGAGAGTCAGGTAGAGAATTGGGCGAAACCGGAGCAAATACATGAACAATGCCTTTCTTTTGGGGTAACACCAAGTTGGAATGCGTCCAATTGCATACATACTTGATGATCGGCGCTGGGAGCCGTCTCACCACCATGCAGTAAAGGCCAAAGAGCCAAGCCGGAGATCTACTTCAGAACGGCTCGGTGGTACAGCCCAGAGCGCAAGACGCATGATTGATAGATAAGTCAAGTCAATATTGCAAGCGAACGATATAGAAGACAAGCGAATACAGTCCAAACCCGAATCTGGTGGGTAGACCAATCAATCAAAGTGCAAGTCTGTATAGCAGGAGAACAGTGGCCTTCTTATTTGAAAATGCTTATCAGTATCTCAAGCATGTCGATTTGCCTGGTTTCGTCTGTACCCCTGCCCATGATCAAGCAAGGGTTACTTCCACAGCAAGATCCAACCAAGGCCATGGTGGCTGCCGTTGCGTCCGTCTTATCAGCGGCAGAGTGCCTTAGCAGAGGACGCGTAGGAGGGTATTATTAGCGCTCCTATACGCGGTCAGTATGTAGTTTTCTTCTCAATTGCCTGACGATCTGACATCCGAACTGCCGAAGGTGTCGTATGTGATATCATCCCGCTGGAAACGACCTAGCTAATCAAGGCAGCGTACCTTGTCTGTTGCTCCCTGCTTGCTAAACCGAAGCCAAGATTGAACAGCCTGGCAAGGCGCTGGGAGCTCGTGCTGGTATTGGCATCGGTGCCGGGGGCTCTCAATGGAGCCCGCTAGAGACTGGGGCCGGATCCAAATGCAGCCAAAATTTCGATTGCATCCTACAACGGCCTGCCCTAGCAAGAGAAATTGCGTAATCATCCATCCATTATCAGTTGGCATACGTAGCACGTAGTGGCTGTGGGCAGCATGTCCATCGAGTAGATGGCACAATGTAGGCCCGGGATGGGTACAGTAGGATCAGTCTTGCACAGGAGAAGGGATGTAGGTATGTCGGGTGTGTTTCAGGTGTCCAACCAGCGAACAGACCTACCGCAAGCAGCAAGTGATGGATCGATCTCAACGAGAAGCCCACATGGCAGTGATGATTCAAGAATCTCCATGTCTGAGGTCGCCTCTGTTGGAGACGCTACAGCGACACTACCACCTAATGTTCAGGCGGCAGGCACCTACATGAGGTACTGGGTACGCTGTGCTTCAGCGGCAGGGACCTGGTGGCAAGCCCAGAAGCCCACTACAGCGAAGTACCAGCTACTCCCAGGACGTCGGCGGGTCCCCCAAAACCTCATCCACACATTCCTATGTATCTTGCTGCTGAACTACTAACCCATTATCGATTTATTATACGACAACGCATCGACAACTTCCGTTAGCTCGATGGGTAACCGGCCATTCTTTTCTTACGAGATGCGGATTGCCAAAGCACAGCTCTTCAACTTGGCACTGGCTCGTTCCGACTGCGCCAAAAAGAACACGAAACACCCCCACAACGCACCCGATCCAACCCCAAACGCCCGTGGCCACTCCTACCTACTCGACTGATTGACATCCACCGACGACGTAGCCCATCCAGGCGACAGAGACCCTAGAATACTATAATACCTTGCTGGGTCCTCCTGGTCCTGCAGGCCACAACCCCTGTTCGTTGGTGACCAGATTGCGGGTCCAGTTGCACTGGAAGAACTAGCATCTATCAAACTCCAAAGACCCCATAGTTCTGGCAGATTAATGGCAACTATCTGCGGCATCATCTTTTTTTCCACCTCAGCCCTTAGCCACCCCTCCCCCTATTCTTCGTTCTTCTCTTAATTACTCTTTTTCTTTCTTTGCCTGTCCCTTTATCTTTCTTGCCGGCGGCATTGATGCTTGTTACGCCCGACTAGACCAAGACCAAACCTTCTTCCCACCGCCCGTCAGTATCACGCAATTGACTCCCTCCTCAAACGCCTCCTGTTCCTCGATGGGTTCATAGCGTCTTCTCCTTTTTCCCTCCACCACACCGCCCGGCTTTCCCCTTCGTTTCTTCACCCTCCTTTGGACGACAAGTTTTCTCTATCTTTTTAATTCTCCAAGAGGGAATCCCAATTCTTCGACAATGTTGAATTCGCGTCGCGCGCTTGTCGCGGCCTGTTTCATCCTCGTCGTTTTCTTTCTGATCTCGAGATCATCCCACGACACCACGACAGCCGCGAGTACGACCTCCAGAACCTCAGATTCAGACACACAAAAACCCGTAAGCGAAAAGCCAGGCAGCCAGGATGTCTCTGGCGACGGCGCAGCAGTCGTCGCAGGCGCTCCCTCGAAAAGGCCCGCGGCCATTCGAACGCCTCAGAAGCCAATGAACGACATGTCTCACATGTCTACCTACGACAAGCTTGCCTACGCCTACCCCTACGACGTCACCCTCAAGTTCCCTGCCTACATCTGGCAGACGTGGAAGTCCACACCCGCCGACGAGGGCTTCGAGTTTCGCGAGCAGGAGTCGTCGTGGTCCGACCAGCACCCGGGCTTCATCCACGAGGTCATCAATGACGACGTCGCCCGCGATCTGCTGCGCCTCCTCTACGCGTCCGTCCCCGAGGTCCTCGAGGCCTACTCTGCGCTACCTCTGCCCGTCCTGAAAGCCGACTTGTTCCGCTACCTCATCCTATACGCCCGAGGAGGCATCTACTCCGATATCGATACTTACGCCATCAAGAGCGCTTCAGAGTGGCTGCCTGAGCAAGTCGCTCGCGACACGGTCGGTCTCGTCATTGGCATCGAAGCCGATCCCGACCGCCCGGACTGGGCCGATTGGTACAGCCGTCGCATCCAATTTTGCCAGTGGACGATCCAGAGCAAGCCCGGTCACCCTGCGCTGCGGGACGTCATCGCCCGCATCACCAAGGAGGTTCTCGAGCTCAAGCGCGCCGGCAAGCTGGCCAAGTTCGTTAGCAACGACGTTGTGGGCCTGACTGGCCCTGCTGTCTGGACCGACACCATCATGGACTACTTCAACGACGGGCGATTCTTCGACATGTCGCAGAGCAAGGGGACCATTGACTACCGCAACTTCACGGGCATGACTGCCAGCAAGCGCGTAGGCGATGTCGTTGTTCTCCCAATAACCAGCTTCTCACCGGGCGTGGGGCAGATGGGTGCAGGGGAGACGGATGATCCAATGGCGTTTGTCAAGCACGAGTTCGAAGGTGAGTTTCTAATCAAGAGGGAGAAATATAGCAGGAAACAATGATGACTGACTTGTGAATACAGGCACATGGAAACCGGAGAGCGAACGTCATATCGGTGAAACGAAAACCACTTGATCACCTACCAACTCCTCTTTGCCTGGTCCCCGCGACCTGGCAACGCTTTACGACGCAACTACACCACACACCTCTATAGACATAAAACTCGACAAACGAAGAGGACGCAAGCCGCTTCGATCGAGATCCTAGAAAGGCACAGCAACTTTGATGATACCCTCAATTGCCTTTGAATCACGACATTAAATTATACTGTATATACTACAATCTCGCCGGCCTTGGCCCGTTCCCGCTATTCAGCCATCGTAGCGAGCCTACGAGAGGGGGTAGCAGGAGAGAAGGGCTTGCATGGCGGGATTCTGTCGGATGTTATATTTTGCTATGGCGTTATTCCCATTCAATATTGTGTTTATAACATGTGGGTTCAACAGTAGGAGAATGGAGTTAGAACCGGGCAAAAAAGAGTGCCGTACTGTACCTAGGCAGAGTATCACATATTAGACTCGTTTCTGCATTCCAGCAAACATGATAGACAAGGTGTATCCAGTCAAGACTGGTCATGCGCAACTCTTCACATTGCCAGTGCAAATAGACATGCTTTTACCCATTCTGCATGGCATGACTACGGTAGCCAACATATTGAACATTGAGTGCTCCGTAGCGAACATGGCTAGCCCCTTTTACTATTCTAGGATTACTGTCTCAAAGTTGCATCCGAAACACTCACCGTATGAAGATCGTCCGCGGGCTTATGAAAACGAATGGGTGTGGTTTTTAGAAAGACTGTGCAGTCATCGGTGTGACACAGAAATTGACGGACAAGGCGATAACCTGCCAGATTTTGTTCCGTGCCTACTAACACTGCATACTCTCTAATGTCCCGGTTTTCGTTCTTGCCTCTTCTCTTAACCATCATCAATGTTTCCAACGAGCCATCGGATTTGATGTGTCAATTCCAACATCAACCATTTAGTAATTCGCAGTTCTTCTACATTTTACGGCCTAGGTAGACACGATATGCCTCTCCATTGGCTGATGGGCTAAGACATCGGACACGCGATGATTTCCCACCGCTTATCCTGAGCAACTGAACGGCGAGTTCTCATCGAATTGTAAGAGCAAAGTGGTGGAGGGAAACCCGGGATAGCTCCAGCTGGTTATTACACCAGAACTGTCTCATTCTTTGTTGTGTGATAAGTTATAACGCCCAAGTGCTACAATTGGCAGTGTCTGCGAGGTGCCTCTTCCGGGTGCTAGGGCAAAGCCGACAATTACCAGCAGCATCTGGGCAGGCCAAAGCACCTGCGGGAGGGCACAGGTAGTGTAGTATGCATGGAGATCCGATCAGATGCACGCGGAGATGCTTGATCTTCACCCGCCTGCCATTAGCAAAGAGCGAGCACTAAAGCGGATCCGGCTTGGAGGTGGAATGGCACCTGGACAATCCGAACGGGACCCTGCTGAAGCTTTCCAATAGCAGCTATGACGCCCCAGCTGCCTAAAGGGAGCTACCTGTATCCATTGAGACCTGGAGCTACAGCTCTCCAGCTCCCGCTAGAGTGCCGACCCCTCACTGGACTGTGCCCAGCTAGGCCAGTTACAGTGCTCTGGGTGGGTTCTGCCCCGGATTGTCTCCAGGGGGTGAATTCTACGAGCCACCCACACCTCACTCACACGGCATCCATTTCACCCACGGATGCGATCAGCCGCCGGTATGCGCATGCACGCGCCCAGAAATGCCAACCGCGGGGGAATGGCTCCAATACTAGCAAACCGAGGGCAGGCGAGGCACGCAGGCGGACACGGCAAGAGGGGCCTGGGCAGCCAGAGAAAAGGACAATCTTCTCCATTGATCCTCACACGCTATCCCAACTCTCTCTCCCCTCCCCCCTCCCCTCTCATTGTTTTCATCGGATCCGGCCCTTCCTTTCATATGTCATCTGCGTGTCTCATTCCTGGAGGAATATAATCTCGTCGCTCCTCCGCCTCTCATTGGAGAGACGACAACCCACCAGCCTCAACCCCGACAGCAGGCAATGTAGCAGATGCACAGGGTTCACACAGTCTGACAGACATGCCATTACCGATGCGTCAATTGCCTTGGTCTAGCAAGCTTGGCCCACGCCTGTCGAGCCTACCGACCTCATTCCAGTCGCCCTTCGCGCATCCTGGCTCCAATGCATTCCGCCCGGCATGGCCTACTTCTAGCTGCCGACCCCCATCTGGGTCGAAAGGGCAGGGCAGCCGCTGGTTGTCTAAGAAGAGCACGAAGTCTAATTGTTGTACCTACTGTTCCTTCCATAGCAGATCTCGGCAGCCTCTAGCTTCATCTGCGTTGGTGTCTAACTCTGGTTCTACTGCTGCCTCTGCACTCCCAGCCTCCAGCAGGAATCGCACTTCAGTCACCAAGACAAGAATCAGACCGTCGGCATTGTCATTACCAGCAACGTACACAATGTCGCAGACCGTTACTTCACACGTCAACCCCGCCGCCCTTGACCTTGATATCACGACGTGGGGGACTGCTGCTAGGCCTCGAGCTTATCACACTCAAGCGGAAGCTTCCTCTTCGCAGTCAAGGGAGCTAAGTTGTCGTGACGGGCCCGTCGATGTCAGTAAACAATTTCACCCTCCTCACTGAAGCTCAATTGAGTCTATGCCTACCATCTTAATACTCAATCTGCTTGACCTTATGCTAAACTCCTTTCCTAGCTCCCACTGTTCCATGGCACGATCCCAGACCACTTTGCGTCTGTCGTAGCTGTCTGGGGGAATCGCCCTGCTGTTGTGGCCCGTTCTCCCATTGCAGCCACTTCCAAGGACGCTCCCCACGAGACTGTCCTCACTTACACAGAGCTTGACAAGCTCTCCAACCGGGTTGCCAACTCCCTGGCTCAATATGGCATCCGCAAGGGTATCCGTGTTGGCGTGAGTCTGGGCAACACAGCCGAGTACACAATTCTCACATACGCTCTCTTCAAGCTCGGCGCCGTCCTCGTCCCCTTTAATCCGGGCTTCACCGCGAGCCAAGTCGTGTCTGGTCTTCAGCATCTCGGTGCCGAGATGCTCATCATCGGTGCTGTGACCGACTTGGCTTACAAGGCTGGCAAAGGCCGCAGCAATGAGGACCTCCTCAGAGGCGTTCTAGGCGACCTTGACAACTCCACCATCCAGAGCGAGGCTGTTCCATCGCTGCGTGTAGCCATCGTACTAGACAATCGACCCGACCACCCTGACGTCCAGTTCGATATTGAGCGCTTCCCCTGCCTCACGCCATACACAAACCTCCTTAACGGCTCACCCGCCCCAGTGAGGCCGTCCTCACCCCTGGATCCCTCGGACACCATCAATATCCAGTTCACTTCCGGTACCACCTCCGCTCCCAAGGCCGCTATGCTCAGTCATCACTCCATCCTGAACAACGGCCGCTTCATCGCCCACCGCATGGGCCTCGCCGCCAACGACAAGATCGTGGTTCCCCCTCCGCTGTTCCACTGCTTCGGCTCAGTCCTCGGCTTCCTGGCCACTGCCACCACCGGTGCCTCCATCCTTTTCTCCTCCCCGGCCTTCGACCCCGTCGCCACCGTACGCATGTGCGTCGACCACCAGGCCACCGGCCTCTACGGCGTCACGACCATGTTCGTCGCCTACCTCGAGGCGATCGAGCGGGGCGCCGCTGGCACCCCCACCACCCTCCGCAAGGGCATCGTCGCCGGCAGCAGCGTCCCCTCCAGCCTCATGGAGAAGATCCAATCCGGCTTCGGCCTGGAGGACCTCGTCATCTGCTACGGCATGACCGAGACCAGCCCCGTGAGCTGCATGACCCGCCCCAACGACCCCCTCGAACAACGCACATCCTCCGTCGGCACCCCCATGCCTCACACCCGGATCAAGATCGTCTCCTCCACCGACCGCAGCGTCATCATGCCCATCGGCGAGCGCGGCGAGCTCGCCGCCTCGGGCTACCTCACCATGAAGGGCTACTTCAACGACCCGGCCAAGACGAGCGAGGTCCGCAAGGACGAGGACGGCACCATCTGGGTCTACTCGGGCGACGAGGCCGTCATGGACAGGGAAGGCTTCGTCCAGATCACCGGCCGCATCAAGGACCTCATCATCCGCGGCGGCGAGAACATCCACCCCCTCGAGGTCGAGAACTGCCTCTTCAAGATGCCCGGGGTCCAGGAGGCCAGCGTCGTCGGCATCAGCGACGACCGCCTCGGCGAGTGCGTCGGCGCCTTCGTCATCCCCCACGCGGGCTGGACGATTGTCGACGGGGACGACGGCGCCCCCGGCGACCCTGCCTCCCGCACCATCTCCCGCGCCGACGTCCGCGCCTGGGTCAAGGAGAAGCTCTCGGGCCACCTCGTCCCCAAGCACGTCTTCTGGACGGACGAGTATCCCAAGACGGCGAGCGGCAAGATCCAGAAGTTCAAGCTGCGGGACTTCGCCGAGAAGAAATTAGAGGAGGGGTCATAACTTGTCTCCTTTCGTCCCCCCTCCATTCAGGTCCTCCATTTGCGGGCTAAAGCATTGCCTCGGGGTTTGAAATGCTCCTCAGACCGATGGCTTAGAGGTGCACACGGGCGTCTTGCGGTGATTTAGTAAGATGTATCATATTTCTCGACTTCAAGGGGCAGCATAGAAAGAGTCATGTGGAAGTTGGATTCATAGTACACTCATATATTTACATATACAATACATCTATTAGCACTATGGACCGAGAAAGTGTTCCAATTGACGTCACCACACATCTTACAGTTCAGCACAGCTTTAGAACAGTACGTTTTACGCAATCATCAGAGGATAGCTTAGATATCGAGGTGAAGGGTATAATATTCCACAAGCGGTGGTGCACACACTCTCCTGTTGCACCATAGGGTAGAGTAGAGGGAGACGGGAAGGTAAGGTTTAGGTATCTCGGAAATTCCGCCACAACAAGTCGTGAAAAATGAGAAAGAAATGCACCCACGAGAAAGTTCAGAGGGTGATCAGAAGGGATCGTCAGTCCCCTGGTATCCCATGCTTTGACGTCAATGCCATCCATATAATCCATATGCCATTTTGTTGGAAAACAGACAAAGACCCAGCCAAAATAGCAATAAAACAAAAAATACCCACAAAATATCAATGAAGAAAGCCACCAGCAGGAGCGTCTACTTTTCCATATCATTTATAAAAAAAAACAAAAATCTTGCTTTTCTGATAATGCTCCTTTGAACGCTTTTTGCATTCCTGGCTCTCTCTCGGCACCCAGGACCTATCCCCAGCTCAGCAATCGAGATATCATGGTAGGTGATTCTTCTTTTGAATTCCACAAATGCCCTCAGTAATGGCGGGCCTCGCTCTCTTCTGCGATCCTGTTTAATCGACTTGTTTCTCGCAACCAATGCGCCCAAGCAACTCCTTGCGATCACTGTGCCCGGGGAGGCTGACACCAGAACTGCTCCCCTGGATCTTCAGCCCATGCCTGCGCTCCCAGCCCTTCAGGTCCAGGCCTTCAACGCCCACCTCTTCCTTGAGAGGCTCAGCCTCTTCGTAAATAAACTCGTCCTCTTCGTCAGATTCCGCACCCTCATCGTCGCTTCGGCTATCCTCGGCACCGTTTCCAGTGAAGACTTTGATCGCAACACGGACGATAAGAGTAAACCAAAAGATGGTGATGAATTGGAGAAGCATCAAAGGAATCAGGAACGCATTCTTGACACCATCGGTGTAGCAGACATGACCGGCTGGGTCGTAGAACGGTTCAATAAGATGTGTCCAGCCGGCCGGGGGGTCGACAGGTCCGACGAGATTGGTGCTGTTGCCCTTCCAGCAGCCCCTCGTCATAACCTCAGGGGTGTGGGCCCAGATAGACCAACAGACCATGAAATAGGCGATGTGGCGGAACAAGATCCAGGAGACTAGGAAGAAGCCGAAAGCAATGTCGCATAGAAGGCCGTAGCCAAGGTACTTCAAGCACTTGGCGAGCTGTGCGTCGCATTGTTAGATGAATGGCAGAAGCAGCAGATTGGCATGCTATGGCACTTACAGGGAAGAAGATGTCGACAATATCCATGATAACCAGGATGAAGTTTCCAACACGGGTGTGGTGATAGCTGTAGCAGGAGCAGATGAGAGTCGCGGTAATGATGTGATGGCTCAGCATCTGCCAGTGGTCCTTTCGTCGCTCCTCAATCTGGATAACGAGCATCTGTTGCAGCCAGAAGCCCCATTGAGCAAGAATGTAAAACTTCATGAGCCCGTCAACCTCGCGGTTGGGCCAGTTGGTCCAAAGCTCTCTCATGTTCAGGTAGTAGGGCGACTTGCAGTAGATGTACTGCCAACATATCAGTAAAAGGCCAAATGAGCATTGGCAGTGCTCGGTGAACTTACGACGCCCATTGGCCAAAAGAAGCTGTAGTAAACAATCAACCATGACTGCTCAGTGAACCGAGTCAACAGCTTTCGCTTCGAGATTCCCTGAACCTTGGCAAGAGGTGCCAGCACATATTCCATGACAGCCGCCCGCAGCCCAGTAAACAGAACAATACACATGGAGATGAAGTACGCATCGTCGAAGCCAACGCCATAGTCGCCAGTCTCGGGATTCTGGTAGCAAAGGTGGAAGAATTTGTACGTGTATGTCCTCGCCTTGGGGATGAAGATGTGTGCGAGGAGCGCAAGAGCAAGCAAGTTGAACGACAGCCCTATTCGACAATGATATGTAAGTAAACGTCCAATGGCAGAACTAGAGCATGGGGAGGGAATGGGCGATTCAATGGAAGCAAAAATAGGGATTGCTGGGTCGCCAGTTCGGGATTGGGCGCCAGGGGATGCCATATAGGAATTGCCTGCCGGGAGGCGAGACGAGACATGTGAAGCGATATAGAAGTCGAAGAACGTACCAATCTGGTTCTCGATAAACCACCGCGACAAACGAGCGGAGGTGCTCAGATCCTTCTGCTTGAGTCTCCTGACAAGAACAACATTGCTTCCAGACTGCATGTATAGCGGGCCGTTCATGTTAGGATTGCTTGGTCCGTTTCGGAGTGGAGGTCGCACGGGGGCTTTGGCAGCGTTGACAAAGGGTTTCTCGCCCGCCGAGGACGGAGTTGGGGTCTCGGTGTCGCTCATGGTTGAAGCACTTTGAATTGGCTCGAGAGACCTTCGGCGACAGAAGGGGAGAGCGGCCGGTGTGGAGGATGGCAGGAGGAAGGAACCGTACGGGCGGACGGACAGTCGACACACTAAAGAGGAGGGGGGATGTCGAGAGATCACTCAAACCGCGGTTCAGAAGCTGCAGCAGAGCAACTACCCACCCAAAAAGATAAGGGATGGGAGATGGCGGGGAGAGAGAGGGGAGAAGGGGCACAGCCAGAGGAGGAAGGCCGGCCACGAACTCTGAAGTCGTAGAGGATCCTTGCGATTCTGACGTGTACACGACTCGCGAGCAGTGGAGGGAAGAGCAACACAACACGAGAACATCCGGCAGAGGAAGTCAGAAGCAACGCCGCGGCGGGGGAAGTGGCCTGGCAGAACGGGATCGACTTTCTCCAACCAGGTCCCAACCCCTGGTGCGGCGGTTAATAATTTCTGTCCATCTGGGCCGTTTGGCTAGCCTAACCTGCAGGCCCAGCTGGCCTGAACCCGCCCCGGCCACAATTTTGCAAGATCCCGAGGGGCGTTTTACTGGGTGCCTGTGAGCTTGGCCCCAAACGAAGGCCCACTGCTCCCACCAGCAGGGGGGATGCGCAGTGGAGTTGGCTGGAGCAGGCCTTGCCTAGGCCCAAAGGCGGTGAGCAGGGGCCCCGTTGCGAAGACCAATAACGCCTGGGCTTTTAGGGAGATGTTGAATGCTAGCCTCCACTAGGCCTGGAGCCTGTTCCATGCTGGAGCTCAACGATCTTGACACTACAGGAGGCCGTGGCCGAAGCCAAATACTAAAATTACAGTGAGTGCCCAGACAAGCAAAAAGTAAAAAAAATTGAAATCCAGGGGCTCGGTACCATTCGGGTGCTCTTAATCGCAATCAACCTTGTTGCCACCTTGGACGATAGCTCAGGGAGACTCAGGGTCTTCTTATTTCCAATGCTAGTCCGCCGCGGCTCCAATTCAAAGTTCCAAAAGTGGTAAAAATCCTCAAAACGTGAGCAACTGTTCGATTCCTTCTTCATGATGGTGTTGCATCGACTCAAATAAAGATCCCCCCTCCATCCACCTTCCCCCACCCCTTTTCCTCACCCGACCTCTCTGATATCCAGCCAATTCAGCGTTGCCCGCCCGTGCGTGCGTGGGTTATTACGGAGACAAGGGGATCATTGGCCTCCACAACAAACTTGGGAGTTTAGCTTGCAGCCAACGGATCCATGTTGTGACACACGGCTCCCGAGTCGCATTGGCAGGATGGAAGCTGCAGGCCTGACCTACATACAACTACCAAGTAGAGGTTACCCCGCGCAGGGCCCCGACGCACCGTAGCATCGACCTGCCTGCAGCTGAGGCAGCCATTGGCCAACCAGGCGTTGCGTTTTTGCTCGCGATCGCCTGTCGCATTGGATTTCAGCCGCCAGCGTGTACATACCTACGTACAAGCAAACGCAGCTTTATTGCCAGGTACAACGTAGTAAATGCCTCCTCCTGCTTCTTCACCGTCCCACCATTGCGTGACCTTATGCTTCCCACTTCTCCTTTCCTGCGGTTTGATGCACGAGTCACATCAGATGGCCCGCTTCCAGCTGAACCAGGTGACAGAACATTAGCAAACCCCCTTGAAATCTGGCCAGTGGCTGAAAGATCTCCACCGCTACTGCGTAATTCATTTAGGTAGGTGAATGATTGGCAGATCTACAACTCCTAGCAGTATCAAATAAACAGGCATTGCGCATCCTGTCCAAGACACCACTGCCCAACACATTCCTATCCTTCGCTTGTTAGTCCTGCCTCCCTTTGTGGATCAACAACGGCGCCATGAGCTCGAGCCAGATATACCTCCCAGCCTACTCAAACTCACCCACGCCTTGTAACCCGGTAGGTAGGTCCCAATTAAACCGGCTTTACATGCATCCGGAATGCACTTGCGGTATGTAGGTTATCGAGCCCCGGCTGAGCTACTGATGCTTTAGGAGCCGGAACCTCCCTTCGCCTTGACCTATGGCCGGAGAGTGCCAGCCAATACCCCCACCACGGGCCACTTCCCCCAACCAGCGCCGAAACCACTATCAATCATATTCCTCTGAATGACACCTTATATCATCAGGTCTATATTCCACACCTTATAACCCAGGAGCCTGATCTGTCACTCGGTATGCTGAAAACTCCATAGTTTCTCGTCCCATTTACCCAGTCTCTTGCTTCGTTTCAAGGACACCGTTGAATTAAGCCAAAACACCCGTTGCCCCAACATATTTGTTTTTTCGTACAGTACATCTCGTATTCCCCATAGATGACGAGTGTGGGCCGCCAGACCCTCTTATCGATAAAACTTCCGAGAAGATCTCACGTAAAGCAAACCAAAGTCTTGACCTTTAGTTCTCCCTGTAAGATCCTTATATCCAAGTCAAATAAGCGAGCTACTGCGTCTTGCTGGTATCCCAACAGAAAGAAAAGAAAGCTTAGCTCATGCTCGGGTTTCTTTACTTATTACGTTATGAAACGACATATGTCTAACAATTCAGGTATTTTTCAGTCTGCAGCGCAATCAACCTCAACCCAAACCACACCTTCGAAAGGAACGAATGGTGAACTGGGTATAAGAGGACGTCTTGAGTTACCCAACCTGAGAGATTGGAACGCCTAGCTTGCCTTTGACGTCCAGACCATGCCATTGATATTCTTTAATTGACAAATAATCTCCAATGACAACGAGTGTACTATGGATCGCTTTCTGCCTAATAGTGGAGGTATTTGTCTGTCCAGTGCTGGGGTATGATTTGATGTTGCGTATCATGCTCATTCCACTTAGTTGCCGCCGAGGCATACACTGATAGGTGCTATTCATTCACATTGCGAAGTGACCCAGCTCCAGCTCTCAAGTAGACGTGCAAATGCCTCAAGCCCGTGCTAGCTTAGGACCAGACGAAAAGCTGACAGACGGATACAGCTCTCGCCTGCTATTTTCGGAAACATAGCTTCCTGAATCCTAGCGGAGAAGTCTGCAACAGATCTTATCCATCTGCTTTGAGACTATATTCCTATCTATATTCGATGTCCAAAGACTACATCAAACTGCCGTGCATGCATAGCAGTTGCACAGCTCGGCAGCCCATTGGCTTCTCTATTAATCAAAATCCCAGGAGACACATTGCCAGTAATCATTCAAAGACCATCCAGCCAAGACAGAGCGACTGGGTGTGGTATTCCTCCGGAAATCCTACCTAAAACCCACCTGTTCCCATTAGAGTAGCACCGGTGCCTGGGCACAGTGCAATTTACGGGCTCCAACTGTCATCTGTTAGGCAGTGCCCGGCGACAGTACCGTGCGCAATCAGGCAACTGGCACAGGGACTACCAGTATAGCAACTGGCGCGTGCACCAGTTTCGGATTAGCACACCTCCCCACATGACATGACTGTCCCATCTGGTGGCAGCCGACGTCCTCGTCATTCCTCATCCTACAAGCATCTCGTCATCACCAACTCGCCGACGCTCAACAGCCCACCCAAGAGCACCCTCTACATCGCGCAGACCAGAGATATTTCACCCCGATAGAGGGATCGACCGACACCATGGCCTCCAAAGCAAAGTACAGCCAGGCTCCTCAGGAAGACCCGGAGGACTACACCTCCGCCCCTCCAGCCTACGGAGCCGCGGGCTCGTCGTCTCGCGATGAGACACAGGCCATGTTCGGCGAGCCCCGGTCCAGCGACGACAACATCCCCGACGACTTCAAGGTAAGACAGCCCTCGGGACACTCTTGCCCGCGAGCTACGGAAGAAACTAACCCGCATGTCCCGATAGTTCGGAGGCTCGGTAGCAGAGGCGACCGTCGACATCCGCAACCAGTTCGTGCGCAAGGTCTACACCATCCTCACCTTCCAGATCATCGTTACCGCCGGCGTCAGCGCCATCTCCTTCCTCAGCGAGGGTTACAAGAAATGGATCCAGTCCCACCAAGCTGTTGTCTGGATTTCGGTACGTCGCATATACACCCAACATACGCTTTCAAAAGCTTCAGGTAGGGAAACATCATGACTGACTTTGTAATCCAGCTCTTCGGTTCGATGGTCTTCATGGGTCTCACATACTGGAAGCGCAAGTCCTACCCCACCAACCTGATCTTCCTATCCGGCTTCACCCTCCTCGAAGCCTACACCATCTCCGTAATCGTCTCGTTCTACAACAGCACCGTCGTCCTCAACGCCACCGTCATCACCGCCGGGATATTCGTCTTCCTCACCCTGTTCGCCTGCCAGACCAAGTATGATTTCACATCGTGGATACCGTACCTGTTTGGTGCCGTCTGGGGTCTCGTCATGTTCGGCTTCGTCGCCATGTTCCTCCCCTACGACTCGACCACCCAGCTCATCTACGGCGGCCTTGCTGCTCTCATCTTCAGCGCTTATATCCTCGTCGATACTCAGCTCATCATGCGCCATCACCATGTCGAGGAGGAGATCGCCGCCGCCATCAGCCTCTACCTCGACGTCATCAACCTGTTCCTTGCTATCCTCCGAATCTTGAACAGCCAGTCCAACAACTAAGTCGGCCTCCGACTGGCCTGACGAGCTCTAAAACGCCTGTCAATGGAAGAGTAGGATCTCCAGGCTCTTGGGTGGGGTGGAATCGCGTAATCATGGTCGAAAAGCTGTTTAATTTCAACCTTCACTGAATTCGTTAACCAATACTTGGTTTTCCTTTCATAACTTCCTTATCCGTTACTTCTTGTCAGTTTTACATTACACAATACGCATGTTTATTTTTCTTTTGGGATTGAGTATGAATAGTGAAATTGGTATAATTGAAATGTGCATTAGAAGTCCACTAGTGTAATAGGAAAAATAAGAGAGCTGGTTGAAAGATGAATACCAAGACAACTCAACAAGATACCCCCGCTGGAGATGGTGGGCAGTCAGGCCAGCCTCTCTCCGCCATCAGTAATTTCGACCTCAACAGGTCGAGCCAAAGCCGCCTTCCGACTCGTTTGGATATCTTGTTCGAAGCTGATAGATAACGACTCTCTCATGGTCCCCACGGTTCGATAACTATTCCAATTGCCCCCACAAAACGTCTCCTATTACCCCATAAATGGCACCTCTCTAGGCCTCTCTAATATCGTCTGAATCGTAGGCAGCTTTGGTGTAATGAATCGCGTACAAAAAGCAAAAAGTTCAAATCGATTGTGGGGATTCTTCATTTTTCAGCCTGCCCATTTGCGGGGGACAAACAACCAACGCCAGCAATAAGGAATAGACCAAAGGTAGGACTTTTTGGTCGCCATAGGAAGGCCCCGGGTGGTTTACTCAAACAATCTATTCGTGGTCACCATTGGACTCCGGGGGGATCTGGGATGCTTCGCGCTGCATGCGGGCCTCGATCTCGCGGAGCTGAGACTCGCGAGCAAGCAGTTCCTGTCGCTTCTCATTAATCTCGCGCTGAACCTTAAGCTCGATCTCACGCAGCTTCTCCTCTTCTCTGCGGAGCTGCTCCTCCTTGAGACGGACGGACTGGGATGCAAGATCCTCAGGGTTCATGGAGCTGTCAATGCTATGTCTCTGTCAGCTTTTTGGGTCGTTTGTTCGTTCTGGTCAGAGAAACTTACCCGGAACCACCATCAACACTCTTAGAGAGCTTCTCAGTACGGTAGTTTTCGTACAGGAAGTCGTGGGTGATTTCCTTCAAGTCAGCGAGATGACTGTGGAGCAGGGCAGAGCGAATGGCAAGGAAGTCAGAGTGGCGAGGGTTGTCAACCTCAACAACTCCCCATGGGTATTGGCGAGCTCGGACCTTGCGACCGCCAATCTCAACCACCTCCTCGGAGCCCACAATGGCGAAGGGCATGAGGCCGCGGAGCTCAGCATTCTCCTCGACAGTATCCTCGTCGTCCTCCTCAATATCGTAAGGGAAGTTGTACACAGGGATGCGATAGTGCTCGATATCCTCCATGACCAGCTTCTTGGACTCGGCAAGCTCGGCGGGGGTAAGGGAGTCGGCACGACCAATTACAGGGATAACATTGACTCGGGGAGCCAAGCGCTTCATGAGTTCAATGTCGAGTTCGCGCAAGCTAGAAAAAAACCCACGATCAGTACAGCTCAACGATACAAAGCGAAGAGGTCTGGGAAAACATACCCATGGCCGGTGGGTGTGATAAAGTAAAGCATGGCGTGGACGCGGTTGTCCCTGAAACGGGGGTTACGCTTGATACGGGACTCCTCGGCCAGAATGTCATCATATTGTCTCTCAAGATAGCCGACGATCTCCGAGAAGCTATATTGTCGTGTAAGCAAGTGACGGTCAAGCGCAAAATGCGTTAAGATTTACCTAGCCTCGTTGTCGATCGCATCACCAAATCCAGGGGTATCGACGATTGTCAGGGAAATACGGGTTCCCTCCTCGTCAAGCTCAAGCTCTGTTATAAAGTTAGTTGTGGTCGTGTCACAAAACCCCCTGAAGGAATCTGGATTGACATACCAACTGTGATGGGCTTAATCTTAACACCCTCCTCGGCAGAGGCGTCGTTGACATCGTCGGCATCCTTGTGAGTGAGAACACTCTTGCCGCACAGGGTGTTGACAAAGGTGGTTCGTCCTGTAGCTAGTGGTGAGCTTCGTTCGCGCATCAGGGAGATTTCTCGTTGCTCGTGAATAACATACCAGTTCCTGAGGCGCCACAAACCATCAGACAAAACTGGATGCCCTTCTTGACATTCTTCTTCCGGCGAATCATCTTCTAGATAGGAATGAAACCACCGTTCGTTAGCCGGAGCTCAAGCAGCAATCATAGTAGAAAGTTTCTTCGGGGTGGGTATTTGTTCGGGAGAGGTTGTTGGGCGATTCTCGAAAGTCGAGCTATCAAGGGTGGATAAGGAGTTCGAGGGCAGACATACAGCGGCAGACGACATGTTGGCTAATTAATTTCTGGCCCGGTACAACAACGACAGAACAACGGAGAGAATTGGCGTAGGATTACGAGCGTCGCGATGCAGCTCTCAAACTTCGATGTGGAGGAGGTAGACGGGGGACGGAAACGCGAGATGGTGCGAGGCAGACAAGGAGAAAATGACCAAAGAGAACTGGCAAAGGAGGTGGTGGCTCGTATGCTGATTGACCAGGTGGTGCTTCAGGGTGGTGCCTTCTTTGGGGTCGGGTGCAATTTCAAGCCCAGCCAATGGCTCAGGGGGTCCCACCTCCTGGCAGCTCTTTCTCAGGGAGGGAGACGGGCGGCCAGAAGTGTGCTCTGACCGCAACTGCCCCCAGGAATTTTGGCGTCAGGGGACGAGCTAGGAATGGTGGTCCAAGCGTCTGCCATTAACCAAATTTCAACACCAGGCTCGAAGAAGCAAGGCCCACGGCCGGTAGTTTCTCGGAGGCCTTGACAAGGGGCGCAACGGCTGTTATCATCCCGTCACGTGCGCAATCGTGGCTGGATCTATTTCCAGATCGCACCAGCCACAGGTGCCACAGTGTCACAGCTCTCCCCAACACGAGGCAGCCTAGCCTGGATGGTATGGAGGTTAACAAGAACTCTCTCTTTCACCTGAAGCCTACGCGACGGAACAGAATCTTGCAGTATAGCCGTAGCATACCATCTCCTGCTTCATCTCCATTCAATCTTGTGTTTACACCTCCCGTCACTCTTATTGCTGGCTGGGAACTCACTCCCACATGTGTGATACAACTTGCCCCATCCTGACTCCTGTCCGATTCAGATCACCTGTCTGTCCGTCTGCCTGTCTGTCCACCTAACTAGCTTCCCCTGGGGTGCCCCGCGACGACGACACCTTCACAAGCCTGCGTCACTCATCATACAGGCAGAAGACGTGCAAGGAATTCACTCAAACCCTCCCGGCTGCATAGCGACGGATCCGACAGTGCACCACCATGATGCTGTAATCAACGGACAACCATCTATGCCGTCTACTTTACAACCACCCCAGCCGACTTACGTCCTCTCGATATCGCCGCCTCACCCACACCCACACGTATCCACCGCTGAGGCCTGCTCTTGGGGATCAACTCTACCGACAGCATGAACGTCCGGGGGCCCATCGACACATCTATCCCAACTGCCGTATTATCGGCTTCTTTTAACAATGACTCCAGTTGCTTCAGTGTCGGCCTTGAGTCTGGACTATGCAGTACGTGACGTAGCCCGCCCCCTGCTGTGTGTCCACTCTCAGATCTGACGAATACCCCAGTCTTCCATACCGAAAATTGCCGGCTCAAAGCTTCAAGAGGTATGTCTATCTACCACTACTAAATGCTCACAAGAATGATTACTGAGGCTGTTACAAGACTTCAACGCTGGCGTCGGTCTCGTCCAGATGATGGGCGTGACCAACTATCTGGCGTTAGTTGGAGGCGGGAAGTCCCCCAAATTTGCCATGAACAAGGCTATCATTTGGGACGACATGAAAGGCAAAGTTGCAATCGAAATCACAGCCCTCTCGCCCATTCGAGGCGTCCAGCTCAACCGAGAACGCATCGTGGTTGTGTTGCAAAACAGTGTCCGTGTATATTCGTTTGCTAAGCCACCGGATCTCCTCCATGTCTACGAGACGGCAGATAATTTATTTGGCTTATGCTGCATTTCTGATAAACAGCTCGTGTTTCCCGGGCGTACCTCTGGCCACATACAAATTGTAGAGCTCGCGACTGGCAATGTCAGCATCATTCCCGCGCACTCGTCATCTCTCCGAGCTATCCAGCTGAGTCCCGACGGCCATCTGTTAGCCTCAGCCAGCGAGACCGGAACACTTATCCGCATTTTCGCAACAAGCAATTGCGCCAAGATCGCAGAACTTCGCCGCGGCATCGATCCCGCGAGCATCTTCTCTCTCGGATTCTCTCCGTCGGGAAACCTGCTCGCCTGCACATCAGACAAGTCAACACTCCATGTCTTTGACGTCCCACATCCACGCAAATCGCAGCCGCGTCAACCACCAAATGCTGTTGGCCCTCCCAACCCGGATGCAGATGCAGGGAAGTGGGGTTTTCTCAGCAAGATCCCCCTTATGCCTCGTGTCTTCTCCGACGTGTATTCGTTCGCCTCGGCCCCGTTCGAGGCTGGAGACGACGGCACTATTGGCGGGATCCCATTCACAGGAACCACCGTTCTTGGTACAACAAAACCGCCAAAGGGAATGATTGGTTGGATTTCGGAGGACACTATCGTGGTTATCGGAGCTGGACAAGATGCCAGATGGGAGAGGTTTGTGATAGGAAAGGGCGATGAAGGAAAGCGATTTTGCCGCAGAGAGAGCTGGAAACGTTATCTTGGGAATAGCTGATGTGGTGGAAAGAAGCCCCATGTGCAGCGCAATATACAAAGAGGGAATCCGTTGGCGTTCGGAGTCAGGTCTGGGTTATTGATACATTTGTGGTGGTTTCAATTTTGATTAGATGACAGAATCGCTTAGTCGTCATACCGCCGTGGAGATCGGCTCCTACTTCTTTCTCTTGGCTTTCTTTGCCGGTCCTCGTCCCTGTCATCTCTTCGGCTCCTGTGTCGCGGCTCGTCTGACCGTTCACGAGAATAATGCCGTCTTCGTCGTTCACGATCCTCATCCTCGGCTTCATGTCTTCGCCTTCGCTTCCCACTCCTCGAATCGTCCCGGGGTTTATGTCGGGTAGAATCTCTATCACGATGATGCCGAGCCCCATCTTCTTGTGAACCATCTCGTCGTGATCTCCTTGATTCTCCGTGCCGCCTCTCATCCCGCCTTCCATCTGATTTTTCATCCCGCTTAGACCTGTGTGAGTGGTGGTGCCGGTGTCGATGCTTGTGCTCTTTCTTATTGTCGGCCTTGGTGCGCGCCTCTTCAATTTCTTTCTTTTTCTCCTCGATCAGGAAGCCCTTCATCGGGTCATCGTCATCGTGATCCCGAATCAAAAGCGCAAGCTCCCTCTCTTGTGGTAACACTGGCCGTTTCTCTTTCTCGTCCTCGCTGCTCTCATCCTCGGACACCTGCTTTCCCTCTTTGCGCATGATATCCTCCCATCCAACTTTGAACTCTTCAGGGTCTTCATCATCGCGCGCCTTATACCTCGCATGGTCAACGCGGAGCAAGCGCCCAGCAACCTCTGCGCCTCCCAGGTTATCAACAGCCAAGTCTGTGCTGCGCTGGTCCTCATACTTGAGCCACCCGAAACCCTTTGACTTTCCCGTTTCCTTGTCGCGCACGAGCTTGAGGAATACCGGCTCGCCAAACTGTGAAAAAATCGTAATCACGTCTCCTTCGGAAAGTTCGTATGGCAGACCGCCAAAGTAGACATAGGCCGTGTCACGATAATCGACGTGCCAAGAGGCGTCAGGCGAACTGCGTCGCGTTAGTGAGTGCCTGGATTTGATAGGGGGCCATAGTAGTAATAGTAAACTTACATTCCATTCTCGATCTCCTTCTTATTTAGCGCCTGGATGGCGCGAATCTGGTTCATTTTTGGTCACGATGTTGGCTCTCTTCGCTAAGCAGGGGAATGTTGAAGACGGGATGCCTATTTCGTCAGTGGTATTTTTCTAAGTCGGCTTATCTTATCTTATCGGTGCTATAAGAGCTGAGCTTAACAGCTGCTGCAATATTCTCCGAGCATGCATAGTTACCCAGAACCTTACTTGTAATTTTCTTCATTGGAATAAAGGTTACTACTACTTGGGTCACTCGATAAATAGGACTGGTATTTTGAATGAATTCGTAGATCCCCCGCTACACTAAGTAAAGCGAAGCTGTCGTAAAGACGACCGTTGGATAGATCTCGAGGAGGAATTCTAATTATGAGACCAACTTCCAGAGTGGCGCCAAGTCTTGACTGAAGTACAAAATATGCGAGCGTATCTCTTCAAACTACCAATATTTCAACTAGGCAGTAGTACCGATCAAATTCTCATAGGAAAGATTAATGAATTATACACAATGAAATCCGAAGTAAGGCGTGAGAGCAATCCTACATACGGCATACAGTGCCGGGTAGGTGAAAGGGATTGCATCTTGATTAGCAGCTTGCCGCCAGCGCATCGATTGGATTTCATGCGGCGGGTCATTTCCCGGCCCGACGCGACACAAGCATTGTCGTCACGCTGGGATAGATCATCAACACAGGCTTCCTGGTCCACCAGCCGAATTAATTATCCTGCCCCTCTTCCTTTTGGCGATTTCGATCCTGCGGGCCCTTGATAACCTGCCCAACGCCATGAATCCGCCCATTCCCTAGACTACGACGATCAACGACGGTGACGAGCTTCCCCCTGGATTGTCTCTCCAGCGTTCTTGCGCTGTTGCAGCAATCTATGCTTTGATTTCGACGAAGGGAGGTGTTACTTTTTTCCCAGTATTTTTTCATGAAGATACGCAGTGGGCCACAAGGTCAGAGGAGCGCCCATGACTGCGAACGCAAACCGAATGTCGACCCATACGGCTGGGTCAGGGGAGACGGAGGGACGAAATGGCGAACAGAAAAAGAACCTTTGGACGTCGATGCTGGAGTCTGTCGCAAGCGGTAAAAGACTTCCAGAGAAGAATCTACTGGTCCTAGGTACGACATATCCATTGGATCAAGGTAGCAAACACGTTCGAGTACTGACTGGTTCATGATAGGAGGAACACCAGAATCACAGCGAGACTTCCTTGAGTCCCTATCGAGCCCCGAGTCGAGACGTATTCTGGACCGGAGTAAGATCCCTCCAGTCGCCAACAACTTTGCGCTCGGATACACGTACTACGATGTCCTTGACGCCGACCAGGACGGTGAGTAGCGGTTCGACCCGGCTACGGCAGATCTATGCTGACTGGATAACTTTAGACACCCTGGCGCGCGTGTCCTTATACCTTCTATCTCAACCTTCTAGCGAATTTTCAACTCTTGTTGCTCCTCTATTAACCCCCGAATCTATACCTAATACCGCGCTGGTGATTCTTCTCGATTGGGCCGAGCCTCACATGTGGCTGCGCCAGATCCGTCGCTGGATCAGCTTGTTCAGGATTGTCCTCCAGAAACTAGGAGACAAGGAGCATGCCGAAATGGAAGAGCAAGTCGAGGCCTGGAAGCAGAGAGGCAGAAGCGGAGGCTCTACAAATCTAGACGGGACTCCCTCAGCAGCAGGCGCAGCAGGAGAAGCCGACACCGCTCTTCCACAGGGGCCTGGAGAGTGGACGGACCCATTGGGCCTGCCGCTCTGTGTCGTCTGCCAGAATGTAAGTTTCGTGGTCCTGGTGGCGTCCTGGTTATTTTTATACTGACGCTGTGAAGTCTCAAAGGATGGAACTGCTGGAGAAGAACCAGGGCTGGAAGGAGCCGGACTTTGACACTGTCCTCCAATACCTGCGAACAGTGCTTCTCAGACGTGAGACAGATCCGATCTTCTGTCCCGTTGCAAAGTAGCTAACCATGTCTTCTAGATGGTGCTTCTCTAATCTACACATCTCAGAACTCAGTCTCCCAGCTGCCCACTCTTGTGCATTCTACGCTGGGAATCACCTCGCTTTTAAAACGCCAACCTCTCAAACACAATGTTATTGACCGTGATAAGATCGTGGTCCCTCCAAATTGGGACTCCTGGGGAAAGATTCGGGTGTTGGTAGCTGCATTTGACGTTGAGGCAGTGTCTCAAGCCTGGTTCGAGGACATTGAGGGACGCTTTGGCGAGGAGCCCCTGACCTTGGAGATACTCGAGGAGAACCGGAAAGCTCAGGAAGAAACCGCAGAACCTTTACAGACTGACAGTGCCATCGCCCGCTACGAGGATTGGTGCCAGGAGTTTGATAGCGGCGGTCTGTCTGTCGTAGAACACGCCATGAACGGCGGCAACAACGTCAACATCCACAGCGACGAGCCACAGGTATACCTCGAGTCTCAGCTGAAGATCCTCGAAGCCTTCAAGGCCAAGACACAACCCGAGAAGATGTCCAACTTCGATATTCTCCTGGCCACGGGCCGTGTTCCGGAGAGAGAGGCCGTCAGCGACCACATCGGCCCCGTGCAATTCAACGTGGGAGGCATCCAGGTAGACGCAGACGATATGCTGAGACGCCTCAAGGTATGCACTGAGTCCTCCTCCAACCCCAGCTAATGAAAAATACCAGGCTAAACCACCTTCAGGACCGAATCGACACCGATGCACCCGAGGCAGACCAGGACGAGGAGTCTGTCGAGTCGGAAGCTGCCCAGCCCAACGTCACAGAGAAGTACGACAACGAGCAGCTCCAGAGCTTCTTCAACGGCTTGATCAACCGCGAAAAGACGGCCAGCACACGAAATTAACTTTGCACCCGCACCTATTTTTTCCTACCAAAAAACACCTTCCTATCTTCTTTCACTTCCAAGCGCCGGCATATCACGGCTTCTGCCCCTGACCTCTTATGGCTCCTCAGCATTAGTAACCATCCTTGGACCTGAGAATATAGCCCAGGACAAGGGAGCTGAGCGGGTGATTTACCCTCTGAGAAACAATAAAAAATTGTAACTATGCATTGTTGAGAGATGAACGGTGGAGGCTTGGGGAGGGATGAGGCAGGGGTCGCTGTAGAATAGATACCCCTTGACGAGATACTTCTTTTTTAAAAAAAGGTTGATACATTTTACACGTACATAGATAGAACCCGAGCTGAAAAAAATTGAATAAGGCTGGATTCATATACAGGGAGCTGACCGTGGGCATGATGATCGTAATGCACATAGCTCGAGTGGATGGCACATGTTTGATAGTGTATGTATTTATATTCATTTCATGGCATGAAAGAGGACAGGTGCGTAAGTCATCATGGATGGTTAAAAAGATAAGAATGGACAAAAAAGTGCCACCTTGGGTGAAAACAGATGGAAATCAATACTCTCCCCCTGAAACTCCCCATCTAAGAATAATGCAAGTGGTAGGAAAAGAACACATTTGAATCAAACTCATGCCGCCTTGGTCCTCGTATCCTTATACTTCACTTCGCGGCCACTCTTCTCGACGCCCAGCCTGGCGGTCACGACACCCAGCAGCAGGCCGGGGAACAGCCAAGGGTGCTGCAGGATCTCGGCCTCGAATGCACCAACCGTCTCTCTTGCGAGGGCCGTGTATTTGTCGTCCGCGAGCAAGTCACCAAGGCGGAACAAATTGGTAACAGAAACGGAATTCGTTGAAGGAAGGGAAGTGTCCATGCCATCCTTGAGCCTAATAATTGTGTGAGGAGAGGAAGGAGTTGTGTAATAGAAGGCGCCAACAGGATCATAGAAAAGCGAGATTTGGGTTTCTGCCGCCATGGTTAGATGATTCTTTGACTGCATTCTATTTCACGCCTGAAGGGGGGCGAGGATGACTTACTCTGAAGAACATCAGCAAACTCGAGGAGGCTCTCGTCGCCGGTAGCATCGAAGAGATCGACTAGACCGAAGATGACATAGGCGTAATCGTCAGCAAAAGCTTCCGTGGTGGATCTTCTGTCCTTCCATATCCTGTAGAGCACCTTTCCATCCCATAGCTGTTCCTTAATAAAAGCAGCAGTCTTCTTGGCCACACCAAGGTACCTTTCAGCCAGGTCCGGCCGTACAGACTTCAGCGCGCCACCGGTTCTTGCCAGTGACGAGATAGCTAGGCCATTGAATCCTGTGACGACCTTGTCATCGATCTCGGGTCTTATACGCTCCTTATCGCGCTTCTCCTTGAGAGCAGATGTGGCAGTCTTGATAAATTCGGCGACCGTCTCAACAGGGAGATTGAACTGTTTACCTAAATCTTCCGGTGATCTGCGAATTCGGAGGATATTTCTGTTGATAAAGTTGTCATTGGGGTCGTGATGTTCGTCCACATTTCCATCCTCAAGAACGTTGTAGTATGCTGCCGCCACCTCGCAGACCTGCTTATCCGCATTGATAGCCGAGTCGAACTCTCGACGAGTCCACAGGTAGTAGGCACCCTCCTGCATATCCTTATCGCCTCGCCTCTGATAGGAGTCTGCAGCCTCGCTGGAGGCGATACCCCCGTTGGGGAGGGCAATAGGGGGCGAAGTCAAGTAGTCAGCCAGCTCAAGCACAGTGTTGAAGAACTCGCCGTCTTCTTTTCCTGAGACATACAGCCATGCTTCCAGATACAGGGTTAGCAGCAAGGCATTATCGACGACAAGCTTCTCGAAGTTGGGGATGCTCCAGTCTGGAGTGACGGAACATCTCGCGAAACCTGTTCGACCGACGTGATCACGAAGAGCGCTGCTGGCAATTTGTCGCAAGGTATCGAGAGCCATGTTTCGGGCCTGCTGAGTATCAGGGTAGCCAACTACATCCTGAACGGGAGATGCCAGACCCGGTAGTCGCAGTAAGAAAGCCAGCTTGGGAGGGGTGTGGAACTTGGGTGCGAGGCCAAAGCCCGCATACACGGGGTCAAACGTGCCAGCAATGTGGGTAAAGGCCTCCTCGACCTGATCGATATCAAGCTCACTGGCCACGATCCCCTCCTTCCGACCAATATGGAAGACAGCAGCGGATGCATTGCTTGTAGTCTGCGGCGCGATGGCATGAGAGCCACCCAGGCTCCGGGTGCCAAGGGTTCCCTCTGCAGCAAAGTCTCGTAGTTGAGCCACGACCTCGGTGGCCTCCTTCTGGCAGCGCGCTTCTTGGTCCCGCCAGATTTGCTGAACTTTCTTGATAACGCTTACAAAGTCGAGAACCTCATCGTCTCTGTCCCTGACAGTATCACCGCGGGTTGTGGCAGAACCTGAGCCGGGCCAATATGTGCCTCCAAAAACAGGTTCCAAGTTTGCAGTAAGAAATAAGTTCAAGGGCCAGCCTCCCGAGCTGCTGACGGCCTGGACATAGTTCATGTAGATGGAATCGAGGTCGGGACGCTCGTCGCGGTCGATAACAATGGGGATAAAGTACTCATTGAGAAGAGCCGCGCAGTCGGGGTTCGAGAAGGACTCCTGTGCCATCAGGCGGCAGTCTGGGGAGAAGCGTTTGTTAGCAGGAAGGTGGCGAGGATACGGCATTGGTCCGAACTCACGGTGGCAGGCTAGGTAGCCGATGTGCATGAAGATGAGCTTGTGCTCTCTTCTGGCTCGCTCAATACTGGCATTGTCGAGAGGTTGCCAGGCCACAGGGCTGTCGACAAAGCCCTTGACGAAGGGGCTTGTACCCTCGGAGGTGCGGTTCTGGAGGGGGGCGAGGTGCTCGGCACTTGGGGCAGCACCCTCCCCGGAGATGGGACCCAAGGCCTTGGCCGAAGCCGTGAGCTCGGAAGCGCCCAGCATGGTGTTGCGTGGGGACTACGGCAAGCTCTGAAGGTGGTTGCGACAGCAGCACGCGCAGAGAGACGGCAGAAGGCGAGGTAGGGGAAAGGCGGGAATCCAGTTAGGCAGTGCCTGGGTGTCCAGTATGGAAGCTTCGGTATTGGCTGGAAGTTTCTTTGGGCCTAGCAGGCAGATGATATCAATCAAGAATGGGGAGACCTGGTTTGGCCCGTCGCGCACGGGTGGATCAGCGGCACGACACGGCACAACTGCACCTGGGCTGGGGTCTGATGGGATGGAGGAGGGTCTTGCAGATGTTGCAGATGGGAGCGTTCCGGGCCGTCTGCTGGGAAATGGGCGAGGGTTTGATCGTTTCTCTTTTTTCTCTTCCCCCATTCCACGAGCCCTCCCGAAGTCTGAGCAGTAGAACGATTCGTGTCCTGCAGTCGCTGCTGGGCGTTGGCGGGGTCGGGGGAAGATACCAGCCCCGCCTACTGATGGAAGTCACTCGCGAGCCATGATGAGATAGCCCATCCCATAGCGCTCACCCTTGGTTTCTGGCGGCGGGGCTGCCTGCAAACTTTACAGAACCAGAAGGAGGGGCACCGCTAAGGCTCTTGGCCCATGGGCAGCAGCAGGGGACCATACCGATTGCCGCCTGCCCAAAACTGACTCCTCCCTCCACTGTAATATAGCTTGTCTGGTGCTTGACGTAATTCAGCCTCCAGTACGGAGCAGGAGCAGCTCAGTCATTCAATCGAGCAATCAGTTGGTCTATTATTGTCAGCCAGCAGCGTGGAATTCGCTCCCGTTGCAGGGCATGCCTTATGTTCTGCAGCCATCTATCTATCCACCCCACCAGTGACCATCATTTCGATTGAGACCATTTCCGTCGTTGACAGACATGCTTTCGGTATAGACGCCAGATCATTGCTTTGTAACTGAAGACCTTATGCGAGTCCCTCCCATGTCTCCGTATCACCGTGCCGAGCTTCAATAAGGACCAATCAATTCATATCTATTGGACGTATGAGAAAGAAACGTCGTTAAATCAATGAATACGTTGAGAGTTTCGAAGATGCACCCAGTGCAGTGGGTCAAGCGTCGCTGGTTGGTTGGTCATTGGCTCACTGAATTTTTGAGGGGCGTAGAGTAAAATCTTTATTAGACTCTTTCCCTCTTATCGATCCCTCTTCAAGAGCTGTTTCACCCCAAACAAAAAGTCATACCAATTGCACTTACTGAGCCGAGCGCGATTCTCCGCAAAGATGAAGAACATTCAGCGCCTTGAGCTGCCCGCCGCGGCAGACATGCATGTCCACTTGCGACAGGGCGAGCTTATGGACTTGGTGGTGCCGACTGTGCGCCAGGGAGGAGTCGATACAGCCTTCGTGTACGAAGCCCATCAACCCAATTGCCCGGTGCAATATCAAGTTTGCTAACCAAATATTTCTTGATAGAATGCCTAACCTTGTATGTAAACTTGAGGCCCAACGACGATAGATTGGCTCTTCGCTCGTCCATGTAATGGATGGCGTGGGGTTTTCCGGGGGTGGACCCGATCCCCAACCACCAGTATCATACTAATACACTGAAACAACTTGCAGGTGCCTCCTTTGACCGCCGTTGACAAGGTATGTATGGATATCGAGGGTAATCCTCTTTATGAGCCGTGAGCATACCCTTTGATGGATCAATGTGAATCTGACGGTCAGTAGGTTTTGGAATATCAGTCCAAGCTACAAGCAATTACCAAGGATGTCCACTTCCTCATGTCCCTCTTCGTGCGTTGCAACCTATTCTTCGTAGATTTCATGGGCCTTTTCCATTGTCTTACCCTCTCCTTATAGCTTCACCCTTCTGTTACCCCAGAGGTCATCGCTCAGGCAGCGGCGGCAGGAGTTAGTGGTGTGAAACTCTATCCCCAAGGTGAGTTGGCATCCATTACTGCCATGAATATCTGTAGCTTGTGCCAACTAATACTGAATAAGGTGTCACCACAAATTCCGATAACGGAGTGGCCAACATTGAAGCTTTCTACCCAACCTTTGCTGCTATGGAGGAGCATGACATAGTCTTGAACCTCCATGGCGAGGTGCTGGAGTCGCTCGCACCTCCAGACACAACTCTGGAAGAGGCATTCCTTCCCACGTTGAAGAAGCTCCATGAAAGCTTCCCAAAGCTCCGCATTGTCGTGCGTGTGCCCCCCCCCCCTAGTTCGTGTCTGAGGAGGATGCACTAACACTTGGTACTTTTTAGCTTGAGCATTGTACTACTGCAGCAGCAGTCGAAGCTGTTCGCGCCTGTGGACCAACTGTTGGCGGTATGGTTTGACTCATTCTGTCGTTCGTATTCGTTTTTTGTAACCAAGTTGCTGATGTCATTGGGGCACGTAGCAACCATCACGGCCCATCACCTCTATCTCACTTCCGCCGAAGCCTGCTGCGACCCATTTGCGTTCTGCAAACCTATTCCCAAGAAGCCCACAGATAGGGATGCCCTCCTGAGGGCCATTGCAAGCGGCGAAAACAAGTTCTTCTTGTGAGTACCCTTGTGTGAATGCATAGACATGTCGCAATTCTGACCTTTATCTTTCGTAGTGGAAGCGACAGCGCGCCCCATCTACTCCAGACCAAGAAATCTGCTGCTCAAGGCAAGGCTCCTGCAGGCGTCTTCACACAGCCGTACGTTGTGCAATTGGTCCTGCTTGCGCTCGAGGAGGCCATCGAGCGCGGGGTGATCAAGGAGGGGGAGATCACCCAAGAGAAGCTGGAGGGATTCCTGAGCCGCAACGGACGCAAGTTCTACAAGATTCCCGAGACTTCAGGCAGAAGAATTGTGCTAGAGAGAAAGGGGGAGAAGATCCCTCCCAGCGTGGCGAGCGCGGACGGCGCCACTGAGGTTGGTATTTCTCGGGAAGGCGCGGAGGTGTTTAGCCTGACATGGGTTTGAGAAATTGGCAAAATCAAGCAGATAAAATATGGATGAAAAGATGAAGCTAGGAGATCAAAGAGAGCAAATATTGATTCAACTTGAGATGAAAGAGAACTACGGGGTTGACTTGGTCTGGGAGGAGTAATGAAAGCCATGAGAACTGACGACCCAATTGACCTTGACTGCCCATGGGGTCACAAGAATCGAACTCCGAGCGATCTCAGGAACACACCGCGAGCTGATGTCAAGATATCCAGCGTGCAGGAGGCTAGGCACGGAGGGTGTTGGTTTGGTGTTTATGAATGGTTCGTCCCTGACTGCTTTGACACGTGGGATCCATCAGCCATCCAGGTCCCTGCCGCGCTAATGCGGGACCTTATCGATAGGATGATCAGCCCCAGACCCACGCCGCATGACTGACTGCAGCCTGTCGGTTGTGGGTAGCTCTCTCTGTAAACGTTCCGTCCGTCATCTTCCCACTTCCATTCTTTTGCACTTTCCATCTCACCTGTGCTGGGCTTTGGAATTCTGACGCCCAACGCTTCCGGTCGCTTTGAAATATCGATGGCGGATCCAACATATACAATATGGGTGCGGGTGCCTATTCCGAGAGGTGACTTCGTTGATCCCCCACAGGTACACCTGACCGTGATGGTTCATCTGCACGTGTGAGCTGGACTGACTTCCAGAGTAGGTTAATTGGGATTCTGGAAAGGATGAGGCACTGTGGAAGATACTATCTGGCGCTGCGCAGACGGAAATTGATTGTAGGTCCTCTCACAATTAAGCTCCCCATTGAACCAAGCCTAATAACCGATCTTACTCGATTTAGGGAATCAAGTGTAGGCCCATTCGTTCATTGCCCAAACCCGTTCGATCGACTGACATGACCCAGAGCGGAGACATTCGATGTCCCCGTGGACTTTCTTTTGCGACAGGTTGCTTATATTACCGAACGACATGCATCCCAAGTACGTGCTCAAGTCCGTAAGGCGACCGCGGCAGCTAAAGTCGGATCGAGTGCGCCATCACCGGTTCCTGGCTCCGAATCAGCTGGCTTTCGATCGTTACGGCGAAACTCCCTGACGGCCCGAGCTGGCGGCAGCGGAGCTGGTACACCCCTCAACGCATCGATACGGCCGATCATATCTCGAAACCCATCAACTAGCACCGCCGTCCTTAGAGATGCAGGTGGCTCATCATCACCTAGGCTAGGGAAGCCTAATCCTTTGGGTAGGCCTGCCGAACAAAGTGGGAGGAGGAGGCTCTCTTCGTTGCCCATCACATCAACACCCGACCCCGATCCCGAAAGCCCGCCATCCCCTGGCCCAGCTGAATCCGATTCCACATTGACATCGGACGACGAATCTAGTCCAGCGCAGTCCCGGATCATCCGTCGACCGCCTCGCTTCCAGCAGCAGGATAATTCTACCGACTATGCTGATGACGAGGAAGAGGAATCAGAACCTGCATTCCAGCCATGGCCAAGTTCGAACAAAAATCAGACCTCGGCTCAAGACCTGACATCTACACTTCGGGGCGATAATAGAGAAAAATTCAAACGAACGCCTAAGAGTTTGGGGAAGAAGCCGGTTCATCATTCACCTTCACAGACATCCGATTCAGATGCTGGCTCGGTAGCAACGGGGGGTGGGATGGAAAAATCACTCGAACACGGGAAGCCAAGTCCTCTTTCGCCTCGGAGAACCGCTGAATTGGCGGGAAGAAGCCCTGGTAGTAAAGGGTACTCCAGAGATGGCAGCGATGGCACTCCTAGCATGGGCAGCAGCTTTAGTGATCTTGACGGTATGCTTCTCCTCTCTTTTACCACTGGTCCACATGTTTTGTTTTGTTCCTTGCATTTTATTGACCAATTTGTTAGATGCATCTGTCACGCAGTCTGCGCTTGAGGAGGCATTGGCTAGTCATATGAATCGCGGAGCTGGGAGCCGCTTCAGCATCAGTCAGGCATTCCGAAGCCGGTATACTCCCAGTGGAAATCAATAAAACACCCCACTAACCCTGTATGATTATGAATTATGGCTACTTATGTTGTTGTTTACGCTTTGGTTTAATGGCTGGCGTGGGCGAACGGGAAGCGGCGTTGGTTTAATGGATTTATGCTGCACGTCGCCGATGGGCGTTTGACGATGCCGCCTTCTGTAACTTGAACAAAGACGGGCTTGTTGTGTATTTTCTACATGCGTTGTAACCGGAACGACTAGTGTTTGTTCGGTAGGCCGGACTTCTTATCAAGGATCAATTGTTGTCTCCTCTCTACCAAAGCGTTGAGGGACCATGCACTGTCCCTTCCAGTGTTCCACCATATCCCGTGTTTTTATTGTGTGTTGCACTATTCATTGTGTTGAGTTGTCGGGCTCTGGCAGCTTCCATTGCTGTTGAACTTTATTCTCTTTCTCTTACGTACCTATTGTGTGTTGCACAAACACAGCAGCAGCTCTCCTTCCACCCTCGCCGCCCTCTTTTCTGCTTTCATCTCAGCCATAAAGGACCAACTCTTTCCAACAACACCCAACTGTTTCTTAGCTCAACTTCTGTTCTTGTAAGTAATCATCTGGTCGCTCACAACCCGAAAGCCTCGATCATCATGTTTCGCCGTCTCCCTTCCGGCTTGCCAAAGGACGCCGACTTCCCTGCGGATTTAGAGAAACTCGGGTTTGTCTCCTCTGCACTCCCTTTCGCGCTCCATATTCACTGACTGGATGATTAAAAACAGGTATTTTGTCAATGATGGCGACGAGATTCGATCTATCGAGGATCCGGACTACTATTTCAAGTACTTCCTGAGCAAGAATGAGCGAGTCAACCAGCGCCAGCGATTTTCTTTCAACCGTGCGAATAATCTCTCTTGACCCCCATTTATCAAAAGCAAAGCTAATGTTCTACTGCCGTCTATAGAAGCCCTTGAGAACATAATCCATCAGCGACTCACCGAGAGGGGCCTTGAGAAGATCCGACTCCCCCTCGGAACTCCGCCCTCGAAGCCTCATGTGCCAATATTCGCCGACGCCGACCTCAAGTCGAAGAAGCGCGTCATCGTCATCTTCGGACAGATGTCGCAGGACCTGGGCGTCCTCGCCGGCCGCATCGCCAACGGCGCCGGGGGGATCAACACAGGCAGCATGGTCTCCGTGGTGGACGCCGCGCGGGTTGAGACCTCGCCCGGCGAGGAGGCGCCCGGACTCGTCCTGGCGAACATGGGACAGCGGCGCTGGTGGCCAGAGGGGCAGCGGGCCGTCACCTCGACCGGCTGGCTGGCCACTCCGCTCCCAAGCTTGGTGCACGCGGGCAGGAGGCATGTGCCGGAGGTGAATGATATCCCGGGCAACGAGACCGGGCAGGACCACGTCCGCTGCGTTTTCGACGAGGTCCTGGCCCAGATGGTGGATAAGGACGCCGTGATCGACATCATCACGATCGATGCCATGACAAGTGAGGAGGTCGAGAAGTTCCTCGACAAGAACTGGGAAGTTTGGGGACAAAGGCTTAGCTCTATGGCTATTCTGGAGACTCTCTATTCTGCCTACCAGCTGACTTCTCAGCCCTTCAAGGATTTCTTGGCCAAGGTAAGAAGGTTATTCATCGATGGCTTTAGCCCATGATTCCTCTTCTTGATATGCTGACAATTTGGCAGCGTTGCCGCAGCTACATCGTCTCTGACCAGCCCTTCGATACCCCGATTGCGCCCCCAGAGGGAATCGAACACCGCGGCCTTCAGCCCTACGGCATGCCGGTTTACTCCTCCTCCGAGCCGAACCACGTCGAGTGCATTCTCATCACCGCACTCAAACCCATCATGTCCTTCCTCCACCGCTATGCCATGAACCCAGATGCTAAGAACGAACGGGTGATAATCGAGGCGGACATTGATGTGGAGCAGGCAAGTTTGGAGGAGATTGAAAAGTCGTGGGCTGCGGCAGATGATGATGCGAAGCCCATGGTTGCGATTCTCAACCAAGACTACCTCAAGGCAGAGGCGAAGAAGGCCAATGCTTGGAGACGCTTCCAGGAGACTGGCGAGGCGTCAATTTTTGAGGAGGAGACTAAAGAGGGCAGCAAGGTGGAATGAACTGGCACATGGTGAAATATGAGAAGTTTGTGTAGGCTTTTCTTTCATGAGCTATACATTTACATGCCGCGCTACGTAAAAGAGGCTACTTAGAGATTGACATAACCGGGAGGATATAACTCCCTGGACGAGGGGAAGACATCAAGTGAAAGTTTGTGATGATACATGAAAAATGCCTCCGAGACAGAAAATACACGAATGTCACGTTTTACACCCTGCCCCTGCTGGATTAGTATAACTCGTACAATTTGATGCATTACATGAACTAAGCTTGGAACCACCTGAGGAAGCCCTCGTCCCTAGGCTTGGTGGTATCCACAAGCTCGGTGGTCCGCCTGACCCTTTCCTTCAGAACGGAGCGCTCCGCCTCCCACCGGCCCTCGACGCCCTCGGGGAGCTTAGAGCTCCAGAAAGAGAGCACGCTCGGCGCGGGTCTCTTCTCCCTGTCGAGCTGCTCCTCTTTGACGAGCTTCGCCACCATGACGGTCCAGTTGTCCAGCCCGGTCTGGAGGCACTCGCGGCAGGTCTGCTTCACGGCGGCGGCCTCCTTGCTCGCGCTCGAGGGCAGGGAGCGGAGCTCCTCCTCGGCGATGTCGACGCCCTCGCGGGTCCAGGCGAGGCCGTCCTCCTTTGACGACGTCGAGTAGAGGATCTCGCCAATGTAGAGGTTCAGGGACGCCTCGTGGCAGCGCTCCTCGGGACTGCGCCAGGGAGGCCGGGTGCCGTCTGGAGGCGCGGGAGGGTATTCGGGAGGGGAAAAGAGCTCGATGATGGTGCCAAGGGTGGATGTCTGCCTCCTCGGCTTGGGGCGGAGCTGGCCACGGGGCGGCTCGTTTGGCAGGGCGCGACGGGCCTTTAGCAGCGAGATGTAGATCGGCAGCGCCTCAGAGACCTGTCCGTTTCTGGCTTTGTAATTTGCGATCGTGGTAAGAGCATCGAGGACATTCAGAGAGGGGGCGGGGCCCTTGTCCTTTAGAGCAAAGGTCTTGGGGTTGTATGGAAGCTCGTTTTGTGCCATGCCCTGTGTAGCTTCTGCGAGAGCGTAGTTGAGTAGCGGCTCCGCACCACCGGGTCGCTGCTTGAACTCGAGGAAGTTGGCATACTCGAAGGCGGCCTCAATTTTTTGCCTGGTGCTGAAGCCCTTGGTAGCGAAAATCTTGAGGTAGTACCGGTCGGCGGGCGGGAATGCAGGCTCGCAGTCCTCCTCGCGAGGGGCCCTGGGGGCTCCGACCGGGATGGGCTTGGGCCTGGGGTTGGACGGCCCAATGACATATTCAGGAGCGGAAGCAAAGTTGCGCGTGACGTCCCGGACCCAGCCGTCTAGATACTCGGCGGCTTTGGCCGTGAGCATCATTGTCTCGTAGTAACCCCGCCGCCACTCCTCGCTCATCCCGGAGATGTCATGGGCGATGAACTCCCATGGAACCTCAGCACCGGGTTCCTCCTGCTCGGAGAGTCTGGGGATCTTGTGGCCGTCTCGCTTCACGTCCTCAAAACTCAAACACACATTTCTCGCCAGCTCGAATGTCTTGACCCAGTTGACCGCCGGCCTGTGGTTTGGATCTGTCCATTTGTGTGCATCTCTCAATTGCTTCCTGAGCCTCCAGGGCCACTCGGGGGGAGTAGGATAGTCGCGCTCGACCCTCTCCTCGAGGATGAAGTAGTATATTGTGAAGAAGGCCAGGGAGCCGATTACGCAGATGGTGGCATAGCGGACGAAAAGCTTAGCCTCGTGGATGAGCCATTGTCTGCGTCGTCCGGATGCGTATGTACGGCGGCAAGCATCGCGATTGGCCGTGGGTGTTGTGAGGAAGGCAAGAGTCGGTCGGGATGGCGAGTTTGTCGTGGCCCATTGGCGTTGAGCTAATCGTCGATGGAATCGAAAAGCTGTGCCCCTCTGTTCAATAGCGAGCCTCGGATTGCTCAGCCAAGAGCGGCACACCAGGATGCGCGGTCGCATATTGGCCCAGCGGGATTGAGGGCTCAATCGAGGTGCCGTCATTTGATGGTCGGGTTACGGGGAGTGCCGCCTCTCTATGCCGGATGTGCCATGTCCGCGCCCGATTTTTGGACGTGAGGATGAAGCTGTGGAGGGATTGAGCGACGCTTGATCGAATTGGCATCGGGTCGATCTCGACAAGGAGCCACTGGACCCGGCGTCGAGGCGGTACGTATTTCCCGTCAGTCGATCACGTGCTCATGCCGCATTTTGTGCTCACCAGATTTCAGTAGGCAGTAGTTTCAAGTAAGGACCAGACAGTCGCAGATGAATTGCTGGCCATTGTCCGGATAGATTTCGTTTATTCCAAGTATGAAATGAAGATGAATCCCCTCGTTGCAGATACGCTGGCGAACCCGCGATTTCAATTGTTCGCGACTGCTGTATTCTCAGGTGCCACCGTCGCCTCGCTCATCCTGGGCTACCAGTCCTTGGAACGTGGTCAGAGGATCTCACGATTGAAGAATTCGATACCAAGAAGTGAGAGGGATGACGGCAAGGTTAGACATCTACGGCAAATTCGGCTTGTGAGCGCTTGGCAACTGATATCTTCTTGTTAGGTGAACTACCCAGATCCTCCAGTGGATAAGGAGGACGCTCGCAACCAGGCACTGGCCAGGCGCGCGCAGGCAGGAGACTTTGACGAGGAACTCATTTTGGAGCAGCTGGCCCGGAACAGAGTCTTCCTCAAGCCTGAGGGGCTGGACAAACTGCGCGACTCATTTGTGGTCGTTGTGGGTTGCGGTGGTGTCGGTTCTCATGCTACGGCGTCGCTCGCCCGGTCCGGCGCATCGAAGATCCGTCTTATTGATTTCGACCAAGTCACACTGAGCTCACTGAACCGGCATGCGGTGGCAACGCTTGCGGATGTGGGCACCCCCAAGGTTCGCTGTCTGGAAAGGCGATTGATTGCCATCGCCCCATGGGTTCAATTTGACCTACGCCAGGAGAAGTTCGACGATGATGTAGCCGAAAAACTCCTGGGCCCTTGGGGGGAAACTGACCGCAAGCCGGATTTCGTTATTGACGCAATCGACAACATTGACACCAAGGTTGCATTACTCAAGTACTGCCACGACAACAAGCTCCCCGTGATTAGTTCAATGGGAGCTGGTTGCAAATCAGATCCTACCCGCATCATTGTGGGTGATATATCAACTAGCACTGACGATGCGTTATCTCGTAGCACGCGGCGTCGTCTCAAACTAGTAGGAGTTCACACGGGAATTCCTGTTGTGTATTCCATGGAGAAGACTGGTGATGGCAAGGCTGAACTCCTCCCTCTCCCCGAAGAAGAATTTCAAAAGGGCTCCGTGGGCGACCTTGGGCCAATGGCAAACTTTCGAGTTCGGATTCTCCCAGTACTCGGAACGATGCCTGCCGTCTTTGGGCTGACCGTCGCCAATCACGTTATTCTCGCATTGACTGGCTACCCTTACGACTACGCGCCAGGCAAAGGCCGGGATAAATTGTATGATGGAGTCTTCAACTACGTCCAGGGCGTGGAAGAGAAGCTACACAGACTCTTCCACCCTAACCTCACGGGCCTCAAAATTCCGTTGACAACGAACGACGTCGCATTCCTCCTGGATGAGCTGTACCAAGGAAAGAGCGTCATCACGGGCATTTCTACAAAGATCGTGTTGATACGGTGGCGCAAGCCTAGCGAGGACAACTTGATCGTCATCGGTGAGGAGCCTCAAGTCCAGAGGAGTTCGCGACTGAAGCTGAGCGACTTGGTGTGCATGACGAAGGAAGAAGCCACAAGGCATGAAAAGAGGATTTTCAAGAAAGGAAAGAAGCTTGAGGACCTGTATGATGCTGAAACGATAGCAAGGGTCGACGCGAAGAGACTGAAGGCGGACCGGTATGAGGCCTATCGAGCTTCCCTGTGAGTCATGCTTGTCAGAGGCGTTATCATTTAGAGACTGTACAATATCATAATCAAAGCATTTCGACCCAATCGCCGGCCAAATTGACATCCTCCTTTTGTGAGACGCTCCCACGTTCCCCCTTTTTCATTCACCCACGTCGCTTATGCCTTGCCACCCTATGTTCAGCTTGCACAGCTGCGGTAGCGGGCTATCAGATGACCCGAAGACGTTACTCAAGGTTGCTGAAAGTATTGATTGTACAGCTCGATTGAAAGGGTTGACTGACGTTGCTTTGTTCGGCTGCCACAGTTCATTGGCTGTGTTCGCAAGGCGGCTGTGGTGATCACAAAAACGCGGTCAATTGGTTAGCGTTGGTCTTTGATCAGCGCGGTGCGCCCGGCGCTCCAAGCCACTCATTTTACGACAACAGAAGAGGCAACCATGTGAGGCGAGTTGCCTGCTGCCTACTGGGTACTGGCGCTTTCGTATCAGGGTGAGTATTGCGCCTCATTCAGCTCGGATGGGGGTCGTGTGGCGAATAGGCGGTTGGCGGGCAAAACCAAAAGAAGGAAAATACCCACCGCCGCTGCCTTTGAGCGAACCAAGTATATTCCCGGTCAGCGCGAATTCCCGCTATTCATGGACTGTGAGTTGCCGGCCTTGCACAGCCTACCGGCTTTATGGGATGCATCGGGGAAGGGCAATTGAGGCCGCGCCGACATGCGAGCACCCGTTCCCTTCGTTTCATGATTTTCGTCGCGTCTGCGGTGCCTGAGACGGAAAGGGTCCATCAAGGGTCCATCCAAAACTCTAAGAGTTTGGTGTCGTAAGGCAACTTCAGGAGGCAACAGGGATGAGGGCGGGCGTAGCACATTGACGTCGACTCCCGAGCATTGCTAGATTACCATTGTTACACGAAAGAAAATACGAGGATGTTGGTTTTTCTTCTTCGGGTATCACAGTATAACAGTGATTTGAAGTTTGCCACGGCTTTGGTTCTCTTTTTGGAGGTGCGGAGTAAATGGATGACGATGCGGGCGCCCGAGAACAATCCTTGTGAAATTCTCTGATGTCTGTAGTACAGTGAGCGACACAGAGCTAGGTTCAACCTGCGAGTGGTTCTTTGTTGGGAAGGGATGGTTTCACAGGCATCCGAGGATAGATTTCGTGTCCATGTCCTTAGATGACGCGCGGCAGCACCAGAGCACACAGATGAACCCAGGAACCGGGAACCATTATGGGACGGGAACACCATGACAATCAATGCCGCACTTGCGTACCTGGTTGCACAAGGAATCTATGTTAGTCCACTTGAGCCCGACGAAAATATGGGCCAGATTAGGTGCCTTGGCCAAGTCCAAAGATGGGATAATCGAGGATGTTTGGTGATTGGAAACTGCACGGTCTCAGTACCAATCTGCCGACCATAACATTGAAGATGACTCTTCCAGAATCCCGGGCGCCAATAATACTTTGGTAGATATAAAGAGGTCAAACAAGTCATCGAGTCGTCTGAATAATAAGCCACTTGCGAGCTGACAAGATGGTGGATTTCATCAGCTTACGCAAGGAGCCCATGTGATCAAGGCAACGAGCGCACATTACAAAAGCAAACCGATCGATGTTACCGAAGGTATCCTCACAGGTCTCGCCGATCCAAGCTAAATGTGTAAGGCGCTGCCGTCATACACGATAACCCATAAATTGAAAGGCTGGGAACGTCGCCTACCAACCTCCAGCTCGCCGCCTCGTATCTGGAGATTGTTTTCGCGGTCGCTAGGCGCCTACCAGGCCGCATACTAGGCCGCCGCGGGTGTCCTTGAAGCGGATGTGAGGCTGAATCCTTCTCCGAGAGCGCAATGTGATGAATCATAGGTAGTCGCCAGTAGTTCCTAAGAGATGAGGCAGCGTACGGTGCTTTGGCCAGAATTCGCCGACGTTGTACGCGACCGGTTTCCTTAAGCAGCTTCCACCCCGAATGCTGAAGGCGTTGATAATTTAAGATGTGTGATGAGAGAGTGCCACAGACGAGAATACTTGCATGGAGTTTTCGCTCTTTACCGAGGGGGAAAAAGCAAACGTGCTAATAAACGAGGCGGACATGATTGGAGGTGTGATTTCGGGCTGCATCTGCGGGCTGCCGATAAACCACTGCATGGAACCTCCCGGCCATTTTGGCTGCCCGGGTTCATTGATGCCCAGCCCGTGAGTTTGGTGTTTAGCATTTGGGGCTGCGGCGTCTCTGGGCTTGTGTCACCCAACGATATGAATATGTACAACACATTAGGTGTCGATGAGGGGTGTGAGACTTTGGTCATATGATGTGCAAGGCGAGAGTATTCTACCTATCTGGTGAGCGTGGGTTGCTAGCTATAAGCAACAAAAGTGCAGGTGCTATCAGTACAGCACGTCTCATCAGTTTGGCAGGCAGGCCTTGGGGTCTGGCCAGAGATGGCTGGATAGACTGGTCTGGGTGGCTGAATTTGACAAGACGGCAGCTTGCTTCCATGTCTTGTTTCTGGGAAAATCCATGGCATTGTTCGCTGATGAGTCTTGGATGCTGGCTTGTTCTGCTCTTTATTTTAACTCGGGCAGACCCCGTCTCTCCCGTTTGGATGCAACAAGGAACATGGCTGAAATGCAGCACACCTCGGGCATAAATAAGTGATGTAGTAGACAGGTTTAGTTGGCAGTCTGCATAAAGTGACTGGCTGACTCGCAGGTGTGCTGTAGTGCATTCTGCCCTCGACGAAGTTGTTGAGGCAGGCACGGTAGGTTCTAGGAGATAGAACGAAAACTGCTCTGTTGGTTCTGTCTTCCTTGTGTCGGGTCTACGAAGTGCCGTTAGACGAGCCTAACGTGTGAAGGCACGACAAGCGAACCATGGGGATTTTTAGAGAGGCAGGGAGGAATTGCCAAAGGCTATTTCTCATCTTAAGGCGAGAGAGAGGTACAGAGAGGAGTCCGTCGGCCACCTGCAATGTACCAATACCTGAATGGTGCGCGAACCACATTAGCAGACCAGAAATTGGGTTTATTACTTGATGCCGCGTCCTCCTTCCTTTGCTTTTCTCGAGGTTATTATCATTTCTCTGACCTAGCAGAACCCTATCCATCGGGACCTGCCGAATTCATTCCTTTTCAATTATTTTTGCGGCCATTTCCGCCAGTATTGCACTCGCGCAGCCATCGCCATAGCAGGTACAACGTGCTGCTGCCCTAACCCCCCTCAAGCAGCCGCCACGACTCACTGCAGCAACCAGACCACCCTAGACCTCACTGACATCACTGGTGGGTAGGAGGTAGGGACCTGGAATGTGGCAGGTGCTTTCCCTCCGTGCAACTTCTAGTACGTATTAAGTTGACCACCAATTTTCCCTTCTTCATACAACGACATCAAGCGCATCGTTTTGCGCCCTCACCCTGCACCCGAGGGCGTCACTGGCGGCTAACACGAGATGTCCCCTAGAGTGCCACTGGTAATCGCTCAATTTTGCCGCAATCCCGCCCCTTGAGTACTGCAGCAGTTGCTTACTTACTGGCTTGATCGATACCAGCAACCCCTCTTCCTGCTGATGTCTGCTGCCTGACTCTGCTCTCCAACCTACGATGAGCAACCATATCCAGGACAGTTGGGTTAAACACTTGCGGAAGTCAGAAGCTGCCGCACGCAGAATCACCTGTCCAGAATGCAAGGCTGAGCTCGATAGCAATCTGGAGGACTTCAAGGCACACGTCCGCGACAATGTCTCCGAGCACGGTAATCTGACGGGCGATGCGGCCATTGCGGATGCTTTTAAACGGATCAGCTTAAGATCGTGAGTCGGCTGCTGCCTGCCCCTTTGGTTTGCCACATGCCCCGCGCATCCCTTTTGATTCACGAACATTCTTTCCCCGTGCTGTGTTTTATTCACGGATATATGTCTGCCCTTTCCATTCCATCCATCTTACATGCATATGCAGAGAGAGTAAGCTTGCCAGGTTACTAATACGACAACATGCCCAGAACCAAATCTGCCGATCAGTCTTCGACCAAAATATCAAAGAAGAGACCGTCCGGCCCAGCTGCACTCGAGAGCATCGACCACAGAGACACGAGCATGAGCAACGAACGAGGGAACAAGAAAGTCTGCTCGCCGACTTCTTCTGACCACCAACACGCATCTCCCAACAGCAAGCATCCTGTCAATCGGAGCCGTGCACGCCCAAATGATTTCGATCGTTATGGTTCGGGAGCTCGACCTGCCGGCCGCCTCTTCAACCCAGAGCAGGATTCTACAGGTGCAGGTCGACAACCGAAAGGCATCTTCCACGCTTCCAAAGCTTCCCAGCAGCAGCGGGAACATCAACAGAAAAGACAGCTGGAGACCCGCGGCCGGCAACAGCCACCTCCTCCCCTCAAAGTTGAGGCTCAAGACAACGGCTCAACAAACCTCATCAATAGCCCGCACACGTCGATCACCCCCCAGCCAGAAACGAAGCCGATATCTCATGAACAATTGGTGGCCGAAGTGAAGGGGATCTATGCCGGCTTGGTTATGATTGAAACGAAGTGTATCGAGGTCGATAACTCCCAGTCGACAAGCCCAGAGCAAAAATTAACAAAGGATCAATGGCAAGCCCTTATCGCGCTCCATCGTACGCTCCTCCACGAGCATCACGACTTTTTCCTAGCCAGCCAACATCCTGCAGCCAACGCTGCACTTCGACGCCTCGCATCCAAGTATGCTATGCCTGCGCGTATGTGGAGACATGGCATTCACTCATTTCTGGAGCTGCTTCGCCGCAGACTCCCTGATTCATATGAGTACATGCTTACCTTCATCTATCTGGCATATGCAATGATGGCGTTGCTCTACGAGACTGTTCCTAATTTCGAGGATACATGGGTTGAATGTCTAGGAGATCTCGCCAGATACCGTATGGCCATTGAGGATAATGATCTGAAGGATCGCGAGACCTGGACAGGAGTTGCTCGCCAGTGGTACAGCTTCGCTTCGGAGAAGGCACCATCAACTGGCCGACTTTACCACCATCTTGCGATCTTAGCCCGGCCAAATGCTATTCAACAACTGTACTTCTATACGAAGTCTCTCTGTGTTATTATTCCATTTCACAGTGCCAGGGAAAGTATAATGACTCTCTTCGATCCGGTTCTTACCGCTGGTACAGCGGCTCGCCTCCCTGCAATTGATGCTGCCTTTGTTCGTGTGCATGGTATCTTTTTCTCCAAGAAGAATAAAGAACTCTTGGATCCGTCTATTGACGAGTACTGTACGCTTTTGGATCCTTACATTGGCAAAGTGACGAAGAAGTTTCTTGAAGTCGGGCAAGTATACCAGATGGAACAAGCACAGGGGAGCAATTACTGACTTTATACTAGCTATTACACCGGGATCCCTCTATGTTGTTCTCTCTTGGGCTACGGATTGGAATCAAATTTTATCATGAGAGTAATCTCACCACCTTCCGAAGAAGAGGATACTCCAGGCTCTGATAGCGCCGGCAGCAGTGCTGGCGCTGAAGAGACTGTTCCTGACGAGATGTTCCCCAAGGCACGCGATTTCGCAATGAAGATCTATAAAATAGTTGCTTTGCGTTTCGGAGATCCGAACACATTGCCCTTTCTTCATACTTTCCTAGCCTTTATGTGGCATATGAGCAAATTCCCTGCTGCCATGGCTCATATCGAGCGAGAGTTCCCATGGCAACTTACTGCAACAATGCTCAACCATACCTTCCAGTCCTGTGGATTCGAGGCACGAATGGAGAGCGAGGAGTTTCCGGGTGCTCTCAAGAATGACACTCCTCGTCCTCTGCCGGAGGATTTTGCGATGAGGAGCTTGGTCTATACGGAGGACTACCTACCATCGCAGTGGTTTAAAGATAGCAAGGTGGAGGAAGACGAGAAACAATTCGAGCTGGCTTCAATGGTCGACCAGCGAAAAGAGAGACTCCTTTGGCTGGGACGTAAGATCGCATCTACTGGAAGGTGGCTCACATGGAATGAACCTACACGACGATTC